CCGGTATCCGTACGCGTCTACGTTACGCTACCTCCCTCCTACATCCAGGGTGCTTGCTGCCAGCTGCCACCAACCACTCTGTCCGACCAGCATCAAAGGTTCGTCATGTATTGCGTGTGGGTATCTACATTGTATCCGTAGTGTAGATAGTTAAGGGTCACTTACCCCCCCCCCCCCCCCCCCCCCCCTCCCCTCTCCCGGGGCTCCCTGGGGAGCCAAGGGGTGTGGCATGGATGCCCGGGTGCTCTCTCCTCCAGTCACGGCATCGCGCCTCACGAGTCAACGTCAGGGTAGAAGCTTCGAGTGTTGCGCTTGCGGATAGTGTTACGAGCGGCTGCTACGCAATGTCCAAGTACCAGGCAGGCAGAGCAATTTTACCCCTCCACGCGTGAGGACCCTGAAGTTCCATTTTTCAAGGGTCCAGACCCCCCCACTTGTCATTGCGCACGAACGAACTGCCATCCACGCGAATATCCAATTGGACGTGTTGCAAATTTCTTCTCTCCTCTCTCCGGACGACAAAACCGTCTTACGATTGCTGCTTCCCTCAAGCTACCCCTCAAATAACGGCACGCCTGAACGGAACTGCTATCAACCAAGTGTCAAAAGTCTCCGTCTTACTGGGACTGACCTGGATCAATCGACTAACCTCCTGCTAAGAGCGTCAAACAGACCAAAGAAGAAGCCGAAAAAGGAACCCCAGCCCCGAGGGTGGGAGAATAAGCTGCGGCTTGAAATTAAAAATAAAATAAAATAAAAAGGCGAACTAGCATCGGTTTGGACGCCGTCATCCACCAAAAGCAGCCACGTCCATTTCCCCAGTTACGGGCAAAGAAAGGACATACATACACCCTTCTCTACGATTCCATTCCTTCTCTACATATATTTTTTTCCCTCCGTCCGCTTTCCGGCTCCTTCCTCTCGCAGCCGCATCTCGAAATTCCAGCGGTTCGATCCAGGCAGGGTTGTCATAAAGTAGCCTGACCCTTGTGGGCTTGCCCCGGTCCCGTTGCCGAAAAGGCTCGAAATTGCAATCCTTTAGACACACCATCGCCGCCGCGCGGCTGCCGTGTGCCAGCAGGGTTATTTTGCTCCTAGGATTCAGGTTGTTTCTCACCGTTCCGTTTCCATAGACGGATGGTGTTCCAGTTAGGTACCACAACACATTTCCGTCTGACCTGGACCTTGAGCCCAGGGGAACTAGGATCGTTGCTTCTCCTCACTGACGTCAGTGTCACTTACTTTCATCTCGATTTCGACCTCGATCCTTGGGCGGCTTTTTCTTTTTCCTTCTTTTTTTCTCGCCCCCCTTCTCTGGCTCCCATCTGCGATTTCTTGTTTTAAGCTCGGGAGTTTTGCACGTATCGCATGCCATCCCTCGCCAATCTTACCCTAAGCGAGCACGCTGTACCGGCTTCGCTAAACGCAATGTCCGCGGCCAGCACTACTACAACAGGCAACGAGTCGCCTTTGACGGACGATGCCTCCCATCGCGCAGAACAACTGCTGGAACGCCGCCAACATCTTACCGATGCCCTGACCGGCCTTCCCTACGACTTGATTCTGTATCTCGAGCGCGCCGTGGTTCACTCGGAGCTGGCCTATCCCGATCTCGCCGCGGGTGACGCTTACCGCGCTCTGCTTCTTGCTGACGAGGTCCTCAACGAGGGCTTTGAGTATCACGAGCAAGCCGTCGAAAGCCTGCAGTCACGTCCCCTGGACCCTCTGCCCCTTGTTCTCGACCACGGGCACCTGCTACACTTCGGAAGCGACTATGTTGACGATGAAGCCAAAGACCAGACTGGTCTGGTTGCGCACGTGGCCAAGTTATCTTCTGTGCGCGCCTTCCAGATCCTGTCGCTCAGCCTTCTGCTGTGCGGCTGTCTGAAGAGCGCCTATGATTTCTGCGAGCGAGGCCTGACGCTCGCTCCTACAAACGACGAGTTGCTCCAGACGATGGATTACATCAAGGACATGGCTCGCCGTAGACTTCGCAAGAAAGACTTCAACCCCAATGTCCTGCCGGAATGGGGACTTGTGCGGAGAGAAGTCTACCCCTGGAACTCGTACGAGCCCGACCGCTTCGGGCCCGAGTCTCTCGACTTCCTCAACACCGAGCTGTCTAAATTTGCGCCCAAGTGCGCCGTCCAGGTGTCCCAGCTTCCTGTCCTGTTGGAGGGGGCCAGCGAGATGGACGACTGCGAGTTCATACCCACCTGCAACCAGCTGGGCCTCTTCGCCAAGGAAGACATTGCGCCAGGAGAAACGGTCCTGGACGAGTACTCGCTTCTGACCGCTAACAACCGTCTCAAAGAGCCGGTTTGCGACGCGTGCAGCGCCGAGCTGCCGCCGTTGGGCCATGAGCCCGGCGCTGTCAACTGCGACGAATGCTACGACACGGTTTTCTGCAGCCAACGCTGCCACGATCTGGCGCAAGAGACTTACCACCCTGCTGTCTGCGAAAAGGATGTTGATGCTATCGCCAAGGACCCTGACGCGTCGGAAGCAGACGAGACTCTGCACTTGCTGCTATTGGCTCGCATCTTGGCCATGTCTAACCATCAGGGCATTCATCCCCTGGATGTGATGCAAATAAAGTACATCTGGGGCGACTTTGTGCCTTCGGCATCCAACGAAATCGAGATATCACCGTCTGCGAACCCGCCGCCGAATTGGACGTTGCCTTTCTCGTTCAAGTACAACATCGAGACGCCTTTCCACATCCTCGAGAAGATGGATGTCGACATCTACGCCACTCTCAACGAACACGACTTATGGGTCCTGAACACGCTCTACAGCAAGTTCCGCGGCACGGCGTCGGCACGCAAGAACCCTCGAGACGGCCGACCCGATGTTGCAGCGGTGCATCCCTTCTGGTGCCTGGCCAATCACGACTGCAACCCGAACGTTACATGGGAGTGGGGTGGGCGCATGCTGCTCTGGGCGCGGAACGAGAGGATCGCGGGCAGCGTCCCGGGTGGCCTCAAGGCGGGAGACGAGGTGCTGAACCACTACTGCGACATCACGCTCCCGGTTGATCAGCGGAGGGAATGGGCCAAAGGGAGCCTTGGCGGATGGTGCATGTGCCAACGATGCCGAGATGAGTCCGCCGCCGCCGCCGCCGAACAAGCCGCTACCAACGGCCAGACTGCCTAGTCCCCTCTAAAAGCGAAATGCAGACCATCACAGAGGCATACGGTACACTCTCTGCACTCTACTGCCAACGATTCTACGCATGAGAGAGACTCTTGCTATCAGCGAGCGATTTACGGGATTAGAGAAACATACCAAGCTTAGATATCACGGGGAGGTCGGGATTCTTCTTTATTTATTGATTTTCTGTTGGGTTGGAGCAATAAAAAAAGACCCGGTTTTATGCGTCTTTGGGTCAATGGCCTCCGGGTATAACATTGTACACAAGCGGCGACTTGGGACGGCGGAAAGAGGTTTACTGTTTGCGGAGGAGGATGCATACACGACAAACTTAATCGCGAAACATGTCTGCTTTTTTTTCCATCACCAGTTTTTCGCGTGGACGGTTCCTGGGGTTTGCTCCAGGGCTCGCTCTTCCTAACCAGACTTCTGTCTACACTAACCAACCGTCCGGCTATGCGGCACCCGTCGCCCATCGACCAGTAACTCGATGCTGGGCGCGCACACTTTCTTGCAATACGGTCCGGGACGAGGTCTCATAGCATTCTCGCGCTCGTCTTCCGGAGTCTTGGTACTCCGAATACATGCAACCGGGTATTCAGCTCCTGTAGAAGGGAGCCGGGTGCCTAATGCCGGTGGACATCGAATCCTTGGGATCCGGATCCTCGGCTTCCATGTCACGGCATCAGGTCACACAGTATAAGTCTGCTTCGTTTGCTATACATCTGACGTAGCGGGAGATCCACGTCCGACGGTCCCTCTATTCCGAAGCATCAGATCATGTTTTCCACGACCCGAGCGGGTAGAAGGCGAGTAGCGGGCCGGAAGGCGAGACCCGAAAAAAAGCACGACGCAACATCCATCGGCCCAATCTGTGTCAAAGGTGCAACATGTACGTACAGAGGCTGTATACATACCTACAGGTAAAACACTCGACAAGTTGTCTTGCCGCTACGGACCAATAGTAGTCGGTTGAGAGCACGGCACACTTGCTCCGGGTTCACCAGCCGAGTTGTGGCGAGGGCCTATGTCGCCGCCGCTGTTCGGCCATTCCGGTGCATAGTTGCGTATACACACACACACACACAATCGACTGGCATCTGCATGATGACGAAGTGGCCAAACTATAAGAAGCTCATGCGAGCTAGGTTGGGGTTAGGGGAGCGAGAAAGAGGGAGAGGACAGGGCAATGATCCCTCCCTATGATTTCGGAATGGCTTTTCAGCGGTCACGGCCTGACCAACATTCGTCTGACAGTGTTGAAGTCTCCCTTTGTTTTTTGTTTGTCTTTTTATATACGGAGTATATATATATATATACTTCAGTATCACGTATTTACATGGGGGTCTGTCTTTTCCCTGTCTCTGTAGTGATGGATGTCTCAAACCAGGTTTAGGCATTTGTTTAGGTTGTCTGGGACGAAAAAGGGGATCCCCACGAGCGCTCGAAGAAATGAAAATGTGTGAGAGAGGAGGGGGTGAATGACGTGCCGCCACCAGCAGCCGGCAATGGAATGATACGGCTGACGGCTGGGATGTGGTGCTGGGGGGGTGTGGGTGGTGGAAGTTTTAACTTTTCCTTTTCCCCCTTTCCGTTTTTTCGTGGGCCAGAGTCTCTGAGTCGGGGGGACGGGAGTTCTTTAGCTCCCGGGAGGGTGGGTACACATTCGCGGGTTGCCCAACCCCTACGGGCACGCCCGACCTGCTCTTCGTGATGGTGGCCCGCGCCAACAGAGTAGAGTGTACCAAGCCCGGCTAGAACGCCTCCCGTCCGAGCCCTTCTTCGCCCGCGGCGATCTCCCGTCCGAACCTTTCCCCCTCTCGCCTCTCGGCCTCGTGTGCGTCGCCCTATTTGAAGGGGCACAGCGTGTCGAAGCAGACGCTGGTGGTGATGTCGGAGCAGTCGAGGTCCGCGGCGCAGCCGACCGAGGGCCCGCCGTAGCAGCAGCAGCACTCGGCCTTTGTGGGCGCGCGCTCGTCGAGCTCGGCCGCGGCGAGGGCGGCGAGGGCGAGGAAGAGGAGGGACTTGAGCTGCATCTCTGAATCTCGGGGCGGGAGGAACGAGGTCTTGGCGCAGGGAGCAGGAAGTTGGGGTTTTTTTTTGTGTGTGCCTGTACTAGTAACCAGGACAGACTTCGAAGGGGCTCTCTTTATTAGAATGCCGAGTTGGTTTTGTGATTGCGGTTGAAAATTACATGGTTTTGGCTTTGGGGGAGGTTGGCTTTATATGCCCGTCGCGGTCGACGATGGACGCCGAGATAAGACAGCTATGCGTTGCGAGAACGCTCTTGTCTTTTTCTTCATTATCATGGCAGGGAGTTTCTACATTCCTAATCCAGACTCTTCCGCCGCAGACCGTTTCGTTTGTCCAACTACCAATCTCAGCCTAGTCGGCCAACCGCGCCAAGAAGCGAGGGATCGTGGGAGGGGATGCGGTGGGAGCCGAGTCTCTCGCCCGACGGGGGCCCGGGGACCAATTCGTTCCCGGCGCAGAGAGGCACGCGAGGCGGGCATGTCTGGAAAGCCAAGGCCCATTCGCTGTGGTGGGATTGCGGCACAGCCTGCGATTAGCCAATGCTGGTTGGTGGTCTTATTCGGGTTGCAAGGGGTCCGTCTGACAAGACGGCGAAATGCCAAGGGCGCTGAAGGAAGAAGGATCGTGTGGCGGATTCGCTGATCTCCAGGACGGATCGAGAAGGCGGCTACGCGTTCCTGCCCTGCGGTGCGGTGTTTGTTATTGGTATCGAAGCATCGTGTCTCCAGATAACTCTTTTTTTGCGGTCCAATCGCATCCCGTTTCTCGTCACGGAGGCGGAAAAGGATAACTCGTGGTCGCTAGCTGTTCTGGGTACGGCGGGTGGACGGCCAGAGGGTTCAAAGCCGCCGAGTTTCTCATGCGGGTCGGTATTGAACGCGATATGAGACCTCCTTTGCTGTATCCATGTCAGAAGCCGGAAGCTATAAAAACCTTGTAAACTCCAGTTGATAGACTTGTAAACTCTAGTTTATAGACTTGCCAACTCGGTTGAAAGGTATCCCCCCACAGTAGTCGCTATAGTCTCGATCGAGTTGACAACTAAGCGCCGGAGTCGGCTCCGGCTCCCCGGCTCTACGAGACCAGCTATTGGGCAACCAACAGCGATGGAGCTTCGTTGGCATTCCCGAGGAAAGTGTTACCATGCAAGGAGACTGACCGAGTCAAAGCCAAGGGCTACGTCATACGCCCCGCGATTCAAACGGTCCTCGAGTCGTGGTCGGAAGGGGGGACTGGCGATGCCGGCGCCCTAGTTTCTTCGCCATCATCGCAAGGCACTAACAGTAAAGGCAACGTCGGAGCATCCTCCGATGGGAAAGTCGGTGTCCAAGTCTGCCTCCACGGCCCGGGTTTCTTATCAGCAACCTTCATCGTAATGAGATGCATGAAAATAGAAGGCCCGCTCCGGTCCCTTATTTCCAATCCAATAGTCAAATGTCACTGCTTATCAGGGTGTATATGTAACGTGGAGAGCTCGGTGCAGGACGGGGGCTCGTGGTATAGTATCTAGGGCCAGTTCGTCGGGCAGCTCGGCCTGTCCCCGCGTGCTTGCCCCCCCTACGCCCCCGAGCGCTGCCGCCGGGCGGTGCTTTTGGGCATGCGGGCTCTGCGCTTTCGACTTATCCGGCTCCGTAACGACCTCAATCAAAGCAGGGTGGGCCATGGCAAAGGGTCATTGGAGACGAGATCTTTTTGTTTTTTGTCTTTTGAGGAAACAGGTGAAATTCGGTAGTCCGATCACAACGCCGCCGTCAGAGCTCGTCGTGCGCCGCCCCATTGTTCTCACTGGTCTCTTCGCTCCCGGTCTTCTTCTTTTCCTCCTGGGCAGCCTTCTGCTGCTCCTCCTCGCCCCCCTGCGCCGGTACCTCCTCTGGCTCCTGTTCCTCCAGAGCCGGCGAGCCCACCTGCCAGGCATCGGCGTTGCCCTCGGAAATGTCGAGGATGTGCCGGTCCACCGCCTCCACCGTGATCTTGTCCCCCTTGAAAGGGAACGCCAGGCCGGCGGACGGGTTCTGCACGGCGACACCCTCGCTGGCGCCGGCGCGCAGGCCGAAGAGGGCCGGCATCTCCGGGTACTCGCCGGTGTCGACCGTCACGAAGGTGATGTATTCGTGGTACCTGCGCGCCAGCGGCTTGACGGCGGACGTCCACGCGTCGAGGCTCCCCTCGTCCTTGGAGAAGAAGTATGCCAGCGACTTGCCTGTCTGTAGATCCCGACGTTAGCGGTGGAAACGACACGGACGCGTTATTCATGGGGAGGGCGGCGGAGGAAAAGGGACCACGAACGCTCAGATGCTCGGCCTCGTTCCGGCGAGTCAACCGCGGCACGAGCTGCGAGGCGCACGCGCGCAGCAGGTTCTCCATGGCGCCGACCTCATCCAGCTCCGAGGTCATGTGGTACGCCCCGTCGGCGTTGTTGTAGCACCCGATCCGGCCCGGCGCCTCGTCGATCGTCGCCAGCCCAAACGAGTGGCGGTCCCGGTACCGCTCGGCCATCCCGGCGAAGCGCTCGCGCAGGTTCGTCTCCGACTCGGTCGCGTGAGCGATCACGACGACGTCGTCTTCGTCGCGGAAGGAGGTTGCGGATTCCTCGTCGAGGAGGGTCACGGCGGGGCGGAGCATGCGGCGAACGAAGGCAGCGATCCTAGAAGGGGACGTGCGGCTCAGTAAGAGACGAAAGGACTCGGTCGGCGCAGAAGGGGGGGGACCTACTCGGACGCCTTTCTAGGGCCGCGGAAGCGGTGTTTCGTGCCGTTCTGGAGATACAGACGGATGGCGGGGAAAGATACAACGTCGAAGTCGGCGCACAGCGAAGGGAGGGCCGGGCAATCAACGGATAGGGCGGTCGGGATCGCCTCCTCGACGGCGGACCAGTGCTGCTCGAGGGCTTTGCTCGCGTCGCTGTGGCGGGGTTAACGGATGCCGTCGCGGATGTGGAGGGGGTGGTGTACGTTGAGGGCTTGGTCCGTCAGCACCGGGGCCAACATGCGATGAATAGCAGCTGATCTTGGATGAACGGCTCATCTCGTTGTCAGGGGGCTTACCGCAACAACTGTTCGCATCATTAGCACGGCCGTGGACGAGAACTCAATTCGGCGACCTGTGGGGTCTGCTTACATGCTACCAGGCTAAATTCGTTGGACTTGAGGGCATCGCGAACTTCGGCCTCGGTCTTGTGCTGCCACCCGAACCCCGCGCCCGCAAGCGCCAGCAACGGCAGGAGAACCTTGAATGCCATTTCGTACACGCGGCCTACAGTGATTCGAGCTCAATTGGCCGGCAGGAGCGACAACGAAGAAGCAAACGAAGAAGCAGAGATGAAGAACAGCAAAGAAGAAGAAAAGAAGGACTTGTTAAGCTCCCGCTTCGGGGGAGGTAGCTCCCCGCGTAGGGAACAGAGTTAGACTCGCTGTAACGGGGCGCCCCTGACGGGATGGAGACTTTCTGATTGGCACAACTTCGGGTGAGGCTCTTGAAACGCTGGGTGGGCAGGGGTCTTGATGAGAAGCCGTTTGATCGCCGGACTCGGTGTGGATACCTAGCCTCTAGTGTTTTGGACAGACCACGAACGGACATCTTCACGATGGAGGCATGTTGAATCCTCATCGCAAAACCGATTGCCAGTTTATGTAGCTTTCAATGACACGAAAATAAAATAAAAAAAGTGAAGGCAGTGAAGCTGGGAGGAGCTTCGTGTGGCTAGTACCAGTTGTGGCCGTCACAGATGTGGCTCACCACACGCACAGATCACTTCTATGGATATGAATATCTACTCGGCATCGTCCCACATATGGATCCTAGATAGATCAACTACTTTGCATTCTTTCTAGCAGACGTTGGGGTCCATCACTGTGAAATATTGGCATGCTCTGCCTCCAATGCCAAGTTGAACATGTGTGTAGATGGTGAACTGGCTTTCTCCTGCTGCATGGGCGAAATCGCAAGTCGGGAGGGCGATACCTAGATGACTTGAAGATGGACAAGCCTTGGCATATCGTTTTAACATTGGAGAAACGAAGAGGCGATATATTTCTACAAATCATTCAGAAAAGGAGCTGCCCGCCGAGCCACAACAAACGTCCTCCGCAGTCTTCCAGTGATCAGATGAAGGTATCTATTGTCGCATATACATAAAGCTTGTGGCCACTCCGTCTATCTATTTTATAGTATACGAACCATTACCGTTATTTGTGGCTCTTTGATATGTTTCGTGCAGCTTGATTATAACTACTGTATCCTTGGGAGTGCCGGCTACTAGGAACATAAGCGATCATTGGCAGAAACAACTGATCTAAGAAGAAACTTTTGCCCCAAATCAACTCTCAAAGTTTCACTGCTGCGTACAAACTCATTTCCTTGGCTTCATCATACTTTCCTTGTATTTCAAGGACAGCTACCAAGTCTAAGCGGATTCAACCCCTTCGCCAAGTATCGAGCCGAGAACTTGTACACCCTTGGCGAAGCTATTGAGTCTTTTTTGGGAAGAGGATGCTTAAATATCAAGCGATTCATATATCACACCAACAACCGCTGGTTTTGCGCTCATGTGCAACAATACATCAGGCACTCCCCGACTCCAGGAGACGTGTATAGAAGGAAGGTATTCACTCGAATGGGAATGACGAACATACTGTTAGCCATGCTTCAACAAGGAGAAAAGGAAGCTTACTAGGATGCACCGGATATGGGATGAAGATGATACGATGCAAGACGTGGCAGGAAAAATCAAGCTAGCACTAAAGAACGAGTAGTAAAGAACGTCTTGGTGACATGAAAGTAACAGCATACTGTCACACAATTGGCTATGTTCATTGTAGTTTCGAGTGGCAGGAGTGAAAGATCAAAGCATTGCTAATGTGTCAATGTGATAAGTCAGGTATTGAGAAGAAGAGCGGTCAACCACTGCCTGTCGTTCAATGTTCCGTTTATTGCCCTTGTACTCGCCAAGACTATCAATCAGGCTGGGGCTGACTGTATTGCATGCCTTGTTCAGCTCATGCGCCAAGATTCTCGGTGTGCCATCCCTTGTACACAGTGCACGGTAGTCGTAAGTTGTTCTCGACTAACAGCTTTACAGTACAGTCTGGAGACCGGTTTCTATGGTGCAGCGGGCAACTTGTGTATCTCGCCTAAAAGGCAGCTTTTTTAACCCTCAATATGCGGGTATCTTTGCAAGTGACACCCCACCTAGGTGCCACGTAGAATCTTGAATCCAAAACGAAGGGATGGCTACTGTTCGTGTGCAGTTGAACTGACTAGACTTGGGCCTGCATTCAGAGCCAGGTGAGCCACATCTGGGGCCGGCGTGGCGGGCGTATTCCTCATCACTGGCTTTGACGTTCTCTGTTGTTGCCCGGAACATCTAAAAGCCGCCAAAGGGTGTATGCATGTTATGCAAGTATCAAACCATACATTTCTTGTTGTTGCCGAAACAAGCTCATCCACAAGGCTCTGTATGGATTCTCTGCGGAAGCAACAACCTGCGAAAAGTCGAAGCGGTCGTTGTTGGCCAAAGTAGAAGTAGTCGAACTGATCCTCTGAAAGAAGTTGATTCAGTTGATTTGACTGGCAGACATGAAAAGCGACATGAAGTTTGCCGGTAACAAACAGAAGATCAGATGATCACCCAATGATTGGTCAGGAATTAACTACCTATTGGCCAGTATCCGTATACACTTCCCCCATCCCCTAGCCATATAGGTCAGTTATAAGGATTTGGCCACAGCCCCCGCCTTGTTCGAGTAACAAGAAATCACTGAGACCTAAGATATTATTATGGATCTGTTCTTGCATTTCCTAATATACGCCCTTATTGAAGTCATAAGCATAGACCGCCTGATCCATAGGTCCTCTAGGCGTTATGAGCACGCTCTTGCCGCAGTGCTTTCATTGGCCATTGTTCGAGCTAGCATGAGTTTGCTTTGGCGTGATTGGATCGTGGGATAGCATGGTGTACCGCATCCAACGTGAGATCACGCAGGCTTCCTGTCGTGACACAAGCCGTTATTCCGCTTTGAGAAACCCGGACCCGCTTTTGTCGTTAAACTTGCTGAGCTCTGCGAGTTGCCGTTCTGTGAACACAGGCAAGGTCTTTCTGGCTGCTTATGTTGCCATCGAGACGCCTTCTAGCCAAGTCAAGCAGTCAGGAAAACGTTGACAGAGTTGCGGTATCGTCCTCCTCAACCGTCAAAGATATAATGGCTGGACATACACTGAGGGGAAGACATCGTGGTGATTATGAGAAATGACTATGAAAAAAATCTCTTATGACATGTTTCTTGCTCAGAAGCCCATCTTGGTTACAGCACCGGTGCCACCCTGGGAGTACGAGCCGCCTTTGACTGGACCTGATTCGTAGGGGAACAAAGCAAGACATCCAATGAGCTTCTTGGGCCCGCCTGGATCATGGGGGACGCCCATGCTCATCCTGACAACCTTGCCATTAGGCAAGCCACTTCCGTGCCACTACAGTCTACGTTTGCAACAGCCTGGAACTTTGACGCTGCATGTTTTTTCTGTCAAAACTGCTCAAACTGCAAACACAGGGGTCCTGGATGGCCGTTGACTGTCTGCACAAACAGGGAGAATTACGTGGCTTTTCTGTACCTTAATCCCCGACATGCCCCATTCCACGCTCCTGGCCTTCGTGGCTGGCAGGATAAGTCTGTCACCAACGGCCTTTCCGAATGACACATGACACTAGATGTCACACACATTCAACGACACCATGGCCCGGCCTCAATGGCATCAAGGGGGAGGGCATCTTCATCTCGAGGCTCTCTTTTCTTTACACAACGGGCTCTGTGGTTAGGATCTCCAGTTTGGGGCACACCTCAATCAGCAAAAATCGGATCATGTTGAGCGAATATAGTCCTTTGTCTCCGTAGCACAGCCTCGACAAGCATCAAACAATATTCCAACCGAGTCTTTCAACACACCACCACCCCAGTATCCAATCTTTGGTTTTCGACCTGTCCATCAACCTCCCTCCCTTACATGCACCGCCCCCCTAAACCCCATCCATCAACTTCCTCAACCGTGCCTCGAGCTCATCCGGACTTTGGCAAGAACGAATAGTCGAACTGGAAAGGGCATTTGACCTGGGTGCAGATGCACCCGCTCCCCTTGGGAATCGCCTTGCACCGCATCGCCGGCACGTTGATGTCGCAGCAGCAGCACTGCTCCTGCGTCGCCGGGTCGTGCGGGCACGCGATGGCTGGGACGTTGCAGGTGCCCTTGGGCACGGTGCAGATGTAGTTGGGCCCCGGGTTCTGGATGTCGCACGAGCAGCAGTCGGCATTGGGCTCTGCGCGGGCTGCCTCGCCGGCCGCGAGGGCGTCAGGGGACGCCGCCGGGGACGCGTGGACGACGGAGAGGGCGCCGACAAGGGCGAGGAGGAGGGTTTGGCTCCCGAACTGCATTGCGGCTCGGTGACGAGACTTATGGATGGGCGGGGAAGAGGAAGAAGAAGTAGAAGAAAGAAAGCGAGGTGAGAGAAACTTGCGCTTTGCGTTGGTCGTAGTGTTTGATGTGTGGTTGAGTATCTACAGTTGATTGCTGTTTGACTTGGACCTCTGGGGTTTGCAAAGGTAGTCCTTTCGATGTCTTATATAGTCCATCTCAGCAGTGGAGTTGTACTACCTTGCTCCTCTGTCTTTCAACAAGCAACCCTACCGGCAGGTATGACAACATCGCAACGGGGTCTTTCCAACCATGCCAAGAATGCTCGCAACTGGCCGAGGGGACCAACGAATCACCTCCTTTCTGAGGCAGGCCCGTCGTCCAAGAGGAATACTTCCGAAGAGAGACACGAAGCTTACTCAGACAAGAGGTCGGGAATCGCCAATCGCACGACGGCGACGCTGTGTGCCTCGTCGTGTGTGCAAGAATGTGCCCGTAAGAGGGAAAAAGACGAACCGACAAGGCGTTTTCGCCGATCTCGCCCCGCGTGTGACTGAAGAGGAGGACATGCCCTCTTCCCCGGATCAGCAGAAGAGGATCGTCAGGTGCTTCACTACTTGCTTGGCTCGTATCCCTTCGCTCCGCCGTCCGAGACATCAGGAGGTTCATCCAAGGCGGCGTAGTTACCAGCGAGCAGCGCTCCAGACTTTTTGCCTTGCACTATTCACAAGCGATAGGAAGGGGAAGGTTGTGCTGTAGAGTAGGCGCTTGCCCAACGGCAGAACCTCTCTCCTTCAGATATATGGATTGGTCTGCGCAGAAACCAACCGGTCCGCCAAAAACTCGAAGCTCGAAGCTCGAAGCACAGACACAATCCGCTGCGTTGACTTTTGCGTATATCCCCCCCTCGTCCGCATGATCATTTCGTTCCCATCAAAGGAAGGGCCAAACACATGGCTGACTGACATGTTTCACAGAGGACCCGTATCCCATCGTTGAATGGGGGGGGGCATGCGCGGAGAAACCGCTTGGAGCAAAGAGGTAATACTCCGTACGCCGTACACCACTCGCCAAGAGTGAGAAAGAAGGCGTCTTCATTTTGGGGCCGGCCTCCTCTGCGCCTTGTCCAAGAGGCTAATCAAAAACGCCAGCTACGTCAGCTGAGTGTCTCGGACGGACAATCCAGCCCGCTCCTCCGTGTCCCTGCCAACACCCGATTCTGTTTACGTACATATCTTATTCTCTCTCTCTCGCGCGCGCGTGCCCGGCGGCAGCAGCAGCAGCATCAAGACGTTCAGCCAAGGGACGCTGGCTGAATCTAGCTCTCGCCCGGCCAGACAGGACCCCTAGTGGGAAGAGAGGAACTTTGGTAGAAAGAGAGCATTCCATAGCCTTGGAAGGGTGACTTCCTCCCCCCCCCTTTCCCTTTTTCCAACGACGAGAAAAGCCGGGCTTTCCGGCCTGCGGCGTTTCTGGGCAGACGTTAAGATGACGCCCGTCGCACCTTCCACCGGATCCGGCGATTTTCTTTTCTCTACTGTGACAAGTGTGGTCTCCACCCGCCAAAGCACCCCCCGGAAAGAGGGTTGTTACACGGAGCCGCGCTTCCCTGCCCCCGCCGTGCCAAGTAAATTAAGCAGTCTCTCTCTCTCTCGCCCAGGGACGAGTTTCTATCCTTGGGATGCAGGTCGGTTATCGGACCGTTCGTCCGAGCTTAAGATCTAACTTTTTGGTCAAGCATGGTGAGGAAGGGAGGGTATAAGTGAGGCTCGTAACGTTCACCAACTTCTAATCACTCCGAGCGTCGAAACCGGCGCCGAGAAGGCCTGCGAGTTTCGCTCTCGCGTGGGGGGACAAGACGACGGCCGGGCAAAAAAGAAAGAAAAAAAGGGCTGACTGTCTTGTCGAGCCAAGCATCAAAAGAACATAACTATCACGGCCCGTTTTGAAGGGGGGTGGCGTGTTTATACGATTCACTTTGCCAAGAGAAGCGCGCCAAGGTAGGGGGGAAAAGAGGGAGTGGTCAGAGGCGCAATAAACATTCATTTTCGTTCCTTGAGTTCGGGCCAAGGAGAACTGCTACATACGTGGCGAAGCAACATGATTTTTGTATTGACGGTTTTTTTTGTCATGATCTCATTTCCCATTCCGATGATTTCCGTTTGATGATCCGCGCAAAAACCGTTGTGTTGGAGAAGTGAAAACAACCAATGCGTTTCTTCGCACTTAAAAAAAAAAGTATTCGTGCTTCGAGACTCGCAAAGCCCTCCCCGAATGTTAAAACCCTCCTCTTCCGTCGACATAAAGTGTGAATAAAATCAAAATAGTTTGTGAGGAATCGAAAGGGGGGGGAGGGGTATAACTCGCTCCCCCCCGGTAATCCTTTCCATCTGCGTTTGTGTTGGACTGCGCGGTCAATCCGACTTCCCCTTTCAACTCCCACCGACCAGGGTATGTAACGTAACAAAGAGGCTTCGACAGGCTTGGAAAGTATCTTCGCCAGAAGCGGTGTTGTAAAACAAAGAAGGCAGTAGAATCAAATACGAACCAGGTTTTTGGAACCGGTCACACACATTTCCCTCGTTTCGTGCGTAGAAAACTTTTGTGGAAAACAAACACGCTTGTAGAACAACTGGTGGTACACGTGCCCATGTGAGGGGATGGGGGCCTCTTCTTCCCTCATTGTAAGAAGTTTCTTCAGTTGGGCATGCGCAGGATGGGGTAGAGCGGCGCTGCCGGGGCGGGCTTCGCGTCAACCTCCATGGGCTCGGGAGACTTGAGGCGGCTGGCCTGGGGAGACTTGGACCCTTCGTCAGCGGGCTCCTCAGAGTACTCTCTTCGGTCAATGCGGTCGCGGATGTACTCGCGGAGAGCCTCGATGGTGCGCATGTTCTCGAGCCACTGATCGTACTTCTCCTCACGCTCGCGGGCACCCTCGCTCATGTCGGACTCGGAAGCGGGAGAGCCAACGGATGAGGCTACGGACTCGGCCTTGGGAGTGGTGGCGGCGGAGGAGTCCTCCAAGATGATGGGAGACTTGGGCGACGAGGGAGCGGCGCGCTGGAGCATGCCTCCGGAGTAGCGTCTGCGCTCGTTGCTGTCGAAGCTGGGGCCGAGAGTGGATGCCGTCGACTGGCCAGGGAAGACGGAGCTGACGGCGGGGAGGTTGGGGTACATGACTGAGGAGGCGGTGGAGGAATGTCTCGACTGAGGAGACATGCCAGAAGAAGAGGGGCTGGGCGAGTGACCAGAGGTGTAGGACATGGTGCTCGAGGGAGGCGTGACGGCGGGGGTTCCGGTTGAGGAGACGGCGGTCAAGGGCGAGGCCATGTGAGCGGCGGACACGGCGTGGTAGCCGTCGTGGGAGACGGGAAGGCCGGCGTGGGAGCCGCGGTGACCGCCCGGGGGCGAGGGGCTGTGGCGGAGGTCGAACGTGTTCTGGCCGTGGATGTGGATGCCTTGGGTGGCCTGGTTGGCGTTCTCGTAGACGGTGCTCTGCATCTGCTCGAGGATCTGGTCGATCTGGACCAGGTCGTTCTTGGTGCGGGCGTTGGGCATGGGCGGCAGGTAGTACTGCTGAGTGAGAGGGCCGGGGCCGGAGGGAGAGCCCTGGACGTGGTGCTGGACGTGATGCTGGGGCGGAGCGGACATGTAATCAGAGCCGGGCATGGGTCCTGTGTGCAGGCCGAGAGCGCCGTGGAGGGGGAGAAGGGACCGGCCGACTTGCTGGTAAGAGGTGGGGTCGACCTGGCGGCGCTTGGCGTGGGCAAAGAAGTCGTCGACCATGTCGAAGGCGCGTTTCCGGTTGTCGTAGCCACCGTGGTGGTGGCCAATATACTCAGATCGGGGAGGGTTCAGGGGTTGTTGGTTGAAGTACAGTCCGTAGTTCGTAGATGGTTGGGGTGCATAGTAGCTAGCATGCCCAGCCTGGTGTGCGAAGGCGGCCGAGTTAGTCCGAATGTGGCCATTATGATCATAGTAGCTAGAAGAAGCTGGAGGCAAATTAGCCTCTAGTTGGGAGAAAATAGAGGACATTGGATGCGCAAACGTGAGCTTCTACATACCTTTGCCGGGCTGCGCCCGGTAGCCATTCATGCCTTGGTCCTGGGGGGAACGAACGAGCACTGAATCATCGGCGTGGGTCTGAAGAAGAAAGAGCATTAGTGCGAGTTCTCGCGCATTCTTGTGTGGGGGCGGTGGCGGCGGCGGCGCAACTAACCTTGACGTGCTTCTTCAAGTCCTGGGGACGCTTGAATGACTTGCCGCAGAACTCGCACTTGTGAGGCTTGAGCGGGACGTGCACGCGGATGTGAGAAGTGATGTGGTCACGCTTGACGGTGGTCGTCCTGCACGAGTTCCACTGGCAAGTCAGGTTGAGGTTGTTGGTGCTTTTGCGGCCAACATGGCGCTCACAAATGTGCTCCTGGTGAAATGGTTAGCGGGATGATGGTGGTGAGCATGGCATGGCGACAGTGTGACATACGTAGAGAGCCTCGGGTGAAACAAACTTAAGGTTGCAGGCGTTCCACTTGCAGATGAGGTTGTCCTCGGCGCTAGTGCTGTTGGACTGGGAGGTGTTGCTGGTAGTTGTTGAGGGAGCCGGGGTGCTGCTCTTGGGAGAATTGCTCGCAGAGCTCTCATTCTCTTGTTTTGTCGACATGATGTGCGGATGTGATGTGGGCAGTGAGTGAGCTGGGAGTGCTCAATGAAGAAGGACAGCCCGAAAGGGTGAGCCCGCGTTGGTTTGGCGAGCACCGAGTGAGTGCAAGAGTTAGGTGGGATGTTGTGTGTAAGTGAAGTGGGACGCTCCGGTACTTAGTGAGTGAGTGAGTGGGTAGATGGATGATGATACCAAAGGACGTAGACTGGCGAACCGTGATACTTGGGATAGGGCAAATGGAGGCTAAAGACGGCGGGGGAGAAGCGACGGTCAGCAATGCTTTTATGTTTTTTCTGCCGACTCTTGCAAGACTGGATTGTTCGTCGAGAATCCTACCGGTTTGATCTGGGGGGCATGGACGGCGGCTTGTCTCTTTATTCATGAATCACATTTCCTTTCCGCTCTTCCTACCCTCCCAAGAGCCTTGGCAAAGGCTTGGCAGCCGGGAGTTTGCCGGGCCACCTGATATTTGATTGGTCGATGGTGGCGAGGGCTTCCGAGCTGATGTCGCGGATGGTGGGGAGGGACAAGTACGGGGCAGCAGCGGGAGGAAAGCCAGCTCATTGACACTGTGGGACGAGAAGACACCGGCTATCGACTTGTCAGCAGATCAGGTGGCGCGAAGTGTTAGGCGGGATCCCCTTGCACAGTCTCCAAGGACGACCAAACGTTATCAGCGCACACTGCCTTCCTAGGTACCGTGCCAGCACCGCAACATCCGGGCGCATACGATGCCAAGACTTTTGGCTGTCTTGGAGAGTCTTGGCAAATCTCCAGTTTTCACCTCGTTCTCCCTTGGCCCAGGGCTTGGCATTAGTTAGCACTTGGCGCTCGTTGCTCCATTCTGATTCTGCACGCGCAACCGTTTCCAGTTGTCGCTGGTCGATACGGAGTGACATACCTCGCCATCAGCTGATAGCCGGAAGCTTGTTCCCTCGTCTCGTCCTGGAAGTTACCTACCTCGGTCTCCTGATGGGTCTCGTGCCTTGCCATTCTGCGTCGACCGCGAGGGACTGCGGGCGATTGTCGCTATTAGACGGTAGCCACGCGATGGATTGATTGTTGCCGTGTTCGTAGCATGGTGCAACGCTCCGCATCAGTCCGGCAGATGCTGCAACTGTATCCGCGTTCTGTGAGCCGTCTGAAGGGGAGGCCCGCGACCGTCTCAGATGGGGGGAGAGCTGTTTCCGACCGAGCGAACAAGCCAAGTATTTTTGGGGCGAGGGTTTTGACCGGACGGGACAAGAAAGAGAAAGACCCACCCCAAGACTGTCCTTCCCTGGAGAAACAAGCCGCCAAGAACCCACTATACCTGATGTCACAGGCAAGAAGCAAAGCATCCCGTTGTAGGGATGCTCCAAATCAGGTACGGATACACCCTATGGATACGCATCCAGAGATTGGACGATTGACGGGGGGCATGGGCATTGGCATGTCTGGTGACGATTGACACGACAGGCAAAGGGGAGTGGAGTGGGACAACAAGCAAAGCACGGAAGGACAAGACTCGACAAGCCTTCCAGGACTGCCCAAGCCTGTTCCCTGACCCCAAGATTCCCCCAAGAAGCCAAGAGACCGAGAATAAAACACGGGGGGGGGGGGGCTTCCACGGATGCCCAGGGGAGGGCGGCGGCGGCGGCGGCGGCCTCAGATGCTCCGATAAGTGCATATCCCATAACTCGATAAACGGTGTCGGGGATTGGACCTCCCCGATGCAGCCGGCTCGTCATATCCCCTTTAATGTGCTTAACCGAGCTCCTCCACCTCCCCTTTTTCGACTCGACCGTAGACGATGCCAAGACCTCGATAAGCGGGGGGAGTGGCTCCTACCCTTTTTCGGGGCCAGATGACTTGACATAGTTGGCTGAGGGGCGATGACCAAGAGCAGAAAGAAGCTTTCCGCTCCTCTCTTCTTGGCCTCTCCGCCGCAGCCAAGACCTCCAGATCCTGGGCGCCAAGGGCTACGCGCAAGCTCGTCTGCTGAGTCTCCCACCCGTGGCCCATGTTCGCAGCACAGTCGCCGGTCCCTCCCACTTGCTTGGTCAGCGACAAGCCGTCCAAACCGGCTCGTCCACAGAGTGTTGCGCAACACCGCGTGTTGCGGCCCACGCCAGAGAAGCCGGTGTGCCGGGCCTTGGGGAAGTAAGTGTTTTTGGTGCGAGGAGATGAGTGGATATCGCCAAGACTTAACATGCAAAGAGGGGGGAAGCGGGAGGAGTAACGTTGTGTGGTGCGAGGGAAGTAGACAGGCGAGCGACCAAATCGTGCGAATCAAAGATTGACCGAGAGCGCAAGAAGATTGAAAAATTAAAAACTAATTAAGGCAGCAATGCCACTGTAGGTGAGGTGCCCATGATACCGCGACATTAAGCCAGTCAGGGTCCCGAGGGGTACGTATCAGCGAGTGCAAGGCGCCATGTGAGGCATGTACGTACCTACGGTGTAATACACCTCCAGATGTACCTACAGTATTACTCCGTACAGAGTGGCATCTCTCCCACCTGCCAAACTCCATGGGGTCGAGACTTAGTTTTTGGGATCCGCAGGTAACCCCTCTCTTCCTTCCCTATGCCACTCCATTAGCCTGGTGGTCCAAGTCTTCCTCCAATTCCTTTTTTTTTTTTTAACCTTTCTCGCTGAACCACGATCTTCTTGTTGTCTGAGTCTTGTATCGTCCGCATCGCAGAACCCCCCGACGCAACCTTTCTCGATCTAGCGCCCGTCTGTTACCTCAAAACATGGAGCCAATTCAAGGTGCTCAAGTCGGTGTCATGTCCATAGTCAGGTGGGCGGGTCGGCCAAGCTTGGCAGTTCGACCCACGCTGGCGGTACTCCAGCTGGTATCAGAAACCTCCTGAGAGCCTTTTGGAGTCCTGCGCGTCGTCTTCTTCCTCCTGGGCCACAGCGCCAAGCTTCATCGACAAGAGGCACGCACGAACTCCAGAAACGACTAGCCGTCTCACATGCCATCATATCATCGGTAATCCCGCGCGACGACGAACGAGCACTGTGCTTTTGCTGCTGCTGCTGCTGCTGCTGCTGCTGCTGCTACTACAGACTACTCCCTCCCTCCCAGGTCCTCCAGGCCAGGAGTCGAGACAGCACGAGACACGACACTGCGAGCTGGCTACGGGATACAGTCATCGGAACCAGCCCAATCTGAGAACTTGCCGCTTCATCGCCCAGCCAAGACAAAGCCTGGGCGGCCTTGGCTGCAGATACTAAGCACCTTCGGCCTGTTCACGACCCTTGCGCCCGCCGCTTCGCCGTTCGAATGAGGCTGTGCAAGCAACGCCAAGACTTGCGAGGATGGACGGTTTCGCCTTGGCTTCAACTCTCTCGCCTGCTCGAGCGGGGGGCTGCCAGTCTACCAACCACTTCAACCCCTCTGCAGCTCATGCGCTATCAGAGGGCGAGCAATTTAAACGACGTCTTACAAGTCTTGGCATCGCTCCTCACTCAACGTTTGGCCTGCCACCTACATTCCATTTGCGCGATTTGTGATTTGTGAGTTTGCTGCGACCGCCCGTCTTGACCTCTCTCACCTCATCATCCCCGTCAATCATCAGATTGAGTTCAAAGCTCTGGGTCCTCATCGGTCGACATATGTTCCACGCTGTTGCTAACGTGCCCCAAAGAAATTAAACTTCAATGAGGGATACCCGCACACCTTGCGCCATCCTGTATACCCATGACCCTCTTATTGGCCACCCCCATGAGAAGGCTCACTGGTGTGCCACGAGCCCGATGAGTCTGCCGTGCCACGGAACTCATACCAAGCTTTCCGGTTAAGTCTTGGGAGTCCAAGACCCGAGCGAGAAGACGGACTCGTGCCCCCCTTCTGCCATAATGCAATCTGTCAACAACGCGCCCCCTCTCTGAGTCTCGATATCTGTCAGCATTGAAACCCGCCTTGTTTGGTCGTCTTTATCTTGGGCTTCTATCAGACCATCTTGTCCGTTCCCCCGGCCGATCGCGACGACCCCGGCTGTCCGAAGAGACAAGACCCAAGACAGGCCCACCGCAAGCACCAAATGCGGAGGGTTGAATGGGGTGGCATATGTTCGGATATCAGGCCAACATTAGCTCGAGAGGGGGATCACCGGATGCCTGGCTCAACGGGTTCAAGCTACGATGCGATTAGGACTTGTTGCAGAGTGGTCTTTGCTCCATTTTTATGGATACCCACGCGCTCTTGGCCTCTTTCTCGCGAGCTCCAGACTTTTGAAGACCGTCTTGGCTTTACCCCGGAGGTCTATCCGTACTGACTCTCCCAGCCTGCAGAGAGCGCGTTGGCAATCGGGCAAGGAATTGCGTTGCGCAACATGTCTTGGAAATCGCTAGGCGCCTTGGCCTTATCAGCTTGAGCTCTCTCAGTGGCCTTGGATTACATCAAGTCTCGGCGCCAATTGGCTTAATAATGGAAACCAAGGCCCACAGCCATTGTTTCAATCTTATACTTCCATCCATCCGTCGGTGGTGGTGAATGATGCTCGGGCGCAGAGCAGCAGGGGGGAGTCAGAAGAATACAGGCCGCCTTAGACGCTGACATCCGTTGCACGGAGAGACCACGCCATCATAGCGTAACCCCTCCAAAACAAACCGAGAAAGTCTCGCGACTTGTGAGATACGGCCGGAGTTTCTCCCTCCAACACAGCAAGGCCTTGGCCTTTATCTTGGCATCATCTTGGCCTGGTGACCGTGGCGATAAAGACGGCCCCAAGACAGTTATGGTGACTGAAACTACTGCCGCCCTCCGGCACCTGGACCCCCGGCATGCCGGCAAACAAGAGGGAACAAGCCATCAAGCAATGGGCCGTGCTGTCAACTGGCGATTACCGGTACCTACCGAGTGAGGGCAGCAACCTGTCTTCCCTTGGCAATTGTCTATCAGAGAATGATCTACGACACGAGCAGCCGTCATCTGCGTCGCCAAGCCTCCTCTCCGTCGTTTGATTTAGCGATGGGGTGGCGCATTGTATGCAAGCCGAGCGATTTTGACCTCGAGTGGACGGACCATCTGCCTGTCTTAAGTCAACGACGTAGCGAGCTGCTGCGGCCAATGTTCGACGATGGCTTCAGGCGCTTGTTATCGAAGGTACCATTCGCTGTGTGTAGTCGCCCTTCGTGACCAAAAGTATGTTTGCTCGGGACAACTAGGATTCAGGAAGCCCGCATTTTCTGCGCAGTGAAACGATGTTGCGTTTTCCAGACTTCCAGTGGGTTCAGCGACACGATGTCAGATCTCCACCTTGCAGAAAATAGATGTGACCCCATACCCCTTCATCGAGCATTGTTTGCCCCTATTTCCGTTTCCGTCTCATTCCGTTTCTCGTCACCCTCCAACAGGTGGCATTGGACCCTTCCGTCAGGACCCAGCGACTCACGCCCCATGAGATGCCAAGCATCCGATATTGCTTCGCTTTTGATGCCAACGAAGTCGCCCCGCCTGGGGGTGGGGCCAAGAGAGACTTGACGTTTGCGTTCCTCGAAATTTCCCTCAATCTGCGCACTCGAAGCAAGACGCCCAACAGAGAAATGGATCAGCCAGGCTGCAGGCCGGGACCCTCACCGGTGAACTAGCCCGCCGTTCTAGCTGGACACTCAGGCGACACGAAAGTACATAGACCCATTTAGCGAGGCCTCCAGTTCTGAACGCTTCGACTGGTAATCAGAGTGTTTTGCTGCGCTTATAAGTAAATAAATAAATAAAAATAAAAGGGGAAAAAGAATGCTGTCTGGCACTGGCTTTCGCCGATTATTGGATAGGTAGCCAAGGCCCAAGGGCAAATGAATCCTGGCCTGCTACTCAGATGCTTCCGCAAGCTCCAGGAGCTTAGAAGTGGCGATTGAACTACCCTCATCAGGAAAGAACACGGCTGGCTCAGCAGTCGTGACGGATAGACCGTTGTAGAGTATTGCTTTGACTCCTGTCATCTCTCAACCGGCCACATTTGTCTCGGCTGGCAGTGCGGCTGGGGGGGGGGGGGGGGTGGGTAAGATTTACACACGGATACAGCCACTTGGTCTGCGGCCAATTCCGTCTTGTGAACGTCTACGATGATAGTATTTGGAGGTGCCGAAATGCAGCTTTTCCCATCACGACGAGCCGCCGTCCTGCCACAGCCAAGGGTTTTTCTTTGGGTGTCGGTGCCTTGCCGAGACCTCGGCGAGATTGCACGACGGCCGAATGCTGGCCCGCCCAGCACGTCTTCCTCGATGGAACTGGACACGGTATTCCCTGGCCTTTGTCAAGCCTGAACGAGACGGTCAAAGAAGGTGTTCGCCGCCGCCCATTAACTCAGTTTACCAATTCGTAGATTCACGCACAATATTGCCCTTCTCTCCTCCTCCCACAAGTCAACACCAGGAAGTCTTCCATGTCACAGCTACCAGGACGCGATGCAAATTCCACGGGCCTCGATGACACTGGGAGACACACGGCCAGCTCACCGCTCGGCGACAGGTCTTATGCAACAGGAAACATTGCCGAGGACGATGGGCTGGTGAAACGCGCCCCCATCAACCTTTGACGACCCTCGAAACCCCTCGACAAGACGGCCCGCATGACGTCTTCGTCGGCCGCGTCCCAGACGTAGGCGCGAGCCGTGTAACTCATACCGCGCAGCTCGGCGGTGACGGGGCTCCGAGGCCACCGATGTCGCCTACGATGGTGTAGAGTCGGCTTGGAGCGGAACATTGTTCGCCGACAAAGTTGGTGGCGGACTTTCTCGATGTATGCTCCTCTGCGAGACATTCGAAGGCATCTTGGATCCAGCGTCATGAGAAAAGCACACAGCAGAGCGAATCCAGCTATCTATTCACAAAGCAAGCCACCCGGACTGGGCCCGCGTGACAGTCACGAGCGCCCCACCCTGCTCCAATACCTTTACTCTTACCTGGTTTCGGCACGTCGGAACATCGACTGAAGGACTTCCACGATGGTACGTTCGTCTGCTCTATACCCATTCTTCTTGAACAATTCGGTGCGAACTCTCCCAAAGGGCCGCCTTAAAGCTACAGATCAACGCTATGCACAGAGAAGTACTCGAACCAAGAGTATGCTCGGTAAAGTGGCGGCAGGCGGAGCACGTTTGTTGAGACGGAGTTACACACAAACGGCACGTTCTAATCCATCACCTTGTCCTGGGTGTCAAGTACACCTTCATGGGCCCCTTATCCCACAGCATGTAAACCTCGCTTTCTTGGTACCACTTGTGGATGTCTTCCGTGGGTCGGATCTCAAAGTTCCAGATCAGCCTGGCCATGATCAGGCGCATCTCTGCGTTGGCGAGACTAACAACCCAATGAAGGCTCTATTAGCAAATGTTGCGATGACTCGAGCAGGATACACTGCAGCAGAGCAGCACTCACTTCTTTCCAATGCAGTTTCGCGTGCCAACCGAGAAAGGTTGAAATGCCTTCCTAGCATCGTTCACGAACCTGGGGTCGTCCAGCCACCGTTCTGGGATGAACTCCTCAACTCTGGCCCAATAGTCGGGGTTGTGGTACATGGACCATTGCCAAATGTCGATAGATGTCTAAAATGCAAGCCCCAAGTCAGTTTCAACCTCATCTCACTGGGTACAGCAGGAACACTCATACACCCTCTGGGACAAACTCGCCCAGAATATCGGTGCCCCCTTCTTTAGCCATACGTGGCTGGGGCCCAGGAGCCGCAGGATACAACCGCAAACTCTCGTTCAACACCGCCGACATGTACGTGAGCTTTTGGACGCTGAGCATGTCAATCTGATTCTCACTTGCGAATGCTGACATGACCTCATTGGTGAGCTTCTCCAGACAGGCAGGGTTCGTTGCCAAGAAAAAGGTCGTTGCGGACAGCGCCGTAGATGTCGTCTCAGAGCCAGCACCAATCAATATAAACGAGTTTGAGACAAGCTCGTCGAAGGTCATCGCCTGTCATCGATCAGCAAAAGCCACTTCGTATCCAAGTATGTTGCGATTCAAACTCACAGAGCCTGCTGATTCGGACTTTCTAATCATGGCATCCATGAAATCCGGACGACGCGTCCCGAGATGCAACCTCTTCCGCACCTTTTCCCTTGTTAGCGCCATGTTCTCGGCTAACTTCGTAGCCAGACTTCGGGGAATAGTCATTCGAAGCAACGGGCCAATCCATGGCAGCCGATTGCTAGAAGTTAAGAAGGATAGGTTCTTGACACTCTGGAAGATAAGAGCGACCCAAGGGTGATACGTCCCGCCATCCAGACATCCAAAAGGCTCGCCAAACGCCAAGTCACCAATGATATCGAAGGTCGTATAGTTAAACAACTTCACCATATCGATGGGCTCTGAGTCGCCCTGTGATTTCTCATGGAGTTTCTTAAAGAGCTTGTCGACATATTCCTTGATGATGGACTGCTGATCCAACATCGACTGCGCTGAGAACCCGTGGGAAAGCACGCGGCGGAAGCGTTGGTGATCTTCACGGTTGGCACCAAGGATGTTGTTTCGGAATGCCATGTTATGCCACTTGTCTTTCGGGTTCTCGCCATTCTTGTTGTGGCCTTTCACAATTTCAGGGGCTTCAGGATGGTTGATGGATATGTGTGTGGGGCCGACTCGGACGAAGGGGCCATATTGTTGATGAAGCTTCAAGATCGTTCGATGGGCGTGTCCAGAAGTGTAGAGACGGAAGTAAGGGAGGTAGGAGATTGCCCAGAGCTTAGGACCCGGGAAATTACGTAGAGGGCTGAAGAAGAGTTGGTAGATGGCGTAGCCCAGGAGGTAGGCTAGAAGCTGGGAAGTGTTAGCAATGGCTCAGTAAGTTGACTGTGGCGATGACCTTACTCCAGCAAGTGCAACGGTTGGAGCCATTACTGCTAGGGGCATGCCCTTGGCGTCGCTAACCAAGTATAGCAGCATCGTGACGTTGAACAATTCCAACGATGTTGTTAGGCTTTGGTGATGCCGCAAAACGACGAAGGCCTGGATGGTCGACAGCAGTTGCTGGATGGATTCTCTCTATTAAATACGGATACTGACCGATGCCATCTGAAAGAGGGGTTCATCGGCGGTACGGGGTCTAGTAATTACGCTCCGAACAGTGGAGTCTACCTGGCAGTCTCCATGCGAGTTACGGCAAGAGTCAGTGTAATGTGGTCGACAATATCACTGTGATTGCATCGGAAACCACAGGAAGTGGATACTGGTGCCGCTACTCTCACCCCGGAGCAGCTTCTCTGTGCGGGATTCGGCTAATTAACCGTTGCAAATCCGCTACGGTCCGTTGCGTTAATAGCGTCCAAAATTCCAATCATGGTCTGTGCGCGAAAAACACCTTACTTCTAAAGACCAAAAAAGCTATAATATAGGATCACGTGACCCGCCTCGAGCCATACCCATATGCCAAACGGCGCTGGCAACGGCGATAGCTTCTCTTCTTCTTCAGATACTAGCAACAATACGATTCGACTGCTTCTCAACCCATTCGTACGAATTCCCTTGTGATACCAACAGTTATTCTCTCTAAAAGTCACCGTCAACGTCTGTTACAATCATGTCCATTTCTGGTGAAGGTCAGCTTAGTTCAAAATATTCCAACAGACAGTGAGATGACTGAAAGTTCTTGCACACATTCACTTGTAACTCCTCAAAATTTAATTTGTATATCAATTCTCTTCTTGAGCGAGTTCTTGGATCTAGACTTGGACGGCACACACGCATAAAACATACACGTCTTCTTTTCAGAACCCCTGATTCATTCAAATCACCCTACACTCAACTTACCAAGCCCATTCAACTACATCAATATGTCTTCTGGTGGCTCTTCCAGTGGTGGCTCCAGCGGTAAGAAAGACGAGGAACAGTACCGCTCTGGCGGTTATACCTCGAACGATTCCTATGCCTGGGGATCGAAAGGGAAGACCGATACCTATATTGACAGTAGTGGCTATAAGAGAAATGCCAAGGACAACTCGTACACCTACGAGTACCCTCCAAGGAAGTACAATTCTGACGGGACTATCAAGCCTTCTTGAAGCATTGAAATGAAGAATTGGCATCAGTCATTCTGGAACACACGACGGAGATGCGGCAGAGCACCGACATGGGTTCAAGTTCTTAGGGGACAGTTATCGTCCACCTAGAGTAGTATAGCAATGTCCTCGAATCAATAAAATCAATTGATTAGTTACTTGCTAAGCTATTTGGTAATGTCAAGCCCGGAAAGTTTTCCATCAGGCTATGGCATAACCGTTGCCACGTTGGTAGTCTTAACCCCCCCGCCCTACTTATGAGACACCCCCCCTACTGCTGACAGTCCGCATCCACCAAACCCCAAATAGCACTGTTCTGAACATGATGCATGCCCTATGCAATTGTATGACACTGCACGCAACACTGTGGCTTTTCAACTACGATTGGGCAAGCTACATAATCAAGCGCCTATCTAAGAGCCGTTACTACACACCAACTTGGGAGTTCTAATACGCCAAGCTATAGTGCCGCAGTATGCCTTTGAAGAAGATCTATCAGACTTGAAGTAAATAGTGAGCAACACTAAGCTCTATATTAGTAAGAAAAGCCTCTTTTTGGTTAGCAGGGCAGGCGATGTCAGATGAGGATGGACAAGCCAACCTTGCCAAGTCAGCTTGCTTACCACTATAGCATCTAGATTGCGATCCCTACAGTTTTGGATACTGTAGGTAACTTAATCATTACCACGTTCTATTTGCATATATAGCTGCTAGCACCAGAAGCATCTTCATACGGCCCATATCAGGGTACGTGCAAAGCAAAGGACCATTGCAGGCATAGGGGCCAATCCTCTGGTTGAGCATTTCACACGGGCACTGGAAAGGTGAGAATCTACATGCCAGGCAGGAAGATTAACCGCAACTTGTCTGCCACATTCCTTGCCCCCGCTGATATAGCACAACTCCCTTACTTCTTCGTAACCAAGTGTACAGACTTGATGACGTTCCCATTGTCATCATAGCATACGGCGGTGATATGGGATCGAGAGTCAGATTCACTCTGATGGTCAGGCTCACTAGAGAATATAGTGTTAGCTGGACAGGGAACGCTAGTAGAGCATTGGAACGAACCGAGTACAGATCTCAGCTGCATTGGCTGGGATTACACTCTGATTATTGGAGATCGCCGCCTCCAGGGGTTCCTTGAAGGTTTCGGTGACGGCATTGGTGCGTTTCCAGAGAGTCGTTTTGGTGGCAGCAGACAGTTTCACTGTCTTACCAGCAATTACGTAGGACCCAACGGTTTTGCGAGCGAGGATCTAGTCGTAAGACTTGCTGATGAACGCCTTCTTATGTTGCGCTGCAATATACGCTGCAATTAATGGGGTGGCGCCGTTGCGACAGCTGTCTGAAAAGAACAGTGTCTTGGGGATGCATTGAAATACCTTTGGATTTATATAAATGGCCGAATGCCAGAAATTCTTCCTCAGCCCAAGACCTGCCTGTTCTCCATCTGACTCGATTCATGTTTCGCCAATGAATTATACAAACGAAGCATGGTTTACATTCAGGCCAGCAGCTATAGACAAAAGGACCTATCTACTAAGGTGTTGAAGACCTGACACTCTGAGCCAGAAATAGCTGTCGTCTGGGTGACAGACTTGTATAACATCATTCACAGAACTCCACAAATGTCAGACCAGCGGCTAGCTCAACGACAAGGAAACCGCTAACATGCCTAGGACAGGGTAATGTTGCAGCGGCGCTTAACAGGCAGGATCAACCCTGTTAACTGATTAACATTGACTTTATCCTCCTCGGTTTTAGCCGCTTTTGTCAGCAGCTATGCCCGGAAAGCAAGGTTTGGCTAATAGCCGACCTGTTTACAAGGAGTGGGTCATTTCTGTAACTTTCGACTTCTCTTCCTTTTCCTAGTTTTAGTTACGCAGAACCACAGCAAGAGGCACAAGACCTCGACGGAGCCTTACATAAAGATCAACATAGTAGGAACCGCAGTCTACACGAGGGGCCAGCCAGGTGTAGACGGAGGTAGAAGAGCAAAGCGGGAAACTTAGGGACAACTGGTCCATGTTTTGCATTGGCGACGTGTGGCGGCTCAGATTAACGTTTGAACGCGTCGGCTATCTCCCGGACCCCGCTATCCGGCCATGGTTGCTGACATAAGAACGGCTTCATAGCCGTGTAGGAATAAATCAATTTATCAATCAATCCTTAGTCCTTTCTATGTTTTTACATTAATCGTTTAAGAGCGGCCAAACTTTAGACTACCACGCTCGCAAAGCAGTAATGGTTTCGCTACTTGATATCGGCCAGAATCTCCGTGGCCGTGTATCGACGTATTCTATTGTCAAGGAACTTCATTGGGCAGCAGATCAAGGAGCTGTTTATCTCAGAACATAGGCATCCCTTCACCCTTTTAGATAAAAATGCAGTAACTAATGAACACTGAAGGAATGAGAGCGGAAGAAAATGTATCGTGAAGAGTATTTGGGGCCACTGGCGACTTGAAAATGAGGTCTCTATTTTGCGCAAGTACCAGGCTATGAGCCCCTTGTTTTGCCCACTTGAGGATGAGATTGTAAACCTACCTGACCTGCCGTCCATTATCTTGTAATATCTTGACAGCGACCTTGGTGCCGAGTCAAAACGGCAAAGGTTATCTCGACCTGATATCAAGAAGGTGGCTAAAAGCGTGCTGGAAGCCCTTTGTATCTTGCACTAGGACAGCATGGTCCATACTGGTTTGTGATTAGGTACCTGGTAACACCTTGATCCAAGTAGCCTGCATCTAACCCTCTAGTAGATATTAAACTGGACAACATATTCGTGGATCTTGGTCAGCAAGGTGACCCTGAACGATTCACTGATATCCAGCTAGGAGATTATGGGGGTGTAGTCTCCAAGTACTCCAAGTTTGCTACGGAGCTGGGCCACCTCATCGGCGCAAGTTTTACCTGTAGCCCTAAAGCACAGCTTGGTCTCTTATGGGGGACATTGATGGACATTTGGTCTTTTGGAAACGCTGTACGTATATTGATTGGGCTCTTTGATTTATGGGTGCATATTAACGTGGACGCTATATAGAGATTCTCACCTTATTGTACGGTGGAGGGTTTCATCTCTTCAATCCTGCTAATGAGGGTTATAAACCTGAAGATGAACACTATGAACTGGTGGTATTATCCTGGATGTACTGATATTTTGGCCCTTTCCCGGATTCCTTCCAGGAGATCGCCGACGATAATGCCGCAGGCATTATCGACTTTATTTATAGCATGGGCCCCCCAACGAAACCCTTTCGTCAAGTCACATGTCGCGAGATACCGCCTGCTGACTGGGATTTTATCCTTAAAATCATGAAGCTTGATTACCGTGACCGTCCCACCGCCGACCAACTTCTGGAGGACGAATGGTTTAGCGAGGAGTCTGAGGATACTCGAGAGCCACTGCCTCCTAAGTAACAAGAAATTTCAGCACCTAAGAAGGGGAAAGCTATATTGTTGTAGCATCGAGGTGGTGTTGATAGTTAATTGAATAAGATGGTGATGATTATGAAGGCGATGTTTTTGCGTGGCCGAAATGCAGGGGTAGCCGAAAATTGTGTGCTTTAATAACTTACTTCCCTTGCTGTACCCCACCCTACATACAAGCCACCCCTATATCGTCTTCGCTAATTACTCTAATAGTGCACACCTAAAGGCCTAGAAGTCGCTCTGAGAATGTTATAGCACTTTTATAGCGCTAGCGAGGTCTAGTTAGATGAGGCTCAATAAGAAGACAAATAACAGGACTACTGTTAGAGAGGTCTGACAAACGCGTTCGAGATGGCCTCTGAGCAGAACCTTACGCTGAGAATAGCTGCTATAATGACTGATGAGATGGAGCGATTTGAACGGCCGACTCAATGGCGCCGGCGAGTGTGGATGCTGCTTGTGCCAAGCAGCAGAAAGAACTGCAGTTCCCACTGGCCTAGCCGGATTGAGATCGCGCAGGATAACGGCCACACGCTAACACAGCCTGGCGAGGTGATGGCGTGCGACGCCACAACACGCTGGGATCTCTGTCATGGGGGAAAGTCAGCTTGGCAGGTCCACTAGCTATAGTTTGTGTGTAAATGGCCTTTCCACAGAGCTCAGCATCACCTCTCACTAGTTAGTCACAGAGCAGCAGAATAGGAATGGGAGCCAGTTGCTGCGGGCTCTGTAGTCCACTGAGGTAAAGACCATCACGCTCACTGCAGAGCCTTACTTCCTAGGTGTTGACAGCAGCTAGAGGCCGACATTGGCGGCCCTGGGAGGTATGGTTCCGTCCACGTTCCTGAGATCCAAAGGCTCTTGCGCTGTGCTGACAGGCGCATCCATAGCATGCCCACTTGCGGCCGGGATGTACGCCCTTCTCATGGAGGCTCGCAGCACAAAAGACCCACAAGAGTTAAAAAGCATCATGTCCCCTATCTCAATGCCGGTGAACTTGCACGATGGGCGCAACAAGTCACCATTTCTTGCGCCAGTTCCTCGGCAGGAATTTGGGGGTAATTCGGGCTTACGATGCTTCACATGTTTAGACTGCTCTGAGCGCTTCGAGCCTGTCTTTTAACGACACGGACAACTTCGAACTCGGTCATACAGAGACAACCACAGCTTACACCTTCGCACACCATCCAAAATTGTGCCTGATACTTTCCCCAACGATCTGGTCCAGTCATATGCCAAGACTCTCCTTCAGCCCCAGTTCCTCTGTTATAATCCCAGCTGGAAAGGAACTTGCGATCACTGTCCGCTTGGCACCGCCAGGTGACCTCAACGCAAGGCGTCTACCGCTATGCTCGGGATACGTCACAGTCACTAGCGCTAGTGGGGATAGCCTCTTGGTTTCTTACAAGGGTGTACCCGGAAGCATCTGATCCCTCAAAGTGCTTGACTCTGCATCTATCTTTTTGACGAGCACCGGCGGCGGGACAGGAAGCGCTGTCGCTGAGAACAAGACGTGGACGCTGCCGCCCGTGAGCCCGCACAGCAACCCGTTGGCAGGAGTTGGCAGGAACTTACAAAAACCCGAAATTGACCGTGGAACTGGTCTTGGGATCGGTCCTTCCACGTATGTATGTCGCGGTAGTCGACGTCGACGGAACGATTGGACCGCGGATGGAGAAGTCTTTTAGAGCCCTCTTGAATATCAACATGTGGGTACTTTGGGCGCCACATGGGATGGAAGACCGGTCAACGGGACCTGAGTCATACTAGGGAGATATAACTCTGTATTAGTGAAGACTCCGCACAGCTTCGGCAACGTCGAAATGGATGCAGACTATGACTTGACTAAGACGATGATAAAAAGGATCTTGTCGGGTAAGAAGCTCATGGCAGGAGGGAGATACAAGTCATTTCGGGCAGCCCGGACACAAATGCCTCGGGTGGTGTGCCCTGCCTCTTTGGGTGCTTTATCTTTTGCACGTATCATGACCAAAAAGAAAACAACATATAACCAGAACCCTCTTATTTCAGCACTAGATCTGGCCCAGGGCCGCAATTCGCCTGCATGAAAAGTGATTGAAAATGGCAGTATTGTTTGCGATGGCTTCATTTTGACGTGGCCGAAAAGTTGGTTGGGGTGGCCGAAAAGCGGCTTATTTGGCTTACTATGTTATGTGTTGACGACCTTAGTTGTTTAGACTATTTTCAGCAACAGAAAGTCCACCCAGGATTTAGCGAGATATTTGACCGCAGACTAACTGTTTAATTAAGACCCCACCCTATAACTTGGACCACCCCCTAATGTCAGATCATGCAAATACACACCAAATTCACAGATTTACTGCACTAAATCTACAGATTTAGCTATTTTTTAAGAATTAGAGAAAAGTCTAAAAGGGATAAGATTTTTAGTATACTTTCTCCTATAGCTAGTATATAATAAAAAATCTATATATATTATATACTTAGATATATTTATTTTACCTTATTTACTTTTATTAATAAAAGTATATATAAATATAGTATTCTATAGCCTATAGAGAATTATACTAAGTTTATATTATAATATACTACGCTTATTAAAAGCTATCTATAAAGTGTAATATACTTTAAGCCTATCTCTGATTTTTAAGAAATAGTTAACTTAATGCACTTATCTCTTATTACTATGCTATCTAGGGGTGGTCTGACATTAGGGGTGGTCTGAGTTATAGGGTGGGGTCTTACTTTACTATTATCAGGTAATACCTGCATTATAATAAGCCTTATTCGCAATACCTAATCTTAAATGGTTTATGCACATTCTCTGTTTTTTCAATACAAACATAAGCATCTAGATATGTTTATCTTGCCTCAATTAAACTTTAATCCTTTGTGGGTTTCGTCTTTCCTTCAACTTCTTTACCTCTATAGTTGGCTTCTCTTTGACCTCCACCTCCTACAATTACCTCAACTCATCCTTGGCAAAATGAAGATCACTACTCTTCTGGTTGCTGCCGTTTTTGCGGTTGAGTACGCTCTGGCGAGTCCGGCGGGAACATCGGGAGTTAAAACAAGGCCCGCGAAATTCCAATGCGTGTAAGTCACCTTTCATATGTTCCCAATTTCTTTTTGTAAAAGTATTAACTTTCAGTAGTTGCGAAGCACAGTTTAAGACGAACGCAGCAAAGACCATAAACACTTGTAAGGCGCTGGGTAACGAGGGGACATATATAAAACCTTGGTGCTTTATTTTTTCGCGCCAGGGATATATCGACTTTGTACGGGTAAGCTGCCCTTTACCCTTTTCAAGATACTAGATACTAACAGGGTTGACAAAAGCAATGTGGTGGCTTCAACTATTCCAACTGCGAGTCTACAAATTCGCACGAATGGTTTAAGGAGGGAAACTGACGGTCCACTTCTGGTATGGCCTCTAGCTAAATTCAGTAAGAGTCTAGCCAAGTCTAGTAGGGCGTACGCGCAGCAATCAAGAGTTATACACTAGCATTTCCCACACTCAGTGAGTGCATCATCTTACATCGCTTTTTATTACAGACAAAAGAGAAAAGCACAAATATCTATGCAGACGCGCTCAAGACGATTCATAATATGTATCTTCAGCTAGCAGGTGATTATTGTACCTAGTAGCCCGTTAGATCAATTAAAAGTTTTAGTTCTAACTCTTGCTCTCAATAGAGAACGTAGACGTCTATAAGAATGGGGCCTCTAGGCGAAGAAATAGTGACAGTCAACGGGGCAGTGTTACGACTTGATAACATGACAGGACCAAGGGTGCCTCGGACAGGCACTTGTCGGGCGGAAAAGGAGAAAGATGCATGGGGACGAGCGCTTCCGGCAAAGCAACCAGCCCAGCTTTGGCCTTATATTTGGTCGGTTGATTCCATCGCGAAGAAATATCTCGTTGGTTGGTTTGATGCCGATATCCGTGATAGTTGTAATGTCCTCTTCCTAGTGGTCTTACTTGCACTAGACACATAAACCAATGACTGGTCGTCGACGTGGGTGTGGCGTTAGCTATGCAACCACCGATAATGCCCCGCGGCGCGCTTCAAGGGACAAGGAGAATAGGTGGTCAAGAGACAATCGAATTGCAGGTTTCTAACAACAAAGCACCTGCGATGCTACAAGCTAGTAGGTCACTCTACAAAGTATTCATCATCGCGCGACCTGGGTTAGATACATGTACTTCAAGCATCGTGACGCATACCGGCCATGCCAGATGCGACCAAGATTAGCCAATGGGCTGCTACTTACTATCTTTGTAATGATTATGTGGAAAAACCCCACAACGAGCTATACAGTCAGTCATTGGTAGTCCGCTCGCCAAAGCACAAAAGGGTCCATGGTTCTCGCATCTGTCAGTGAAAGAGTTTCTTGAAGACAGTGATACCTTCAAGTCCACATTAACAAATGCGTTTGTGGTGGAAGCCTGTCTCCTCTATATCAAGAGCTCAAGCTCTGAGTCGATGGAGAGTACTGCTCTTTGCGTTTACGCGTGCTTCTTCTGGGCGCAGCATGCCCAGGCGGCTAAGGAACAAAGACAAACCCAGTTCAGAGAGACTTTGCTCAACTTCTTGCGGCTCAATCCCACTGCTGGCTTCTGTCGCTGGCATACAAAGGCAGAGAGAATGGTGACAGATTCCAAATGGGACGGGAAACCCTCACAAAAGATCAAAGATGGTATGTCTTTTACACCTTCTTGCCTGCTGGTAGTTTGTGCGCATGACTTTTCAGGTGTGTTCGACTTGAATGAAGGGAAAAAGATGACGCGGGCAAGCCCTACGAACAAAAGAGCTCTTACGCCCGAAGAAGTTGCGGCCACATACAATAGCTGGAGGATACTGGAGTGGCTTTTTTATACCCGTGTTCTATTTGAAGCTTCTAACGGAGTAATTCTTGCTGCTGCTGATGCCACACCTGCGAAGGATGACAGTGGCAGTGAGTTCATGGCACTACTGAACGTTATTTGTTACGGTATTTTTTGCCCCACTTTGGCCTGTGCAGCCAATTGCTCAATGCCAATTGCCACACTTTGACAACTACTCTGCTCTCAAATGACTAGAGGTTCATCACACAAGCTAGTGGTTTGGCGCGAGATCGGCTCTTGTTGTGTGTGGACCGCAAGCCACGGGACAGCGGGAACGATGAACCCTGTAGCCTCCACAGACTTTCCAACCTTGGTGTCTACTTGAACAATATGCCTTACACGAACCATGGCCACCACCATCTATACTTCTATCTACCTTCACATACGCCACCGCCATCTGCCTTTTATACCTTTGGCCGACAGCAAAGCCATGAAAGAAAGGAAAAAAATCTTCCCTACGAGTTACCATCTTCAATCATACCACCGTCGCTCATATTTCAGCCCTCGCCCTCGCCCTCGCCCTCGCCCTCGGTTGACGCCCGCCCCAACCAAACCCCGAAGCAGCCCCTCGCCTCCCGTATGGGATCGCTCTATTCGACGATCATGGATGTGGGATAGAGAAAAACTCAGCTCCAGCTTGGGAAAATAGTCTCCCTTGGCGAGGCAATCCCCATCAGCTCTTCTAATACGAAACATCAATAAGCACAATCGGAAGCGAGGAAGGCCTTCGCCCAAATACAATCCAGTAAGGAGGACTCGAAAGGTTTATTGACGGCTATGCCCTTTCTTTGTCCGAACTTTGAACTTCCCTTCACAGATAACTATTCACTAACTTTCTTCTACCTTCCCTTCTCAATCCCCTTATTCACAGACGCATCAGAAAAACAGCAATATTTCGTGGTTATGCAAAAACAGTTTCCAGCTGCAACACAGAAGCAAACCTCGTTCTTGAATATCCAATGGTCAATGATGATGATACCTGAAAAGGTCTGAGGCCAGCGTTGGTACACTATCCCAGAGGGTTAGCCAAAGGCTAAGTGGGCTGCGTCTCCCCTCAGACGAGATACTATCCTCATCGCCAAAACTCGGAAAAAGTCGTAACGCCCGAAGGCAATCATCATTGGGGGTCCTCACCTAAGAATCTGATGTAGGATATTCTATGGCCAATGATGATGATACCTGAAAAGGTCTGAGGCCAGCGTTGGTACACTATCCCAGAGTTAGCCAAAGGCTAAGTGGGCTGCGTCTCCCCTCAGACGAGATACTATCCTCATCGCCAAAGCTCGGAAAAAGTCGTAACGCTCGTGGGCAGTCGTCATTGGGGGTCCTCACCTAAGGATCCAGGGTAGGATATCCTATGGCCAATGATGATGACACCTGAAAAGGTCTGAGGCCAAGTTTGGACCGAGAAAGGCTGTAGAGGGAAGAATGGGCTTCTTTTGTAACCAAGTACCGGGTCTAAACAGTCGGAGTCAGCTCGGCTTCGACAAAAGGGACATGTGGGAAGGCAAACACATGTTTGGAACCTTACCCAGCCCGTTTCTCAAGGACAGGCAGCGGATGATGCAAATGGAGGGATACGGACAACAGTCGGGAGACCTTGAGTGCAGCGAGAGGATGCCAAAGAAGCCTAAAGGCAGGACGATGGTCTAGCTTGATGGCGTTCACTCTGGCAATGGAGGCGGACAGAGGGGTTAATCTCAAACGATGGAGAATAGGTTGGAGGAAGAGGAGAAGACGATGGATGATGGGATTGAAGTGGGAAGACGAAGATGTCAAGGAGAGGAAACAAGCCAAGCACCAGACCAGGAGTGGTCTTACATATACGTCTGCAACTTCTTGAATGCAACTTCCCTGACATTGAAATCAAGACTACCCATGTCGATACGGAAGGCCATGGATGGAGTTCGGAAAGGTTCCAATATTCGCAGGCGCACCTGGAAGTTCTTCCTTCCTCGCATGCAACCCGATGCCAAACCTGTTCTAATTGACAAGAGCAACCCCACCACCACGATCCTGTAACTTGGAGAAGGCGCAGGCCTTTCCGCCTTAATCAAACCGCAGGTACAAACTCCTGACGACATCAGAAATAGCCGGCAAGAACAGCGAACCCAACCTGCGGGCCACTATCAGGTTGACAAGGTGATAGGCACAATTGACGCTGGCTTCCTTCCGGTCATGTCACTCAATATACCCTCATCCCCTTCACACCTCCCTCGAGCGAAGTGGACCCCGAAAAAGGAAACAGGCCGTCCAGTTCGTCACGGAAGGTTTATGGTCTTTCCATTGGTACTTGGAAAGCCCCTCTGCGTCGTCGTTCTTGTCTAGGTAGTCAAGGCTCGTGGATGTTCAGGAAGCTACTTGAGCTCGTTGGACATAAGTCTCTCACAAACTCAGGTCCCAGTCAGTGACTGCCTTTTGAGCAGGTATGAGGCATCTTGGATCGCAGCCATAACGCTCAGCGACGTTCTCCCGAACCCCGATCAGCCATCAGGGGTCATTTGGCTTTGCATTCCACTCCACACACCCCGGTGTCTAGTTTATACTAACATGTTTACTACGGGTACAAAAAGAGAGACTGCCCCGTGATGGTCATTGATAATTAGTGACTTGGAGTTAATCAGAGCAATTGTTATGCTTTACAAGCTCAGAAACCGCCATCCGGTTTACTTCTTGCGCGAGATCGACACCTGGTTGTGGACCCCTCCCGCCAGCAAAGCGGGAACGCCGCCTCCATCCATGCCCCGCCGTCAACCCCGGAGTTTGTTTATTGGAGATCGATATCTTTCTGGTCCGCGCAACTACATACGTTCCGGGCACGTACGGGACATAATTAGAGCAACCCCCGGGAAGCGGACGATGGGAGACAAGACTGCCGCAAAGGGTCGAGCGGCCCAAGACGCGCAAACAGCCGCACTCCCCTCGAAGTAGTCATTTATCGCCTCACCACCCGCCCGGTATCATCACCCATCCGCACGCTCGATTCTGATTACGAAACAGAAAGCTTAATGGGCAGAGCCCCACAATGAACACATCCGAGATGACGTTGGAAAAAGCCTCACTGTTTTGCCTGGCGAAGGAACGGTTACTGTAATAAAAATAAAATAAAACAACGCTTGCACACACACACACACACACACACACACACACACACACACACACACACACACACACACACACACACACACACACACACACACACACACACACCCTCATCTACCAGTGTAACCTAATGCGGTCGAGACGAGGCCTTTAAGCCGACGCCGTGGCCTCGTGGTGCCCCGAGATAGCATATTCCTTGGGTATGAGGTGACGTCACTTAGGCATGAACACATGGCACGCAAGCGCACGTCAGATAAGAAGAAACATGAGCTGATGGGACGAAACAGTCACGAGTTCCATTCTTAAGAGTGCTAAACCTAGCTGCCCGTAAGCCCGGAATACCCACATCCGTCCTTCACCAAAAAAATAGATGGAGGGTTTAGTTTCCCTTTTTTTGAATTTTCTCAATTCCACTGCTCATCCTCATGTCCCAAAAGACACAGTGCTCCGTAGCCGATCGGTAATGACAATATCAGCGAGCCCAAGCATCACCGGTTTTTCTTCCAACTTGCGTCCTGTCCTCCGCGAGAGTCGCTAAACAGCCAAGCTCAGGCTGACTCTTCCAGTCCGCCAACACATGCATAAATGTGTCGTATTCTTCTTCAGTGTCCTAAAACCACTGAATATCCATAATGTCTTATTCGTCAACCCCCAGGATGATTAAAAAGGTGTTCCGAAGCGCAAAGCAAGCGCATGATGCAATGGCTGATGAGGTGAAGCTCGCCAGCATAAATGTCGTTGTGATCCTCCACGGCGTGTTGAAGTGGGGATATGCAGATGTGTAACAAAAACAAAGGGGGGGTATGTGCAAAAATGTGGTATACGCATGAATGGGAGAGAATCGAAGTGTGTGTAGGGGGAGCAGTGTTGTCAGGCCAGCCCATTCCAACCTGTTGTCAAAACCCTGTGATGGCCTTCGGTGTCTTGAGCCATCGCTGCTGGCAAAGCCGATGCGGCAAACCATGTGATGCAGTGCCTCGGCCTCTTCTTCGCATCATGTCGCGATACGAGACAGTTGGGAGAGACAGGAGGAAGTCTGTCCCAAAATGGCTGGCCGGCCTAGGTGTAGTGTGTCGAAATGATTTCGACCAAGAAAATGTTGGAGCATCCTCCAATAGAGCCGTAATCGTAATGCAAAGTGGTGCCCAATGCCACAATGATTGCCCTTCGCGCGAGGGCGTTGTTTGTCGTTTCAAATGCCAGGACGCCGAATCCATGAAATTGTAGAACCGCCGTGTCATGACACGTCATAGAGTGGTGAGATGTGATCTAGGGCGCGCCGGCCAGATCAGGGAAGTCATGACACGGCATTCTAGCCTCGGCCGACCCCGGCCCAACCAATTCGAGCCCAAGGAAACCAAAAAAAATAGAGAGATGCTTCCTCATCAGTCAAACAGACCGATCGCACAGCGCAATCTTCATCCCCAACGCCGTGCTATGCAAAAGTGGTATTATACAGAACCCAGCCGCAGGAGGGCCTCCACCGCATCACGCTCCTGTGCGTCAGACGGGGCCCCAAGCGCTGAGAAGTCGAAAGGCAAAGGTTGGTGGGAGCGAGCCATGCCCGTGGAGACGGTGCGCATGCCGAGAAAGCTGCGCCCGGCAGATTGAGCAGTGGCTCCGGCGGTGTTGTAGGACTCGGCACGGAGAGCCGCAGCTCCTACAGCAGCCCAGTCCTCGTCGTCAGTGGCATCCTCTGGGTCATCGTTCATGTCGATATCGTCATCGTCCGGAGCCTCGGAGCACGAGGCGGAGGCAGAGCCATCCAGGGACATCTTGTCCGCTTCGTTTTCCATCATCATGGCGTCGCGATCGTCGTGGGAGAAGACGATCGAGTCGCCGGCGCTTGAAGAGGCGAGGTTCAGGCGAGACCTGTCCATACCGCGTCCGCCACTCTTGTTAATGGGGATGCCGGATCGGTAGTCAGTCGGGGGCGAAGACCCCCGTGGAGGCTGACCACGTCGTCGGGCATCCCACCGTCCCCAGCCTACCTTCTCGAACTCCACATCGCCATCGACGCCGCCACCCTCAGCTCCGCGACCCTCCAAAGCTCCGACCACCAAGCGGCGCGCCTTCGTCGGAGGGATCCCAGCAAAGCCCGGCACCGACGTCGTCAGATAGCCCATGATGTGGCGGATGGCCAGAGGGCCGTGGTTGAGGAGGATCTCGGGAAGGTGATGCTTGGCCAGCAAAGTGGTGCTGATGGAACCAGTCGCATCGTAGGAAGGCGACCGCGAGGCTTCGCGCCCGAGACCACTAGGGTCGTCGTGCAAGTCCAGGTCAGAGTCGATGGGCTCGAGCCTGGCCTTCTGGAGCTGGGCCTTGAGGCCGTGAGGCGGCAGGGCGGGAGAGATGGAGTTGGGAGGGGTGGGGAGGGCTTGAGATCGTGTCACAGTCGTCGCAGGAACACTCCGAGCCGCTACAACAGTTAAGTTGTCTCGACCCATGTCGGAGGCCTGGTGGATATCGCGAACAGCAGCTGCCATAGTCGCCATGATGTCGTTTAGACGTATCTTGAGCTTCTAGACGTGTCTATAAGCGAAAAACAAGCATTAGCTGGTAGTCTTGTAAAGCGGGGATGCAGAAGACGACGACGACGACGACGACGACGACGACGACGACGACGACGACGACGACGACGACGACGACGAAGGGAAAGGCGAGGTTCGAGGGGGGTTATCTTGCGGCAAGGGGAGGAAAGGGTGGTGATGGTTGGGTTGTGGTGTTGAGTCACCCAGGGCACACTGTTGACGTACTGCTAGAAGCGGAAGGGATGCGATGCAAGTGTGGAACTGTGCGGGTAGGCTCAGTTCGACAGGGTCGGCTAATGACGGGTTGGCAGATCAGGCTGGCAGAGCTGTGGCTGTTGCGATTATCTTGACTGTGACAAGAGAATCTCGTCAGTATTGGTGTGTGATATCTTGGTGATGTTGTATTTGCGATGAAGAAGAAGGAAAAGAAGAAGAGGAAGGGAAAGGGAGGGTCAGGAAGTGCGACAGCCAGGGCTAAGTAAAAGGGCCGTGGACGGATACGGAGATGGGATGGGATTGAGAGTGACAGACAAGACTCACCACCAAAACCTGACTGAATGACTGAGAGCGACACGCACACGCGCACACACACACACACACACACACACACACACACACACACACACACTTATTCGCCTTTCCAACACACACCTTCCTCGAGCAAGCACCACGCCCAGAGCCCAGAGCACCAGCAGCAGGGTAAGGAAGAAAAAGGTACAAGAGATACAAGTGATACATAGCAAGACCTGGGGCGCGTGGAAAGGCAGTGGCCGGGGAGGAGGAGGCCAGAGGGAGCCACAGAGCCCACTGGAGGTACCCACGGCGCCGGACGGATGCAACCCAGGATCAAGGTATCCGCCGTAGAGGATGCGGTACACCCATGTACCTCTCCTCTGTTTCTAGGTGGGTAGATAGGTATGTAGTGTACCTAGTACACCACTACTACACTCGGCAGTCGTGTCTTCTCCCAGATGATCAGATGGATCACTACGATGAAAGACCGGAAGATACGTCAATCAAGGTCGGTCCTGTACGCCAGACACTACGGTACTGCCTGACACTTTGTTTTATGCCCTGGCAGCAGCGGCAGAAAGACACAAGCCCGAGACTTGGCCCGTAGAGCACGCATGCACCTTACCCTTAACCCGCCAAACCACAGCAGCAGCAGCAAGAGACAAAGAACGCCGCCGTCGGGCAGGAAAGGAGACAGAGCGAAGGGGAGCGAAGGCGATGGATGGTGGATGAGGACCGGCGCGCCCTGGGCGTGTGAGTTGGCCACGGGGTGTTGAGGTGTTGGTTGCCAGGTGGTGGTAACTGATGGTGTGTGTGGCTGGTCAGGAAAGTGGCTATTTCCCTGCACTGACACCCCAAAAAAAGGAGTGGGCTGATAAGATGGTAGGTACGTACCGCTACCAATGCGAGGAAGCAGAGGGATGTGTCGTTATCCTCGCGCTTTCTTGTGTTGCCTGTGGATTTCGCCTCCACTTGCCAGAGAGGGATGCGAGGTATTCTATGTACACAGTGTGTCACTGCTCGGTCGCGAAGACTGTGCCATCATTGCTTCTCGCGCTCTGTCTGTCTGTCTGTCTGTCTTCCTGCCCTGCTTTTCTATTCCAGCTGTTTCGGGTAAGCGATTACCTAACCTAGGAAGGGTGATGAGCTGCCTTTTGTGACGATGACTAGCATATTTGGATTCATCGCTTTATCTGCCTGTCGACCACAAACCTTGAATGCGACGCTTCTTGTTCAACGCCTTTGTGTCAGCAACCTTCGGTCCGACGTCCTTTCTTATCCTGGCGGGCTGCTACCTTGACGTGCCTACCCTTTTGTTGGGTAAGGACATCACACAGAGAGATAGACTCTGCAACCCTGCTCATACTCTTTGACCCGTCCGCCTCTGGCTGGTTGCTTTCTCTTTTTGATGGAGGTAGCAAAAAGAGGCTTGACCGACAACACACGACAACCACGCAAACTCCGTTAAAAACCCACCGCCGCAATTGGCAAGCACCCCCCCGTCCCGTAACCTCCAAACAATCCACATCAACGGAGCTTGGGTGGGTTCCAGTCTCCAGAGTTGTCTTTCCAAGCTTACCGCCAACCGACCATCGATCGCCATTTTGCAGACCGATACCTCGGCGTGATGGCTAGTATAGTCGTCGACTCACCGCAACTAAGAACTAGAGAACTAGAACCCGTGATGAGTTGGGCTGTCGTCCGCGACAGTCCACGACGGACCCATCAGACGTCCCATGTGTCGTCCTCGTCTTCACTCGTCCCCCCATGCCGAACCCCGAAGCTACTGAAACGATGTGCCCACTCGTTGCTTTCCCCGGACTGCCGATAGGGTCATCCGGCGGCCGGTATCCAAAGAGAGAGAGAGCATGGGTGACGAGGGGGGAACCACATCCGCGGCCTTCCGGAATTGCAGCCAGAAATCCACAATGCCCCCTCGGCTAGCCCAGAAGCAAAGAGAGGCGACTCCATCGGTATTCAACCCCAACGTCGAGACCAGCTATGGCCTCTCTTGCGGTCGTGATACACCACCACCACAGGGTAGAGAGATCAGGGCCAAAGGGCGGCATTGGGGCCCAGTACCAGATCGCAGAGGAGGTCCCCTGGGCCGGTGACAAACTCGCAGTAAAGTCGATGCTTTGTATCAAGGTCCCCTGCCGAGCATCAAATGTCGACGAAACTCCCGCCCACATCCAGAGCCACGGCACTCTGGACTTCCCGTTCGTCCTTTCTCTATGCTGCCAAAGGGCTGGCGGCCTCTGATGATGCCCATTAGAGCACCGACGCCCATTAAACTACCGACATCCTTCTTGGCAAGTCATTCAAACGTCAAAGTCGAAACCTTGGCATCGGCTACAGCGTCGGCTACCCTACTACCAGGAATCCAACGAACTTGTCGAGGGGGGACGATTCCTGAAGCCTTGAAACTTTGATTTCCAAATCCCATGCCCTTGCGCTGTTTCCATTCTCGTTTGCCCCATCCCAATACAGAGTACCGGATACACTACTCACCCCCTGAGAGGTCCACCGCCGATAACACAACTTTGACTCATGGCATTCGAACTTTCCTTGGCCCCCCATGGTCCCTTGAATGGCGGTCGTGATACCCCTTGAGCTACCTACACACACATTCGGGGTCCAAGATAGGGCTCGAAAACCCCAATCGCGATGCCATTCCCTCCCTCATCGCACACACACCATCATTTGTCGCTATCGTGCCCTCAGCAAAGTACTCGATGCCTGTACGTGCTCGCCAAACCCACTTGCCTTAGTCGGGGTGTCCAAGACGCCGCCCTAGTTCCCGAACGCCCCCATGCTGCTACCTATCCTCAACCTCCCCGGCCAATCGTCCCCATGTCCCATGTCAATGTCCACCATCCATGTCCGCCCATACCTGGGTGCCCGCTGTGAGACTCGGCCACGGGATCGTTCCACTGGAGCGAGCAAGTGAGCAGCAAGCATGAACAGGCGACGACAGCAGACCAGCCAGCGACATCGCATTGCTTCAGTGGGGAGCTCTGGGCGCATGCGTCGCGGGCGGAAACTCTGGGACGGACGGACGGACGGACGGACGGATTGGTGGACGGAGCTCTCTCTATTCTCTCTTTGTTCAAGGCACCTCCTGCGCCAGGGAATGCGACAGGTGTCGTCATCAAGCGCAGACTTCAGTCTCTCCCAGCAACGGCAGCGGCGGGGCCGGGGCACATGGGAATGTGCCCATCCCCTTGTCACAACAACAAGGGCAAACTAGACCTCTTCATCACCGCGCGGCGCACCGAACCCCTTTCTCCTATTTGTGTTGACGATGTTGCAAAACATCCCCAATATAGGGTGTCCGAGACGAGGGTACGAGAAAATTAGAATGGGGAAAAAATCTGCCGTTTGGCGAGATTGGGAATTCCTCTCGCGCCCCTTGCAAAAATGGACGGACCGTCCAAACCCCCCTTTCTTTGGGGAATGGAAGCATTCGAGGAAGAAAGGGAATGAAGGCACCCGCTCCGACGGGTCCTATTGCCGACGCCCATCAAACGGAAGGCAAGTGAGAAACAAGAGAGCGAAGAAAAAGAAAGCATTGGCGAACAGGGGGGCCGCGTTCGTGTAAGTGAACCGACTGTCCGGACCACTGCAATCTCCTCCAAAAGGAAGGGGGGAAAAGGCCACTGGCCCAGCCCAGCTCGGCTAATTACTATACGGTAACATTGTTCTGTTCCTGCTTCTCTTCATATGTCTCATTCCCCCTCATTTCCTTCTCATGTCCAATCGAGACTCCCCAATGTCAAGGACAGACAGCCAGCCTTAGTGTGAGAGAAGGACTTTTGGTATGCGTAAAGCACAATTAATAAAAACAAAAATAAAATAAAACACACCCCCAACAATATGATTAGGGAAAGGTAAAAAAGAGACCGGACTGTCATGCCGCTGCACGTCCAGGCACTGCTTTCCCCATCGCCGGCGAAAAGATCGCGCGACGTGTCCTTCCTTGCCCGTCGGTCGCCAAAAGGTAGATAGATACACACGGCATTGAACAGCTACCCTCCCGCCTCAAGCGCGTTGCGTTGCGACGCGCTTCTCTGACACGGCTGCCATGACACCTGGACCTTGACCTTGGCTCGTTCCCAGTATCATCCATCAGCCAGCTGAGATCCAAGGCCACACACCCGCACTCACTCAAAACCAGGAGGCCGACCATACCAAAAGCATACACACGCACCCGAGGAAGGGGCGTGTCTCTAATGGTCAGCTGCTGCTGCTGCTGCTGCTGCTGCTCTGCTGCATGGGATGGGGCTCCTTATTGAGTTTGCGCCGTTGACAGGCGTGTAGCTACCGGGTACCTCGCGGTACTCTCACCCGTTCCGCGGCTCTCTCCCGCCCACGAAACCCACACCGATCGCGATATCTCGCCCTCTCCACCCGCAGATACACAAATACCACCACAACCACCACAAAAATAAAATAAAATAAAGAAACCAGACAAACCCAGGAGGTGCAACATTCGCAGGTATAACTCGAAATGCCACGGAATCACGGATGCCCATCTCATGCGGAGAGCTGAGATAAGCGCACGCCGCGTTTTGCCCCATGCATGCTGGCGTCGATAAGGTGACGATGAGCCCGTCGTCTGTCGTCGAACAAAACCCATCCCCGCCCGCCTTGTCTCCTCCCCGCCACCCCGGCTGAGGCGCGCATCTCTCTTTGGGCTTGCACACGCGTCCAGCAGCAGGCGTCCTTTGTTGCCCCGGATTTCGTAGCCCCCGAACCAAGAAGAAGACGACCATCGATGAATGGGAGAGATCCGGTGCCTTTCGTTCCCCGCGCCTGCAGTTTCTCGCCCGCGCTTGTTCCCCCCCCTTCCATCGGTCGAATCCGTTGCTTATTCGTCGTTATCCTTCACCCGGGCCCCGCTTCACATGTTCTCGACCCGAAAAAGGAAAATCAAAAATCAAAATAAAAATGAATGAATCCTTCCCTCATTGTGGTTTATGTCGTCAGGTCCGATTCCGCCCCCCGACTAACTAAGTAGTATGTCGCTCATGTACCGCCTCATCTCTCTCCCTCTCCCCTCCCCCTCGTCACGATGAGGTGATGGCCAATGTGCCATGCATCCCGCATCGGGATACGATGCGGGTTTCTGTCCGGTACCTTGCGCTCCCGGTCCGAAGAGATCACATCGCGCTGGGGGGGACGAACAACTACCGTTGGGGTTTCAACAAAAGCCCGGATTCCTGGCCGCAGCACGTCGTGGGCCCTGGAATTGCTGATTCGTATCGATACACACACGAACAGAGAGAGAGAGAGAGCCAGAGTCAGGATCTCCCCGGAATTCGCGCATACCATCCACGTCGCACGTCCACGAGCGCAGCCATCACGTTGCGCCCGCCGTCTTATCTGATTGGTCCCACCCTCAGCCGTGCAAGTCGTGTATCACGCCGCCCCAGATTGCCCCCCCCCCCGTCCTCCTTCGAGGCGCAAGAGCCACAGGGCAACCATCCTTCGTGCCTGGAAGCCCTGCGTTGCGACCAGTAGGGCAAAATCGAAGAACAACAGCAAGGTGACTGGCGTGATGTGTGTGTGTACCTACTGGTACCTACGTCTCGTCGTTGTGGACACGTTGTTTCTGTTTCCCCCCTCGGCTGCGGCCCACGACGAGGCAGCGCCGGACATGTCATCGTCGATCATCATCGAATCAGACTCGCCCGTTGTGATGCGTGTCCGTCAATCCACTGACAAAAATCCCACGTTGCGGCATGCTGCGTCGTCGAGGCTCCGGGCTTTACACTGCAAGCTTCGATTCAACGACGCCCCTCTCCCGATGCTGCCCTCTTCTCGCCGGTCCGCCTCTCTTTCCAACCCCCTCCCTCACCGAGAGTATGTGGGTCTTCGACAGCTCGCCCGCCGCCCCCCACTATTTGCGACTACTCGGCCTGTGATGCCCTCCGCCTTTGGATCGATTCCTACCCGGGCTACCCCTCCCACATCGCGCCGTCACCACTACAACCCGCTGCAGTGACCTCTCACCCCGCTTCTCGTTCAAGATATCACGGCGGGGTGCTCATGCCACACCCCCTCCATGCCTTCTCTGCGCCTTCCCGACCTCTTCCGTTCGCCTGCGTGGTCCCGATCAACCGGTTAACCTGAACCGGCGTCATGCTTCTGCTGCTCTTCCCCAGAGCCGCCTTGGTTTTCGGAAACGTGACAATATGTCGCGCCGTCTGAGCTAGCCAGCCGCGCCGGTCGTCGGAACTTGGCAATGCGCCAATCGTCACACCCACGTTTGGATTCTGGTGGGCACGATAGATAAGAAAGCCTCGGCCTGGGATCCTTGTTGCGCATGGAGTCACGCTGCCGCGACAACCTCGCTTGGGATTATCCCACTTCATTTCGACACATGGGCGTCTTGTTGAACCACCAGGGCTGCGAGCCCTTATCTGGATCGCCGAAAGGTTACGCGCCAATCGACATGTATTCGCGACACGCCTAGTGCTATGGTCAGCGCGCGTGGGCACGTTGGCCATGGGGAAACCCTGACTTACCGCCTTGAGGACGTTGAGGCGCTCTTGGGAATCCCGGAATACCTGCCGGTACTGACCTAGGCTTTCCCGTAGGACGGCGTCCTTGGTCATGCGCCCATCGCATATCGCCTTCATCTTGTTCTCCATCTCTTTGCGCAAGAAAGGCTTGCCCAGACTCGTTTCGAATTCCATGCGATCGAACCCTGTGATGAGTGCCACGCCGAGCTGTGTCGGGATGAAGACCTTGAGCCCCCTCCGGCCCCCCGCCGATGACGCGCCGCGAGCCCCTCTGCCACCCCTTCCGCCGCGACTGCCACGCCCCCCGCGACCCCCTCTGGCTGGCGGCAACGTAGGCCCATCCTGGTCATCGTCACCGTCATCGCCGTCCTGGCCGCGTTGGCCGCCATCCGCTAGCTGGACGTACTCTCTGTCTTGGATCTTCTGGATGTGCTCTGCCATCGTCGCGTCTGTACCGATCCCGTTGGCGTCCATAAGGGCGATGAGATCGGCTTCAGTGAGGTATCCGGGCGGGCTTGTCTTGCCATCCGTCATCATCGCCTCTGTCGGCTGGAAGGTCTCCCCCGGCGTGAACTGCGGGAGCTGCGCAGAGTCATTCCATTTTTCGTAAATAAAAACATCGAGGTAGTTCCGCTCCAAGACGACCAGTCCTCGCGTGTGGAAAGTCTCCTCGCCGTAAAGGATCTCCACGTCTGTTGCGAGGCCCTTGGCGTCGTCTGAGCAGCACGCTAGGAACCGGCGCACGACGTACTCGTACAATTGCTTCTCGTCCGGGTTGAGCACCGTAGGTGCTGCGTACGTTACGGGGTGGATGGGCGGATGGGCCTTGTCATCGTGTTTTCCCTCGCGCGGCTGGTGAAAGTTACCGTCCAGGAGACCCTGCGCATGTTCTCCCCACCTGTTGTCGGATGTTTGTTTCCTGACCAGCGCCTTCAGATCCATGCCTTTGTCGAAGCGGTCTGTCTCGGTTCTAGGGTAACTGATGAACCCCTTATTGTAGAGGCCTTCCGCAATTGTCATTGCTTGCTGTCCACTCATGCGCAAGAGGCGAGTCGCCGCCTTCTGAAGCTCGACGGTCGTCAGGGGTAGAGGCTTCCACTTCCTCGTCGGCTTCTCCTGGACCTTTGTCACCTTGGCCTTCTTCGCCCTGATACAGCGCTCATAGAGGATGACCACAGATATCCGGTCGAAGAGTCGGTTCCGTGACCAGTTGAAGTTGACCTTCTTGCCTTCGCGAGAATGCATGACCTTGATGCTCCAGAACTGCTCGGGGACGAAGTTTTGAACTCGAAAATATCGATCAACCACGAAGCCCAGGGTCGGAAATTGGCACGATCCTAGGCGTCCTGTTAGAAGGTATACGAGAACCAATGCAAGAGCTTACCATAGCTGATTGTTCGTTCTTGCAGAGGCCCGCCAAGCGGTCGAAGGCTGATAGTCAGGAAGCGGGTGAAGGCATAACCGATTCGGAGGTCTAGCTCTATTCGCGCATCCACGGCGTCAACTTGCTTTTGGTCCAGGTCCGTCAAGCGTCGTGCAGCGGTCAAAATATGTCTAGGTCGTGTCAAGAATATCGCCATCCCACAGACAGGGAGAAACATACGCTCGCTCGATGTTGCTGAATGTGGCGCGCTTGACAGCAATTCTGTTGTTGCCTTTCTTGGCGGCATTTACAATCTCTTTTCCGATGTGCTCTCCCTCTCGATCGCAATCCGTCCAGATGATGAGAAGTTGGCAGTATCGGGCCTGGCGTTCAATGTTCTCGGCCACGGTTTTCTTGTCCTGGCAAAGGTCAGCAACTGCGGCATAAAGAGAGCAACATTAGAGAGGTCATACCTGTGGAACCACAGTGACGACTGGTGCTGTGAATAGGCTCTCAGGAGGTGGGTGCGACCAATTCTTGTTCTCGTCGGTGAATTCGAGCCCCGTGAGATGGCCAAGGACGGCGGTCATGGTAACGCTGCAGGGGCCCCATGGTGCGCCAAAGTCGAAGTCGAAGCCGTAGTTCTTGATGTACTGAGAGCGCGTGTTGTGCTGAAAGAGAGGTGAGTCTCGAACGGGAATACGGTAAAGAGTCTGCCCGGACACTCACCACTTCAGGGTTCCGTCCTGCCAAATGGCCAGCAACGGCCTTGGAGATGGACGGCTTCTCTGCGACACAGAGGACCTTCATGGTCTCGCTTTAGAAGCAGCGTGAAGTTCACGAGAGCGGAGTGACGTATGGTGGAGGCGGCTGGCTATGCTTGCTCGCATACTCTGGACATTCATCCACGGGTGTTTTGATAGAAGTGCAGGAGCACGATACGGTAAACTAGTGTCCTGCCTGAGGAGACGCGTCCTTGATAGGCAAACGCCTCAAGCTCTTCTCCTGGCAACCTTTGGCCACTGCAACTTTTACGACTTCAGGAGCATATGAGATGTATTCAGTGCAGCCGATTCAACTTGCACCTGTTAGGTTCTGAGCCTCGCCTCTTCCGAGCTTTCTTTGTAACCCTGAGCCGCGGGAACGTGTACAAAATGTGGCATCTTCTCAGCAAAAAGTGAAGTTTTAGAGGGTTGAAGTGAGGTTCAGTTGCCCCTCGCTAGCAGCCTGGTGCACCCCACAGCGGGGCTGCAGCGCTGATTGGAGCTGTGTCTGGATCGCTGAGCCGTGCCGTGCCGTGCTGCGCTGCTTTACTGATCGCTGGCTGGCGATCTCGCTCACAGATAGATGCCACCATAATCGACTATTAGGGACAAGTTAACATAAGCGAAACGATCTAGTTCGACATCTCATGGCTGGAGAATTTGGAGGAGGATGGATCTACGATGCTGATAGATCTGTCTATGACAGTCCCGTTATACTCAAACGGAGAGCTTGGAGAACGGGCCATCAGTGGTCAAAATGCCCAAAGACCCCTGCACATGCACAGAGCTCGCGGTAGCTATAAGGACCAAGGCTTTCCAGGCCTTCCCGAGGGGGCCGGTCTATGACGCGCTTTTTTTGTACCGTCTTCACACCAACAAGACCCTTTGAACATAACCCATCGCGACCCCTCCGCTCACCACCTCGCAGTGCAATTGTAACTGTAACCTCTTGCAACAGAACCAGACGAGCAGCGTAGACCACAAGACACAATGGCGCTGCCCTCAGTCAGCTCCCTCGAGGAGTGCTCCGAGTGGGCCAGGGTCGCCGAGCCCTTCATCCCGCAGCTCCTCGACCTCCCGCGCAAGATTGCCGCGAGCCCGCAATCGCTTCCCCAGATCTATCTCGAGACGAACCCCCTCGTCTCGGGCTTTGCCTTCTCCCTGCTCATCGCCCTCATCACTCTCGGTCTGTCCGAGTACCACAGGAACTACTCCCAGATCGACCGCCTGTGGAGCTTGCTGCCCAACTGGTACGTCCTGCACACGGCTGCGTGGGCGTACCTGAATGGCGAGCCATCGCACAGAGTCGCTCTCGCCAGTGTCGCGACCACTCTCTGGAGCGTGAGTATTCCGATTCCTGCCCCGTGTGAAGCCACTTACTAAACATGTTCCCCGCAGGCGCGACTGACCTTCAACTACTGGCGCAAAGGAGGCTACGAGCGCGGAAGCGAAGACTATAGATGGTACGCAGAGTGCTCCTCTGGAACCAACCAGCCCTGTTTGGCATGACTAACAATCCCCGACAGGGAAATTGTTCGCAACTACGTCCCCGGCTGGGTCTTCTTCATCTTCAACGTGACCTTCATCTCCTTCTACCAGTCCATCCTCCTTTTCAGCTTCGCCGCCCCACCCGCCTACTCCCTCCTCCTCGTCAGCCGCATCGAGCCCGAGGTCACCGCCGCTGACTGGTCCTTCTTCTCCATCATCGTCGGCCTTGTGCTCAGCGAGTTCGTCAGCGACGGCCAGCAGTGGGATTACCAGCACGCCAAGGCCGCGTACAAGAAGGATGCCAAGGTGCCGCGGGGCTGGGCGCAGGAGGACCTCGACCGCGGTTTCATCACGAACGGGCTTTGGGCGTACAGCAGGCACCCCAACTTCTTCGCCGAGCAGATGATTTGGTTCGTGCTGTACCAGTGGAGCTGTTACGCGACCAAGGTCCTATACAGCTACACGGGCGCGGGCGCCGCGCTCCTCATCATGCTATTCCAGGGCTCGACGTGGCTTACCGAGTTCATCACCTCCGGCAAGTACCCCGAGTACCAGCACTACCAGAAGCAAGTTGGGATGTTCATGCCCAAGTCGCTTTCTGCGTACTCGAAGCCGCAGCCCAAGGTCATCCGGACGAGTGAGCTTGCCAAGAGACAGAGCAAGAAGGACAAATAAACGCGTCAACAATTGGCTAGGCTGTCCACGGACAGTCGGGCCTGTCATCTAACATATCTTGATGGAATGGGGCCATTGAGGCGTTCCGTAGAGACGGCCAAAACATGTGTGTATACTTCTAGGGGATTCTTCTAGTCCTAATGCGGTCTTTAATGGAGTCCATCTATACATTCGGAGCCTGTAGCCATAGCAATCATAAACCCCTTTAACCTGATGTTCATCAAAACGCCCCCTCTTAGGCATCAAGCTTCAAGCTGGCCAAGCTGTCCACGTAGTAAGCCGGCACGGCGACAGCGCCCTCCTTCTCCCAGTCCTCCTTCTTGTTCACGCCCGTCAGCACGGCCAGTGTGCCGCCCAGCTTGCCCTCGATGCCGAACTTGATGTCGGTATCGAGGCGGTCGCCGATCATGCACGTCCGCTCGCGGTTGACGTGGAACTTGCCCTCGATGGCGTCCATCATGGCCTGCGAGGGCTTGCCCAGTGCCAGGGGTTGCTGCTGCGTCATGTTGACGAGCGGGACGGAGATGGAGCCGGCGCCGGGAAAGAAGGTGTGGGACATGGGCAGCGTGCTGTCGGTGTTGGTGGCGAGAAAGACGGCGCCGCGGCGGAGGTACTGGTAGCCCAGCGACAGCTTCAAGTAGTTGATGTGAAAGTCGAGGCCGGCCAGGACGACGCCGACCTCGGGGTCGAGTGCGGAGCCGTCAGCGATGGAGGCAAAGTCCTCGGGCGTGATGTCGCGGCGGAGAGCCGGGTCCGTGCCGCCGATGAAGTCGACCCCCTCGGCGCGGAGCTCGGCCTCGATGCCGGCCTCGCCGATGACGAAGACCTTGCGCTTGCCGGCGGGCAGCTCGAGGATGCGGGAGACATAGACGGCAGAGGAGTAGGCGGAGCCGAAGATGTCCTCGACCTCGGATGGGATGTCGAGGGCGGCGAACTTCTTGTGGTAGTCCGGGCGTGACTTTGTCGAGTTGTTGGTCACGAAGACGGTGCGCTTGCCTGTTGGTTGGGGGGAACAATGATGAGAACTCGGTGAACAGGGACGTCTGTGCGTGTGCGTGTGCCAAGGGACGGTCAAAGGGGTTGAGATATGTTGGGGTGCTTGAGGTTACTGAGGGGAGGGGGAGGGGGAGGGGGAGGGGGAGAGGGTGATGATCATGAGAAGGGTGAGCAACCTCTTGAGCGAAGAAAGGCGAGAGTCTCGCGGATGCCATCGAAAAGGTGGTCGCCGGACCAGAGGACGCCTATTCCGGGGCGGTGCAGTGGTCAGCCGGGTTCGGACGAAGAGCACTGCCTACTACGGATCGGAGACGACGAGATGTATTTACCATCGCAATCAATCAGAAAGACCTGGGTTCACCTCGCCATTAGCCATCGCTCATTGCGCTCATCTCCTCTCATGCCACCATCGTGAGATGCTCAAAAAGGTGAAGAAAATGACTCAGATTGAGGTGAGGGGCGGAGAGGGGGGAGGGAGGCTGTCCGCTCACGTCAAACTTGTCGAGGAATTCTTGGATGGCGGGGGCATCGCCGGTGAGGTATTTGGGCTGCTGAGACATCGTGACTTTTCAGAGGGTTTAATGTTTCTTTGTCTTTTTTTTTTCAGTTTCAACGAAACTCTAGGACAGCAGATATGAGATGCAGCAGTGAGTTACGGAGATTGAGGGCCAAGCGTGTCCATTTGCGGGCGGAATGCGGGCGGGATGAGACGGAAGTGGGAAGTGAAGTTGGACGGCCATCGTCCGATTGGTCAGGCGTGTCTGCGGCGGCGCTTTTGCGTGTTGCGTGTTGCGGCTGGTTTACGGGGGCGGGTCAGTGCTGGTGCTGCGGTCTTGAGATTATTGAAACCTGGGGGAAGGAGAGGCGGACTGAGACGGTGCGGTATCGGCTTGCTTTGAGATGAGGAGGAGACATGTAATTTCTCGGCTCGTGCGCAGTGTAGCCGGGTAGGTCTACATCATCGAGAAAGAGGTGGGACATTTCAGTCAGACCTGGAATGGACAAACGATGAGATCTCGAGGCACCCACGGGAATACCTAGAATACCCAATTCAAACCGAACCCATCCCTCTTTTCAATTTTACAGGCTTCCCCGGATTTTATCCAGCGGCACTCAAGGCAGTTTCGAGAGAAATTCAATCGCATCCATAATAGTCACCTCTTCTCCAGACTCATTTCCCCGCAAGCGAAACCGGACCGCCACGAGCTGTAAGGCGCGGCCAACCCGCATTCTTATCCATTCAGTATCAACGGAACATGCCCATCCCGCATATCAACGCAGTGGCAGGCTTGGCGCGCCCGTACGGGGCAATTCAACAGAAGTGAAACAAACACCTGCATGACCCAGAAAGGATGAGGAACGGCAACTTGGCACATAGTTTCCCCTCACTCTACTATTTTTGCCGGGCAGCCAACGACGCCACTTTCGTTTTAGACCAACAGGGCGTCGTATATACCGCCATTCAACAATGCGAAACCTGGGTGGCGTGAACAGGATGCAAGACACGAGCACGACCTGCAGACTGCAGACTACCGACCACCCACCTAGCTCGCTCCTCTCGCACGCGGGAGCGGGCGTACGAAGGCCAGTGATGCGGCCCCGCGCGGACGAAGGAATTAAGCGCACACGCATCTCCGAGTGCGGAGTTGCTACGTCCTGTCGGGCTTGCATGGCATGTTGTGTCGGCGCCTTTGTTCCGTTCTCGATGCTGACTATTATGGTCCACTCTTCAATCAGTAGTAATTCGACCTGCATTCTTATGCAAGTCGGGCCTACCAGGCTCTGTCGGCGGCGGCGATGCTGATTACCAAGGCAGGTGACGTCACCCCGTCGCAGAGCAGCAGCGTGTTGCATGAGTCGTTGAACGGTCTTGCCGGTGGTGGCGTCAAAAACGATTATGCCATATCGGCCTTTCTATTTTTCTTCTATTTTCTTTGGTGGTGTTTACGCTATTCTACCCTTGTGACATGTGTGCAGATCCTCCCTCTTCAGCAGATCACGCATGTCATCGCTCGTGCTCAATCTTCAACCTAGAAATGTCTGAGATCCCCCACCAAAAGCCCCGGGACCTCTACATGTGTACCGCGAAAGGCACCAAGCACGAAGCCGTCCTTGGCCGCATCCGAACCAGACTAGTTGGTAAATGGGGGCGGCACGAGTGTCGATCAGCGGCACCCTTCGAGTGGGAAAGAAAGGGACACTACTAGCGGCCCCCACCGTCCTCGAAGGGACTTCCCAGCTGCACCTGCATGCCAAGTGTCCGCGGCTCCTCCGTTCGCTTACAAACCCCAACCACGGGCCTACGGCTTCATATCTCATCCTATCCCACTACCCTCCTTCCCCGGGACCGAGGCGGCTCGTATCCGACTGTAGTTTTGGCATGCTTTCGAGGGACTAAGTTTGCGAGAACCGGTCATCCGCGGGCAAGTCCACTGCACGCTTCATTCCTACGGCGGTGAAGGTAGGTGAATGGGTGGCCGCCTCACCGCTTTCGCTTGTTTCACCGACAAGCTGAGACCCTGGTGATTGAGCGTGGGGGTATGACAATCGGAAGAAGGAAAGGGCATGGATCGTGACTTTACTCTCCCCAAAGGCCTAGGCCTTCTTCCGGGGAAAGAGCACGGGATGCTGATGTTGGAACGTTGAAGATGGTGGGGTGGCTGGCTGGCTGGCTGGTCCTACCTCGGGCATGGCTTGGAAAGAAAAGCTGGTAGGAGAGGTGAAGTCCAATGTTTGTTGGTACCCAGGTATCTATCTAGGTGAAGCAGAACCTCGCCAAGCCGTAATGAAAAGCAGCAAATAAAATACACCCACTAATCCACTAGTCCAGCCCGATCCGGCTCAACGCATCTTGTCCAGAATACTACTGCCGACTTACCGAGTTCGCTGGCTTTCCATCTGGTCCTTTCGGTCCGGTTGCTCCTTCCCACCCACGAGAGGCATGAACCCAAGATAAGAAAGAAAGAAAAAAAAAAAAAGGTCCTCCTCGTCTGTTTGCACGTTATAAAATCTCTTCCTTCCCTGTTCGCCACATCTCTGACTCTACGGCCCCACGTACCTACCCTTTCTCGATCAAACAGCAGCATCCGGCACACGAGATAAATACCGGGGCTCCTTGACCTTCTTCCACCTCGTGGCGATCGATCCGGATTTCTTCGACTCAATATCTACAAAGAGAGAATCAAGCATTGATACAACAACCTAAAAGAGCAGTTCTCCGCTACGCACCTACACCACGTCAACCCACACGGTCCCTGCCTCGCACCTTGCTTACAGCCTTGCTTTCTCCGATATCCCCTACCTATCTCACATAAATACCTTCCCTTATCACCCTCCTCCTTCTTCTTCCTCCACCAACGCAGATCCTTGTCGCAGCAAGAAAAAGCACATAAAACCATCCCGAGGAACCTAACACTTCCCTACCTGCCCACGCGCGCGGCACGCTATCGATCTTATTTTTCTCCACTACCCAAAACTTCCGTCTCATCAATATTGGGACCGGAAAAAAAAGGTACCATCATCAAATCACGTCACCCCACCATCCGTGCTCATTTTCGGCCCCGAATTTAATAGCAGCCATGGCCCCCGTCACCCTCACCGAGGACCAGCTTCTTGGCCTGCGTTCTATTCCCCCCTATGACTACAGAATGGCTTCTCGCACCAACACCGCCCAGACGCCTGCTACCGCTTCCACCGACGCCTCCTCTCAGGCCGACTACTTCACCTCCTCCCTGAGCTCGGCCACTAACTCGTCTCGCAACTCGGTTGAGCTCCAAGACGGCGCTGTTGCTGTCGAGACCCCTGGCGGCACCATCACCACCCACAAGACCAAGAACCGCCTGCCACCTCTCTCCCGCGAGTTCCCCAAACCTACCAAGGAAATCGACGTCGAGGAGGCCCTCGCCCGCAAACCCGGCCGCTGGACCGTCAGGGGCGCCCTCGCCGTCGAGAGACCCGCTCAGGTCGTCGACGAGGAGAAGCTCAAGGCCCAGCGCCGCCAGGCCCTTGAGGACGCCAAAAAGGAGCTGTTTGCCGCCAGCGAGATGCTCAAGACCACGACGCTTCCGTCCCGCAAGGACATTTAGGCGACGTACGAGAACAGCCGTGGTGTGGCTTTGGAGCAATCTGACCACGAAGATGGTTGCGAAACCATCATCACCATTACCCACGAAGCACCACTTGCGACAACTGCATTTTCATGTTCCTGTATTTTCAGTAAACTTCGACACTCGGCTTTTTCGGCACGCGAACGGACTCGCGGCGGCCATCAGGTGCCAGTCGAAGAAGATACCCAGCTAAGAGCGTATTAAGAACCGGGGAAGAGCACCCGGACTATCCGAGACAGAGGACAGAGGGCATCAGACGGCAGCAGTGTTTCGGCGCAGCAGCAGCGTGCGGAGAGCAATGCCATTAAAATTACCCTGGGAAAGGAAAGGGGCGTTTCATTCGAGGCTGAGTCATGGTTTTTGTTCCGCATTCATGGCAAGGGAGAGAGAAAAAGGAATTGAGATGGGGATTTTCTGATAAACAAGCTTGCGTATTCATTTCTTGCAGTGTTGTGCCAACCTGTGCATACGATGATGCCTTGAGCAGATCCCAATAAATGGCTTTGGCCGACCTAAACACTTTAATCCACGCGAACCGTTCCCTTACACTGTTTGATGTACATGAAAGCTGACCGGCTTTTTCATCCTTTTTCTTAGTCGAGGCGCGCGGCCAGTGTGAAGCCATACTGGATCATGGCGATGAAACCAGCGAGGTTGATGAGGGTAGAGATGCCGTGGAGCTTACCGAACGACTTGTTGAGGGCTTGCATCTCCTGCGAGTGAGGCGCGGGTTCGTAGCTCTTCTTTCCGTCTTTCTTCTCTGTAACGGTCTGCTGTCAGCTGCTTCCGTCCGTGCGTTTGCTTTTCCCCACGGAACACAAGTCATTTGCACACGTACCCTGTGCGTATCTGGCCTTCATGACGGTCACGGTCTTGGGCAGGACGACGACGAGGTTGACGAGGCCGGTGACGAACATGGTGGCGATGGGCAGCAGCGCGCTGTAGCGGTTGGACTCCTGGAGCAGGCCGCTGATGCTGCTGGCGTGCTCGCCCAGGAGGCCGCGGCTGCCCGGGTACGTCAGGGCGAGGACAGTGGGGAGGGCCGTCTGGATGGTGAAGTAGACGGGGAAGAGGGCGTTCTGGGCGGTGGAGAAGGCGGGCCGCTCGAGGACACGGAACATGGTGATGCCATTGACGAAGGACTTTTTGCGGCCGATGCGTTAGCCACGTCACGTCGTGATGGGTTTTTTTGCATCGAGTGCCATTTATTCTGCATCGCACGGCGACTTACATGGAAGAAAGTCGTTCCCAGGAGGGCGCCATAGCTGAGCCAACGAGGTTAGGCAGTGATGATGCAAGACCTTCGGTCGTGTTGGTTCATGAGGGCGGGGTTACGGCTTACGAGATGATGTGGTACGGCCCGAGGGAATAGACGATGGAGTCAGACATGATGGGCGGTCGTGATTATTTGCAAGGTGATTCGACAATTTGCTAGCTACCTACTCGTCGGATTGGAGTTGGAGTCGTTGAAGTTGAAAGAACGCTGCGAGGTTGCGTTGGAGACCTGCACTAACTAAAACGAGAGGTACCGTCTGGAGCGAGTGGCTCAGGAGGGGACAGGTGTCTGGAAGAATGCATGAGGTCACCTCCACAATACCTAGGTAGCGCCATTTTGGCAACCCGACGACAACGCTTAGAAGCCACATGCTTTATTTGAGGAGACCCTGCTCATGAGTCGCCCAGACTTTGTGCTGCAAATTGCTAAAGGTTTTCGTCAGGGCATGTCATGGATATCCCAAAGACCTGCCCGGGGAAAGAATGAGTACTCACTAATGAGATTCCCATTGAGAATGTTGCTTGTCGACGTCACGTGAACGCGCGATGACACTCGCTGCGCTGCGCTGCAGCTTAACGCGGTGTGCTGGGTCGCGCAGCAGCCTGGAGCTCGATGGGACCTCATCTGCCTAAATCGAGCCAGGGTCCAGGTCCAAGTCGGTTCAAGTCCCGCTCGCCGTCGCAACGACACTCATCAATACCCGGATCTCCTTCTGGGCCTGCTGGGTTGTTTTCTCCCTCCCTAAGGGGCTCGCGAATTCAATGCCCAGTCCTTACTGACATCACCAAATCACTTGCCCCCTCATCAACCTGCCCGCAATGGCCGACAAGGAGGCGTCAGTCTACATCGTCGACCTCGGTTTGTCCATGGCCGACTGCCATAACGGTCGCGCCGAGCCGGATCTGGACTGGAGCATGCGCTATGTCTGGGACAAGATCTCGACCACGGTCGCGGCCTCGCGCAAGACGTGGACCGTCGGCGTCGTTGGTCTCAAGACGCACGAGACGCGGAACGCCATGCAGGACGACGAAGGGTACGAGAACATCTCCGTCTTGCAGGAGCTCGGTCCCATGACCATGACCTCGCTGCGGGAGCTCAAGGAAGCGATCAAGCCAAGTGAGACGGCGAATGGCGATGCCGTCTCCGCAGTTGTCATCGCTGTGGACATGATTGAGACTTTCACCAAGAAGCTCAAGTACAAGAGGCGCATCTATCTTGTCACTGACGGGTTGGCTCCGATCGATGGTGACGACGTCGACGCAATTGCAAAGAAAATTAATCAAGACGGGATTGAATTGATTGTCTTGTAGGTCTGGAGGGCCGTCGATTGGGTCTCCTCACTAACACATGCAGGGGCGTGGATTTTGACGACGTAGATTACGGCTTTAAGGAAGAGGACAAACCATCGATCAAAGTTGGTGATCTTTTTTCCTCCCCGCTTCGCCTACTCTACTGATGTCCTCTACAGAAAAAGAATGAGGGTATTCTCAAAGACTTGGTCTCGAAATGCGACAACGCTCAGTTCGCAACTATCGCGGAAGCCATCGACGAGCTTGACACCCCGCGCCTCAAGCCCGTCAGGCCCTACAAGACCTACGACGGGCCCCTGACGCTCGGCCTCGCCGACCCGCCCCCAGAGCTTAAGATTCCGCCCACGCCCGTCGTCATCAACGTCGAGCGCTACTTTAAGACCAAGCAGGCCAAGCCCCCGACGGCCTCCACGGTCGTCGTGTCAGCGGCGGGCCAGGGCGCCGCGTCGCAGTCAATGCAGATGGCCGGAGGTGACCCCATGGAGGGCGTCGAGTCTAATGCAGGCCTCGCGGCGGTTAAGTCCGCGAGGACGTACAAGATCAACGACCCGGACGCTCCGGGAGGTAAGCGCGACGTCGAGTTCGAGTCGTTGGCCAAGGGGTACGAGTACGGACGTACGGCAGTGGCCATTAGTGAGTCAGAATGGAACGTCACAAGGCTCGAGACTGTCAGGAGCTTCAGTATCATCGGCTTCATCCCTTGTGAAAAGGTACGATTTTCTCCCTCGCCACGGATGCCCTTTTTTTTTTTTTTTTTTAACTCACTCTGGTCTAGTACGAACCGTTTCTCAACATGGGCGAGACCTGCGTGACTGTCGGCCGCAAGTTTGACGAAAAGTCGCAGCTCGCCCTCTCCTCCCTCATCCACGCTCTCTACGAGCTCGAGTCCTACGCTGTCGCCCGTCTCGTAGTCAAGGACAATAAGGACCCCGTCCTGGTCCTTCTCGCCCCGTGCATCGAGCCGGACATGGAATGCCTCTACGACGTGCCCCTCCCCTTCGCCGAAGACGTGCGCGGGTACCAGTTCCCGCCCCTCGACCGGATCATCACCGTCAGCGGGCAGAAGATCACGGCAAATCACCGCCTGTTACCTGGTGACGAGCTTACCGATGCGATGAGCGATTACGTCGACTCCATGGACCTGAGCAGTTTCGGGGCTGACGATGAAGGGTAAGCGATCCTTGCAGGCGGAATGCAAGTCACGCCGCTGACACTCGTGCAGAAACCCGTCAGAGTACGCCGCCATCGAGGATACCTACAACCCCATCATCCACAGAATCAACCAGGCCATCCGCCAAAGGGCGGTCAACCCCGAGGGTGCCATCGATCCTGTCCCTCCGATACTTGTCCGCTACGCCGCGCCGCCTGCGGATCTAGTCGACAAGTCAAGATCCCAAATCGAAACCCTCGTCTCTGCGGCGCAAGTCAAGAAAGGTAATGCAGCGAGCTCCGGCTCCCCCCCCCCCCCCCCTTATGCAGAACCCTGCCGCTGACAGATAAACCCTCCCCCACCAGTTCCCCCGAAAGCAAAAGGCAAGCGCAAGTATGAGGGCACGAAACCCCTGTCAGGCCTCGATGTCGACGCCCTCCTCGGCACGCAGCCCAAGCGCCCCAAGATCTCGGCGGAAAACGCCATCCCCGAGTTCAAGCGTGCCCTCGCCGTCGCCGACGAGGTCGATGCGATCCGCGACGCCGCACGCCAGATGGGCGACATCGTCGCTCAGCTCATCGCCGACAGCTTCGGCGATGCAAACTACGCCCGCGCCACCGAGAACCTCAGCGTCCTGCGCGGCGGCCTGGTCGACCTCGAGGAGCCAGGTGTTTACAACGACGTCATCAAGGGCCTCAAGACCAAGGTGCTCTCAGGGGAACTGGGCGGCGACCGGCGCGAGATGTGGTGGAAGATCCGGACGTCGAGGCTGGGGCTCATTGACCAAGCGACGTCCGAGGTGTCGGATGTCACAAGTGAGCAGGCTGATGAGGTGTGTTTTTTCGTCCATGATGAGACGCGGATATGACATTGCTAACATAGCTGCAGTTTCTAAAATCAAAATAACGGATGGGTTATGAGGCGGGCGTTCGTTCATGTACATCAGGAGTTATCAATGATGGGTCTCAATCGAACCCATACAGCATGCCTGCTATGGGACTTTATTTGCTTCTAGTCACCCTTTAGTGTTATGTGACATCGGCACAAGAGCCCATTCTCAGGCATCAGTCAACTATCATTCAGCCTCCATGTTCAGGTTCTTCCTCTGACCCTTATCAACTCTCGCCGCAACCGCCAGGCCAAGCATCGCCTGCATGGTGTAGGCCGCGTCGTTGCCCGCATTGTGAAGGTTGCTGTGCGGTATGCCCAGATCAGTGAGCACCGCGGCCAAGCTGCGGCCCTGTGTCTCCTGGCGCCAGGCCTGGTACATGTCCTTGGTGTCGAGGGTTCGGCTCATGACGCCGCCGATGCCCCATAACTCCACGTTCATTCTTTCCAGGTAGCCGATATCGGATCGTAGATCGTGACCGAGAAGAACGACGTTACGGAACCGCCTGTCGGCGTCAGCGATGCCCTCTTGGCCGGCGACGGAGAGGTCGGTGATGGCCGCAATGATCGAGGGGCCGAGGTTGCTGAGCTTGGGATACTCGCTTATACTAATCTTCTGTTAGCCCGCGCTCGCATGATTTCTGCTTCGAAAAGACTTACCCAAAATTGAAGAGCTCGGGGCAGCCTTTGATGTACTTGCGGTTGCGGATGTGACGATGCTCATCGGTGATGAGGTGGCGACTCCTGATGAACGGGATCCAGTTGCAGCCATTCTTGCCGGGCGGGATGCCGGAAATGTCCCTGGTGTCTAATATCGACAGTCCGATTTCGAGAACGGTACCGTGGTGCTCCTCGGCAACCTCAATATCGATGCATACAAACACGACATCCTGGTCCCGGGCGTGGAGTAACGGCTCGTCCAGCGCGATCTGCCTATCCTTCTCGGTGGCATCGCTCGCCCTGGGGCGGAGACCGAGGTACAGCTGTGCGTCATAAAGCGACTCGTCACGGCTCTGGGCCTTCTGCTGCTTCTTCTTCTTGCCCTTGATCTTTATATCTTTGTAGTTATTGTGCATGTTGAGGAGGGACAGGAGCATTTCCTTGCCCAAGGTGGTGGCGTTGGAGCAGGCATCGTCCACTCCCGCGGGCGGGATTGCCCCACGGAGGGCACGGTACTCGTTGTGTGAAGCCGAGCGGGCGATGTACTTTGGGCGGATGGTGCAGCTCGAGCCGAAGTTGATGTAGAACATCTCGCCGGGCTTGCCAGGGGGGATGGTCAGCATCGTCTGGATCGAAGCGTTGATCACGTTAAGGAAGTGCTGGAATTGCTTGGTTGGGACGAAGATGTAAGGCATACTGTCCAAGGCCTGAGGGTGGTAGACATAGAAACTGGACAAACGTTAAAGGATTATTGAGAGACGCAACTTGTCGGAGCTGGGCTGAAAGGCTTACAAGTCCCAGATCTGGTCTTCGGTCATGTCATCAAAGAAAGGTTGGGCCTAAAGGGATATGTTAGCCGAGCCCTCGTAGCTCATAGTGGAACTCGCCTTTGGTCGATTGGTCTTGCCGATGAAACTCGAGGGGTATCTCTGAACTAGGTCCCACGCGACGAAGGCCATGCCATCCTCGGAGAGATCGCCGGCCCTCATGTTATTGAACTCTGGGAAGTTCTGCGAGATGAGAGCGTGAAAGTCGGCGGGCGCCAGTTTCTCGGACTTGGAAGGCTTGAGAGGTGGTCCAACGTAAGGAGCAATCGCGTTGGAGAGAGTCGACTGAGTGATGGACTTGCCCTTCAAGGCAGCTTTATTGGCAGCGGTCTGACGATCCATGACGAGAGGGTCAAGGACGATGGTCTCGGGGGTTTCTTCGACTTCTTGGTGCGAAACTTCCTCGAAACGTATTTTGCCGCCAAAGGCCTTCACAAGACGCTCAATCTGCTGGGCTTGGGTGAGCGCCATCCCGGTCGGAAGGGGGAGGGGACAAAGTAGGTAGGTGTATGCAGTGAGTCGATCGGCAAGAGAAAGTTTGACTTTTGTGGCTTTTGCGCTGAACCGGGAACGGGTGAAGTGCTCAGGATACAGAAAGAGGTTGGTAGCAGCTGCCACGACAGATAGTCTGGTGGATGAACGAATACCTGTTGGTAGGTGTGGTGCTGATAAGTGAAACCAAATACAAACGGTCCTTATCCAGGGAGCCCAAATAAACAGTCAGGGCAATGAATAGGCAGCAACGAGTGCAGTGCCGTACGCCGTCCCTTCCCCATTGGCACTTCTCGACAAGCTGGCTCATACCCAAGTAATGAATATACAGAGCGTCCGGCTCATATGGAGAAGTCATAGCTGATCATGATGGGGACCAGAAAATGTGCTGAAATAGTACTTTTGTGCTTATTTTCATAACTGTTCTCATCATAACATTTGTTTATATACCTCGAAGTTACTAGTCCCAAACTGCTTAAGAGCTTTGCTGCAAACAAAATCAACACCTATCATCTATTGAAACTCTTTTCTTGGCTTTCCAGTATATGTCTAGAGCTTGCTGGGGTATCAAGATGCACCTGCTTATCATACAAAGATCTAAGATCATCACATGTCATGGCGGTTGATAAAGCACTGGGCAAATACTTTTGTTAACCTAACTTTTGCCAAACTTGCTGCTATACAGCCGCTGGCAATGCAGAACAACGCAACTCTGTATTTGACTAACAACAAACAGCCTGGTACTGTATATTGTGTCGTATTGAATCACCTGATAAGAAGGGTTGGCCTTCCTGAAGCTTCTCACTTAGGGAGCCTAAAGAAACTGATGATATCACCGTTGGTAAATCATTCCAACTTGACATCACTCAAACCCTCATTGGCAACGAAGAGCGTGGGCCATAGACACCGAGGCTCACCCAGTTAAGATAACTGTAGTGTGTTGATGAATATAGTCGCTCTAAACCCCTATAAGCGGGCTAGTGCAGTTTACTCGGTACATTTGTAATATCATGGTACGTAATATAGTGTGTATACATGGGAGAGAAGAGAGACGAGAGGGCCTCATGCCATTATACATAATGTTACAAGATGCCCTAATATCCAAAGACCAGTCCAGTCGCTACACGACCCTTATTTACCCCTTTCCTCAGAGGAAATCGCCCAAAAAACGCCACCGCTATGAAGAACGACCAGTCTGATATTATTACAAGTACCCTCGACCAATAAGCATGACCTCCTGCAAGGAAGTTCTGGCTCTAGGCACGTGAGCACCCCTTCTTTTCGTTTGTTGTTACATTTCGCAGTCTCCAGTTGCCGAGGCCATTGGATGGCTAGGGTCAAGATGTCGTTTTCTCGAGCAACTCCTTGGCCTCATTGACCTTGGTCGCAAGGTACGGACTGCCCCCGCGATCGGGGTGGTTGAGGAGCATGAGCGTGCGATGCGCCTTGCGAATCTTATCACGGGTGACACCGCTTTCCCTAGAGGTCACTCTGTTAGCTACCGGACTCTGGGCTTGGTTGTCGATGTCTCTCGCAGGACCGGCTCGCAGGACCGGGCAGGGTTCGTCGCTTACTGGAGGGAGAGGATGAGGCAGGCCTCGCGCTTGTTCATCCGGGGCTCGAAGCCGCCCTTGTAAAAAGCCTTGCCCATCGCGCCCACGCCGCCGCGGGATCGGCGCCATGCGACAAGACCGGCTCGGCCCTACAGGTATCTCGTCAGTCATTTGTTCACCACAGTTACGGATGCGAGAGTAGACATACCAAGAAAGCTGCAACGGCAGCGCCGGCTCCAACAGCGATAACAGAGGCCATTATTTATGGGTTTCGTTTGTTTCGTCGGGTGTAGTGGTTGAGGATGATGGATGGCTGCGGAAAACGCGGGTGGTTATCGCGAAGAAGGTCCTGGATCCGGAGAGCTTTTTTTCTGGAGTTCGCCGCTCCAAAGCCGTGATGCGCCGGCGGGCTGGTCCGTGCTTTCTGTGAGTTCTTCGGAGAACATGTTCTTCCGCCCAGTAAGCCAGTGAGGAGAAAGAAAGCTCGAGCCAGGTCCCTTGGTCCCCGCCGGTCCTCTAGTCCCATCACACTCACTGGCTGGCTGCGCTAGGCACTGCCCCACCACAATCGATAAGCGGCGCCTGGGAGCGGCAGAAGAAAAATTTCTAAAAAACTTCCAGCGGCAAAGCTTCGATCACCGCCTTCCGCTGACCCTCTGTGCGTGTGAGTGTGTGTGGAAGCGTCGTCAAGAAAACAACACCTACAACCAAACCTTGTGACTGCCCCCCCACCGTGATACCCGTGAAGGTATCGACGCCGTCGCAATGAGGTACGTCTCTGCTTTATTCTTCATTCCCCTGGAACAGAGGTGTCTACGAGTGTTTCCGAACAAACTTCTAACCCGTGATGCATCTAGAATCGAGACGTGCTACTTCTGCAGTCGCCCTGCTTATCCAAGCAAGGGTATCACCTTTGTCCGCAACGATGCTAAGGTCTTCCGCTTCTGCCGCAGCAAATGCCACAAGAACGTACGTCCTCGATGGCCCCCTCCACCGCACCCGCGAAGAATGGAAACTAACAGCCAGACCAACAGTTCAAGATGAAGCGTAACCCCCGCAAGCTCAAGTGGACAAAGGCGTACCGCGCCTCGGCGCACAAGGAGATGACGGTCGACAGCACCCTTCAGTTCGGCGCGCGGCGCAACGTCCCCGTGCGGTACGACCGCGACCTCGTCGCCAAGACGCTCAAGGCTATGGAGCGCGTGTCCGAGATCCGGTCCCGCCGCGAGCGCGTCTTCTACAAGAAGCGTATGCAGGGCAAGCGCGAGCGCGAGATCGCCGCCGCCCGCAAGCTCGTCGCCGAGAACGAGCACCTGCTCCCGCGCCTGCGTGGCTCCGAGAAGAAGAGGCTGGCGGCCGAGGGCGCCACCGAGGACGAGATCGCCGCCCTCGAGGCCGAGGGCCGCGTGCTCTCCAAGAACAAGGCCGGCAAGGTCTTTGGCAAGGAGAAGATCCGCCAGCGCGTCACGGTCGACGGCGACGTCGTCGAGGAGCGCGAGGGCGTCATGCAGCAGGACGACGGCGAGTGGGACGACGATGATGCCGAGGACGACGACGAGGAGGAGGATGGCGATGTCGACATGGAGGACTGAAGACGACGATGGTGAGAGCAGAGAGGGAGAAGAGAAGATGCCGGTTCACGTCTTACGTACGACCAATCAAGCGTTTAGAGGAGGACAAAGACGAAGACGGAAGGCAAAGAAGAAAGAGACGAGATGCCAATCGATGGGGTCCCTCTGTCTCGTCTCCCCGTTCGTGGGACTGGCGAGACGAGGCGGCTTTTTGGGAGGGCTTTATTTTTATCGGGCGTTCAGGGATACAAAAGGGCGGTTAGCATCGACGGCGTTTGGTGGCTCTGAGAAGAAGGAATACCAAAAAAAAGTTATCCGAGGTCCAGATTCAGATCGGCCCCCTTCGTCATCTCAGTCCACCGCCTTTGCTTTCTCTCCCTGTCTGCAGGATGCTCGTGTCCTCCGCGGCCCGTCGCAGGAGCCAATTGGAGGCTTTCTCAAGTAACACAAGTAGGATGACCTCTGCTACCATGTTGGGCAAATCAGTGGGTTAGGAGGCTTGTTGTGGAAGAGGCACAACGCATGTCTATTCTAGACAAGAGGAGCAAGCAAGGTAGATGCTGCGAAATACGACCCCACGAATACAGCACCCAAGCATCAATGCGAAAGTGAAGCGCCCAAAACGAGGGTTGCGGGTATCAATATCTTGGACAGCCACACATCCCAGCCAAACCCCCCCCTCCTCTGAACTCCAAGTTTTCCCAATGCCAGCCGTCAACGGTGGTAGCCTAACGTGAAAAAGACCTTGCTCTGCGGACACACAAACACACAAACACACGGACGGGGATCAGGCGCTCTCCTCGTCCTTCTTGGCGGCGTGCTGATACGCCCTCGGCGGCATCGGGAGCCCAGCCTCGACGTCCTCGATGATCTTCCTCTCCAGCGCCTGCTTGCGCTCAGCCTCGTCCTCGGCAGTCTCGCCGCCGCCGGGCACGCTCGAATCCCCGTAGTTCCCCGCCCCGCCCCGCCCGGAGGCGCCCCTCGCCGACCGCGCGAGGCTGGCGCTCACGGCCGCCTGCGTCTTGCCCGCGGCCTCTTCCTGCTGCTTGGCGTCCGGGAGGGAGGATGGGTCGTGGAAGTTTCCCGCGCCGCCCCGCCCTGCGCGCGCGTAACCGCCGGCCGTCGGGGACCTCGGGCCGGTGGCCGCCGCCGCCGCCGTCGCATTGGTGGTCTTCTGGGCCTCGAGGTCCTGTTTGTCGGGGGGTCGCAGGTGAGCATGTGTTTCCATGACGTTCAAAGTCACGGACGAAAGAAAGAAGCAGCCGTGTGGGGCTTTAACGCACCTCTGGGTTGGCCTTCTCAACGTCTTCGACGTCCTTTTTCGAGTAAAAGTTTCCGCTTCCTGCAAAAGAAAAAAAAAGCCGAGTTTAGGGTGGGGCATTCAAGAAGAGACGCTTGGGATCGTTACCTCCGCGCCCCGTCTTGCGGTATACGTCAGACATGATCGCTATTCCGGCGAGTGGGCTATTGTATCTTTCTACTGGCAAAGGTGGATCGCAGCCTAGAAAAGAAGGAAGGAGACAAGGAAGGGAGGGCTCAAATGGCAATTCCCGATGGAATAAGAGCAATAAAAACAATAACAACAACAACCGGCGGGCAATGTCTTTTTTTTTGTGGCAACGGTTCACTGAGAGATAAAAAGAGAGGGAAAAGCGACGTGCGGTTTTGCTATACCTATGGCGGCCGAGGTGGCCAAGGGAGTGTGGCGCCGCGGGGTTAGTCGGAGCTTTGTGCGTGTGGGATGCTGCACCATCTGGTGTCCGCAGCCGGTCTCTTTGGAGGGGGGAGCTAAAGAAAGAAGAGAAAACATTCCTCTTCTGTCAATGAAGACATCACATTCCCCTTTGCTGATGGTTGCCGTGCACCGGTTTCCCCCTTCCCCGTTCCAATCATGGAAACTTCTTGTTGCTTCTGACGTTATCGCATTCTCCTTTCCTCAGCAGCTTGTTTGGGAGGGAGCCTATAAAGTTGCGCAGCATTCGCGTGCCGATCGATCGATGCATTCGGGCATATTCCAGCCCTGATCCTGGGCCTTCCGTGTGTGGCTGGGCGGTCTTGACAATCTTCTCGGGTTTGGGGCATATTCTACGAGATCGACAGGCACGCCTCCAACTTCGTCAATTGTTGCTTTCAGCTTCCTCCCGCCGAAGAAAATGTCTCGTTAAAATCACATTGAGCTCGGAATGATAACCAATACTGAAGAAGACACCACACCCGCCCGAGTGGACTGCAACGGTAGCGCGAATAGGCTCTGATAAGTCAGCCCCAAGGGTCCAACCCTTTTCTTACTCTTCTTTGTGGAGGGGGAGCGGAACGGGCAGCACCACGAACCTTGGCTCCGTTCCTGGTGAACCCATCCCACATTCCAATCTGCCTCCTACGAAAGAGACGGAGAGAGAAACAGAGAGCACGCCGAGCATATTCGAAAAGGGGAAACAGCGTCAATCCACGTGGAATACCATTGCTGACGCAGGTACACACATATGCAGCAACACACACACAGACACATACACACACACCAACCAAACAAAGAGAGAGAGAGAGAGAGAGAGAGAGAGAGAGAGAGAGAGAGAGAGAGAGAGAGAGAGAGAGAGAGAAAGAGGGAGAAAGAAGGAAAAAAAAGAAAAAGAAAAAGAAAGGGCTGGCACGGACAACACTTTGCGCGATTTGGTTGGGGACGTCGTGGACGTCGTCGCCTGCCTGGGCTTCCCAATAATAAGGAGCACAGTTCGAGGAGGTACTTTAGAGTACGAAGGTGTACCTACCTACAAGTTTCTCGTCCCCACTCAGCCGGCAAGGGCTCCTGATAGCGACACGCACGCGATGGATACTGAAGGGGGGTGGGGGTGTGATGTGCAGCTGCGGCAAGAGGGGCTGTCCTGGCACCGCTGATCGTCCTAGCCCGTTTGTGAATGTGACGCCCACTGTTGTGTCTCCGCCCCGTCAAATGCCCATTCTCCTCGACAGCTGGGCGCGGGATGGCAACGGGGCGATAGTGGTGTAAGCAAGCAAGCTACCGATACGTGCAGTATACTCCAGATACTGACTGTACTGGCGGCTGGGCTGGCTCGGGGAGTGTTGTCTGATGTAATATCTCTTGAGTTATCCGTATCTTGTCGGAAAGGACGGGAAATCAGGAATTCCCATACTCACATAAGACGAGGCGCAACCGACTTTATCCTTTCCTCCGCTCGGTCCCGTGACCGTCAAGACAGGCGTATCCTCGTTCTACGCCTCCTTCGTTTCTTTCCCGGATGTAAGGTCCGCGAGGAAGCTGTCACTTCACCTGGCAAACCTTATCTCCCTTGCGCGCAGGGTTGGCCGAGTCTCTCTGCACTGCCTGAATAGCACACACTCTAGGCTACGCTGCTCATCCATTTTGTGCAGTTATGCGGCCGGCGATGATCGGCGGCGGCCTGTTTGTCCCGATAGAGGGAGCTTTTATGCGTACGGAGTCGAGGAATCCAGCTTCGGCATGGGTATGGCATGGCACTCATTGTCTGTACAGCGCAGTGAGGGGGTGCAGCTGCACCTCGGTAGGGCATGATCCCTGGTGCCCGTGTCTCAACTGCTCTACAGAACCACGACCTACTGAACCTCAGAGAGGGCCATCGACGATGTGGCCGGTGGCTCCCCTCTCTCTCTCTACCCATCCGCGGTGGTGGACTGGGACAGCCCTGGCTCGACCGAATTTCACGATGAAGGATAAAGTTGTCGATCGACGATGTGTTGGCACTTTGCATGTGGAGTGGGCGACGCTGGGAAACTTGGTGCGATGCCCTTTAGTGCGGTTCTGTCCTGCGCAAACCAACTTCCGGGAGATGGGGAAAAGAAGAAAAGATGGAGCATAGCCGGAGTTTTCGCCGACGGCTCGTACGTGGCATCATTTGTCCAAGTTCGATCCCTGAGAAGAGTGCCCAGCAGCCTGTTTTGACCGACTTATAGGTGTCGCTGTCGATTGTGGGCATGGGATGATAGGCTCGTGCCAATATGGCGTAGTTCTGGCGTGGATCAGACTGAGGTGAAGTCGACGAGTTTGACCATGCAAGTGTGCGACTTTGCCCAGCTGTTACGTTAAGCACCAGCCGCCGAAATATGCATAAGGCACCCCGTAACACAAGTGGGTGGGTGCTTATGCAAAAGGCGATGTCTCTGGCAACTGATGTGTCTCTAGCATCCTTCAATCGTCGACCTCCCTGGCGGCTTTGTCTTTCTACGGTTGATTCTGACTTGGAACGGATCCAACCGACATTATTCGTTTTCGGAAGTAGTTTAATCTTCTTCAGAGTCAGAGTTGCCAGTTGGGGCATCGTGCTTTTCGTCTATCAGGTGAAGCAATATTGGGTGGATGTTCGTTGCCCACATCATTCGCAAGGGTGTTAGGAGCATAGGTATATTGTAGCCAGTAGCCAAACACCCGCCCGAGTCGCTTGGTGAGCTCCTTTATCGGTTTGTACTTGCTGGGATTGACACGGCGTAATACAGGGCAAAAGTTTGAGGTCGACAAGAGATACAATCGTACAGGAGGCCAAGTAGAAGACTGGTACGGATGATCGTGGGTTCACAGGCACTTCGAGAGGCAACTTTGTCCTTTGGTCAAAGTTGCCGACATAATAAAACAGGCTTTTGGTGTCTTCTCCGAGACAACACCGGCTCGTCAATGTTGGTGAATGGCCGAAGACGAAGAGTTAGCGGCATATACCGAGACTGGTCTTGCATGCATCCAAAGCGTCAGTTTTGCGCAACCGAAACTGCGATCATCGAGGCCTGGACTTGAATGGCTACGCCCAGTGACGCACTAGCTGCATGCTGGATGTAATATGAAGGCAATTCTTTCTCAGAATCCGGGTAGGGTATGCTCTCGTGTCCTCCTCGGGTGCGATGTGGCTTGTCCATCTCCGGACACTGGCCGGCCCCTCCGTGTTGGAATGACTCCCTCGTTGACGATCCTTAGGTTGCTCTTTGTCCACTGCCCCAGACATTCCATCACGCTGGCACAACGGGAATCCGAGCAAATAGCGTCGGGCGGCGAAGGCCTTCCCCCATTCTGGCCGGCGAAGTAAGATGGGTGACAAACAGGCGCGCGTCGGAGGGGGGAGCGGAATAATGAACGGTATAAGCGGCGTCCCGCCAGAGGCATGACAATCCATTCGAACTGACTAGAGCAGAAGGCCGCATGGGCGCCCACCCAATTGGGGAGAGGAGAGGGCAGCTGATTGTCCCGAATGGTACTGGCGCTCCTAGCACGGAATAAGGGAGACGGGGGACGAGACGGTCCTTTGGATAGACCGTTTGCCCGACACCCTGGTGAAGAGCGGCTCTCTATCAAGTTACAGCGGGTCGCCCAGTCAGCACAGCATGCAAGGCCTGAGGAAAGAAATCCTTAGTAAGGCATAGCCGGAGAAACGGCAGAGTCCTGAATCCGGAGAGACGCGCCAGCCAGCGCACAGCAGTCTGGGCACCGCGTAGCACTTTTCGTCGGACTGGCGTTGCTCCAACGCCGGCCCAACCCTTCTTCAGGCACAGCGTCCCAGGGAACGAGTCCTGTGATTACTGGTCACTGGGGGGGGCCTGCATCTGGTCAGAAGATGGTGGTGGTGGTAGTGAGCTATGGGTGTGGGAGCCCCCCAGCGGATAGTGGTCAGGTCCGGTTCTGGATCGGGCGATTGGTAGGTCGTTTCGCGGTGGGGGTGCTAGGTTGAAGCGCAATATGGGAATAGGACAAGGAAGAAGAGGGGGGCTGAGAAGGCAAGGGAATGGCGGGCGAGGAAAGGGGGGGTGGCGTTATCATGATCCTGCGTCGAGTTATGGTGGTGGTGGTGTTGGTGGCTATCCATCGTCGCAATCATCGGATATTGGCACACTCTCCAAGTGGACACCAAAGACCAAAGCTGAACAACATTGCTGTGGTATTTCTGGGTCCTTAGTCCAGCCAGTCTAGGTATATTCCACTTGTTCCGGCCGTGGACTTGGACCGAAATGGAAATGCAGAATCATTGCCCTGAGTACCTATTTCCAGAGGAAGAATTGCACCACCTTACTCCTCCTACACAGAGCTACCGAACTTGGTGGCCGCTCAGAGGTAAGGTACCTACGTCACTGGACGAGATACGGAACCCCAGGCACAAGCATGATTATGATACTGTCTCCACTGTGCGCCTACTATGCCTTATCAGATCTGATGATTTGAATGAGGTGAGGTGCCTTGCCTTACCTAAGCTGATTCCTCTGTCCTGTGCACCTGCCCTGCCTCTCGAGCACAATTCAGTCCAACAACGCGCCGTCGAAGAACTGTCCCTACATTGCCTAGGTAAACTAGTTTTAGTCCCGCGCGATCAACGATCAACGATTAACAGAACCGCCGAGGAATTTCGATTCCTTCATTTACCGTTTCTTATTCTGTGCTTTGCGTCCTGTATCACGACACTTCAAAGTTCATTGCGCACCAATGGGCAACCAGCCATGGAGGAAACGAATCCATGTACCTAACAGACGCCCACAAAATATTACGGGTAGAGAGACACCTAGGTTTCCCCTCATCTCGTGGTCTTGACCTTTCTTATCCTCTTCCGACCAAAGCACACCTCAGCACAGCGTGGCGCGTTGCGCACAATTCACTACGGCGGAGCTCGCACAAAACCACAGCCCACAAACTACACTACATCATTATTTTGGCATAGACCTAGTGCTTCGGCGTTGCGAAGCTACTACGTCCCTCCCCACGTCTCAACTTTCCGTTCCTGATCCGATGGAAATCATTGTCTGCAGTTGATTGAAAAACCGGAGGCGACCAGTACTTCCCGTGCCAAATGCCGCAGTGCCCCCAATGCCCCAGCCCCCGACGCTCGCAGCTCTGAGCCTGGGCCGGGAACAGTGGACCGGTCTCTGCCTGGATAGAGCTGTCGCGGGGTGCGACGCAACTCTGAATCTGGCAGCTTGCCGAAACATACTACTTGCAGTCGATGGGTCTCTCGCTTCAACCAAGACACGGCGTTCCTGGGAGATTATTGAAGACTGTTGTCTCGATCATTCCACCTCGTTACCTCGCGAACACGCATACCTACCTATCTCCACTGCCACACCGAGATGACAGGGAAGATGATGATGAAGAAGAAAAAGAAAGGAAAGGAAAAGAGAAGAAGCGGTCACGAGGCTAACGAGCAGATGACAATTCTCCAGGCGACCCAGAGGAAAAGCAACATGGCAAAATGGAGCCACCGTCGTCCGGCGAGGAGGGGCCAAGGCACGAGGCCAACTGTTGGTAAGCGGGCTAGGCGTTGTACCTACAAAGACGATGTTTCTTTGAACATTACATTACCTAAGTAGGCCTCGATGGCTGCATAACCATGGAAGCATAAATACCCCGGGTGTTGTTGTGTGCCTGGGCAGGCAGGCATCACGTAAGGTACTGACATTTGCGCCTCGAGATCCGGATACAAAATGCCAGGAGCTGCCGAAACAACCATCCGTGCAAGAGGAGACAGGCATTCAGCGTCTGGTCTGCGGCTGTTCGAGAGTAAAAGTGCCGGACATACATAAAAAGTTGCTATTTACAATGTGCACGCAGCCTAAGCACCATGACGACCGCCCTGATCACAAAAGGGCCCGGGCTCGGAGGATGAGGATTGATTACTGTGTATCCGTACGGAGTAATGGGAAGCCAGGATTCGTCCATGGGGATCCATTCACCCCTCCCCCAGTGACCTTTCCCCGCCGCACCGGCGCCTTACGGACACGTCCATCGCTCGGGAGGCCGACCATCGTTCGCTCTTTGCCAAAGGACGCGGCCACGGGCCATGCTCCATGCTCCTTGTTCCTGGAGCCGGCCACTGCGTTCGCTGCGTCCACACCCAAGAGGTACATTGCCGCGTAACTTTGTTCGGTCGTACCCTGCGCACACTGTGGGATGCGAAGGGGGAGAGAGTACAAGAGGGAAACAGATGGAGAGAGAGGGAGAGCGCGTGAGAAGGAGAAAGAGGAAGAGAGAGAGGACCAGTCCCCATCGTTCCCCATGTACGGATACGGAGTACCCAGATTCCTCCCCCCTTCCAAGTCCACGCCCCTTTTTCCCAGCCCACCCCAGTCCACCTCCCTTCCTCCTCTTCCAGTCTCTTTCCCTCCTCCCCCCAATCGCCGCTCGCTCTGAGGTGAGTGAAGGAAGTAGGAGGGAGTGGGTGGGCGTGTGTAGTCGTGCTGCGGTGCCATATTCTTACCCCTCCCCTCTCTCTTGCACCTTCTTCTTAGCGACCTGGTGGTGGGAAACGGCCAATGGAGGGATTCGTGCTCGTCCCCGACCAGCGCTTTTTTTGTCGGTCGTGGCCAGGTACTTGTTGGACTGGACCGTCTGGTCTCTTTCGTCCATCGTTGGAGTTTCTGGGGCCCCTCCTAAACATCCTCTGTCTCGTGCCCACAACTTTTCCCTCTCCATCAGTTCCGTTCTCGATACAAAGAGAAACGGAAGATTTCAGAAGGAGAAAAAAAAGTTGAAGTCGGCCTGGACCTCGACAGCCCTGTTGATCACCAGTTGACTAACCCCCAAGGCTCCCCCCCTCGAACCCCCCAACTCGTTCAATACCACCACTACCCCCTCTCACCACATGCGGTCGGCTGGCCCACCTCGGAGCCACTACGTACACCCGCCCACAGACACACCCCTGCTGAATCCCCAAAATAATATTATTTCTCGCCCGGAGGCTTGTCTTTGCGACTCACTCATCACCTGCCTATCTGTCAACCACCTTCGAACAACACTACACAACGCAACAGCGTCGACCAACGATCACACTCTCACCATTATCTTGCGAGGGAAAAAGTGTTCGACTCACGGTGTCGAACCTGATCACTATCGGTAGTTGGCAATGGCCTCTTCAAAAGTATGCCCAGAACGGGGATTCCAACCCATGTCCTGCCCTGCCTCGCCCGCTCATATCGCACATCGTTGCTCAACACAGTATTGCTGATCACTTCGTCCTCGCCCAGGAAATGCAGCAGACCACGAGGCCATTGAACCAACACCGTCCATCTCTGTCCACCATCTCCTCTTCCGGACTTGCTACACGACAATCCCACTCGCGTACCAACTCGCACTCCATTCTCGGCGGCGCTCTCAATGCCAACCACCGCGTCACCCGCCGCAAGTCCATGACAAACACCGCCGCGAACGCGGCCGCCATGGCAGCGGCAATCAAAGAAATCGGTGGTGACAACGTCACGCCCATTGCCGTGAGCTCCCGCCGTAACACGGCGTCAAAGAGTGCTGCCGCTCACGCTGCAATCGTCGGGAGCCTACCCTCCCCTCCCGCAAGTTTGCCAACGCAGAAGTTCCACCTGGAAGGCAAGATGAACGTCCACGAGAGCGCCATTGAGGACGATCCGAACAACGGGTCGGCAGACGAGGGCGAGGACAATGCTCAGAAGGCCCGTATCCGTCGCGCCAGCGACGGCCAACCCCTCATCAAGGAGGGTAGCCGAAAGTTCAACCGCGTTGAGCTCAAGTGCGAGACGTGTGGAAAGGGATACAAGCACAGCAGTTGCCTTACCAAGCATTTGTTCGTTACCCTTCCCTGTTTCCCCATCTCACTTCCCCGGCGTTCCCGGTGTAGGCTCTAGAGACCCGATTGTTGGGTTGCTCATGATCGTCATGTAGCTGGGTAGTTTGTTGACTCATTTCTCGGCAGGTGGGAACACACTCCCGAGTGGTCTCTGACTTCCAAGCTTCTTATCTCCAAGCACCAACAAGTCCAACTTCTTGAAGCTGCTTCGGTCCTGTTGACGATGAACCATGGTAAGGAGGATGGCGGCGCGGCCACGCCTCCGGACTCTGCCAGGGACTTCCCCAGTGACCAAGAAGAGTCGGCCTCCCCTGCTGCTTCTGGATACTCGGACGAGCGACACAGCTCTGCCGACACCACCCCGCCGCCCCAGCTCGAAGGTTTCGCGTCGTCGGATCGTACATTCTCGAAGCGGTTTGGATCCGGGGGCGGGTTCGGTCGGTCGTATCAATCGGCACCATCCACCAATCCCCTTGTGACAGGCAGCATGCCGCGCGGTACGGGATTCTCATCACACTTTCGTCAACCTAGCCTAGACCAGCGGCCACCATCGTCCGGAAGAAATGCCACAGGGCAAGAAGATCGTGACCTGGCTGCCGCGGTCGAGCTTCTCAGCTGCAGCTTCAACAGCAACAGTGGTCGGACTGTGCAACTTCCTGCCGACGCCCCTCCCGTGCCCCCGCTACCTGCGCAGTATCTTGATCAAGCAGCATCTTTCTCGAGTGCAGGGTTCAGCGCCGGTTTCAGCGCCGGTTTCCTCAACAGCTTCCCCAGCAGACAACCGGAGAGCTTCACACGAGGCGAGGTTCGCAATGCTGACGTCAAAATGGAAGAGAGCGATAGCGTCATGGACGACGACGACTTTGACAGTCGATCTCGGTCTCGGAGCGACGAGGACGACGACGGCGTCTTCGGACGGATGGAGGAGTAGAAAGCTTCGGTTCGACCGTTGATGCCGACGATATCTGAGGAGATGAGTACATGACTGAGGAGGGGAAGCGAAGTGGAGGATTGTGTTTCTTTTGTACCACCATATACTAAACCCTGTAAACAAGGTGGTTCCGTCTCCGCCGCCGATCTCTCAGCACCAAGGAGTGGAGGGCCCGGTCTTGCATCATTGCCTGGCCAGACAAGGCAGGTCGATGATCCGATCGAGATTGCACCGCCACGAGGTTAAAGTGAGAGACGGAGAGCGCGTCGAGCGAACGCCCGAAGCTATCACACTGATGGGTCTTGCGAGACAGAGTGCGATGCCTCAAGAACGGCCTCAACGCTCTTTTCTGCGGTTTGAAGCCAGCATAACGAATATAAGAAGAAAAAAATGAAAAAGATCAAAAGAATGCCATGTGCCAAGTGTGACATGTGTAAGCAGCAGCCCCTTATGTGATGGATTGGAAAGCTATTGGTGATGATTGGGCATATAATGAGACGCGTGGTTCTTGTTTACCAACGACGGCGGCGGAAGTAACGAGGCAGGGCTAGCTGGTCGTATGTAGCAAACCAGTCACGCCAGTCAAGCAGGCAGCAACCTTAAACCAGGCACACACTCGGAGCTTTGCTCCTGAAGGTGAAGATTTGCATGTGAGCTCATCAAGATCACACATACAGACAGACACCAGGCAAACGGAAGGAAAATCAAAGAGGACCAGAGTGGTCCCCGAGTCTCGAAGAGGATATGAGCGGGGGGGCCTTTGGCTCTTTTATGCCTCTAAGACAGGAGAGGGTGAAGGTGAAATTTTTTCCTGCAATAAGAGGAAAACACAGAGGAAGAAGAAAATTCTGCAAAATACGGATCGACTAAACGGAGTAGTGGGAAACTCGATCCTTGCGGGCACCCGCTCTCAGTGGAGTTGTTTTCCGCTTCAGTGAGCGGGACGCTGAAGCACGGCGGTCGCTCGGTGGTCGGCAGTGTGGGGGAGAAGACCCTTTGGATCAGCTTTTTCACTGAGAGCTTACCTCACCATCTTTCCTCGGCTGCTGTTACCCCAGCGACGTCACCTTTACCCACTGGGAGAGCTTCTTTCTCCACTCGGCATCATAGGCCACAGCAACACTCGGAGGTGGGAAACGCAAAGGTCTCACTTCTCTAAACTATTGCATTGTCCATCTTTAGGTTGATATCATCGTATCGCAAATCGCAAACGGCAGTCGCGGCTTCCTCCACCTCGAGTCTGTCCCCTCCCCCCTCTACCCTACCCCTCTCCTCTCCATCTGGCGCATCGCTTCATCTAGCTGTTCCTACTCCTTGTTTTGACGGCGATTCGCAACAAAACACATTGATTCTTCAATTCATCCCACAGACACGCACGCAGCGACTCGAGATGCCAACTCTACGACGCAGAGGCGAGGCCGCGCGGACCGTCGAGGAGCCCGACGTCGACGAGACCACGACGCGCGCGATCGAGCCCATCGCGAGCCACCTCGAGTCTCTCGAGACGGCACCCGACGGTACGGTCGAGGCATTGGGCGTTGTCAATGATGCCACGGAGGCGACAGCGGCGGCGATCAAGGAGTCGGAGGCCACGCAGATCAGCGAAAGGGATCGCGACCATCAGCACCCGCGGCGCCAGCGCTCACAGCTGCCGGCTGCTTTACGATTCCCGCTCGTCACGGTGCTGAGCTTTAGCATCTCGAGTTTGTGCTACAGCTTCCTCAGCGAGTGGAGCCGCGGAGAGCTGGCGGGGATCTCTAAGAGCTTGGACACCTGGGGTGAGGTCGCAACACTGGCTGGATGGCGCATGTGAGTTTTGTTCCCTCGATTCCCGATTCATGAATCTGCAAAACTCTCGTAAAGCATGGCTTTGCTGACAATTCTGGCGTCCCGACAGATTCGAGCTCGCGCTGGGCTGGTTCAGCAACTTCGATAGCTACGACCTCGCTGCGCTCAACTTGCTTGCGCATGGCCCTCCAGTATGTTCTGGTCTGATGATGCGTGACGATGATGGCATCCCTCGGCCGAGTAATGCCGCCTGTGCTGACACGAGGCTTGTGTTTAGGTCTACCTGATTGCTACATTTTACAACATTAACCCCGCGACCGCCATATCAGCCTTGGGCATTGAGATGCTGTCAACCTTTGTGCCTTTCCAGCTTCTGAGGCCCTTGTCGGGCGCGCATGCCGGCGCTAAGAACGTCACCAACCGTGAGATTATCACCGACATCCCGATTCAGATCTACACCACTATTCTGGCGGCGGCCCTGTACAGCCTCACCCTGTTCACCGCCTTCAAGACATACCTGCCTACGACCCTCGTACTCTACTTTCAGGGTCTGCCCAGTCTTGCACCGGCCTACAGCACCAACTTTCTGGCCACACTGCCTGTGACGATTGCCTTTGGCATTGCCGCAAGATCCTTCATCTTCACACCCTTTGTTGCGACCGGCGAAACTGCCGAGGACAACAAGCTGGCAGAGTTCGACCCTGCAACGGCTACTCTGGGCGAGACTCTGGCGTGGAACATCTGGGGTTACACGACGCGAGAAAAGGTTGGCATCCTGCGAACGGCCGTGGTCATGCTCGTCACTGGCGTAAACACCTACCTTCAGACGTTCATGACCATCAACGGCGTTGAGTCATATGGTGCGTCTCTGTATGCTGGTGTCTGGGTTGCCGCAGCGTTCTTGACAGGTGTCGGCCTTGCATTCGTTGGCGGCGGAGACGCATGAGAAAGGGATTTGCCATTCTCTGCGTTAAGAACAAGGAAGTGTTTGCCTTGGAGAGGCAGATTGCAGATTGGTTACGGTGCAGAAAGGGGAGTTCGGAGGGGCATTTTCAATAGCCACTGGTGGTGCTATTTTGGAACTTTCAAAGACTTGGATCAGAGAGGGGAGGTCCTTTGCTTGGATCGAGGGAGGTGGGGGTTTACATGCACAACAAAGTTGTTGCAACCTGCCTCGTTCAGTCAGTCATAGAGCTGATTATGTATACCTTTTTTATTTTTTGTCTCTTTTCTATGTTTTAAGTAATGTACACTCACGTCTTTTGACCATCTGGTGCACACTCCGGAAATCCCATACAAGGAGCACACGCCCACCAACGAAGTTAGCTCACCAGACTTTGAACTTGGACCCCCGAACTAAAGCCTGCCGATACCCATTGGCATGTGTGACATGACGGCTCGTGCGAGCTGGTAAGCATGTCATAAACTCGCAGTTAGCCTGGCCTGGGCAATAGAACGCAGGCGCTAGTCCCAATCCATCAATCCAGGCGCAGGACGCTAGTGGAATACCTACCTAATTGTCTGGCCCTCTATCATATATATGTCTTAGGCTTTGGTGGTTGGCTCTGCTGACGGAGGCTGGTAGGGCTGAAGAGGTGGGGGTCGGATGGGATGTGACTAGAAAGCAAGACTTGTGGGGAGTCGTAAACTATCGTTGCGTAACCTGTGCGACCTTCAGAGGGACCGCTTGGAAGCGTACCTTGGCTCAAGAAGACTCGCCCCCTTTCAGACATGCGCGGCGGGTGTGTTGACGTCCCGCCCTGGTTTGTGGATTTCCCCAGTCATTCTCGGTGAGGCGACCGGAGTCGGGGTGGTTTTTTTTTCTTGGTTTTTTTTTTTGCACTTTCTTTTTTTGCTTTTTTAATTTTCTCTTCCTTCAACTGGGGCCCTCGCCGTGACCTCCCAGCACTTCCTGAATGGGGCGATCTGCGCAAGGCTAGCGGCAAGCGGCATACGGCATACCGAGAGCAGGATTTCCCTGCCCTTGTTGTTAACCCTCGTCATCTCCAAAGGTGTTCACAATGCTTTGTTTGGAGTGAGTGGGGGAGGTGGAGGAGATAGGAAACCGACTTGAACTGAGACATGTCCGTCCATCTTCCTCCTAGCTTGCCTGGAAGAGTTAGAGAGCCAATCTGAACTGAGACATGTCTATCTTCCTCCTAGCCTGTCTTCCTGCGTATCACCGTCGTTCAGTTTGACGTCTACCGCAGTGCCGCGCGGGCCGGATGCGCATCCGCCGCGAGACGGCTATGTAGGACTGTGTGGCATTGCGACTCGGGCTAGGAGTGATTGCTGTCTCTCAAGGACTGAGGTGTGCCACTGGGGGTGGGGGTGCTGCCGCTGAGTCTGCCGGGGTGGCGTTGACGATCAGTAGATGAATATTGATTCCTCTCTCTCTTTCCCTCACTGGCCCTCTATTTTCCTTGTCATGCGACAGAGCCGAGAGCGGAACGCAGTGGTCTCAGAGGCACACGGACAGCTCGCATTAGGCCGATGCGGTCGCGGAGAAGATGTGATGTGCAAAAAAAAAAAGTGTCTTGTTCAGCTCCTTGGCTTAGAGGGGGGAGCATTCGATGTAACGGGACGGGTGGGGCCTTTTGTTCAACGGCAAAGCTGTCATTGACAATTATCGGTTCAGGAGTGATGGTCTGTCTCTATGATCATCGCCGGAGAGCGTCGTATGCCCTAGTTCATATATACTCCAAGGACAACCCACCAAAGAAGCCCACTACCCTTCCAGGCCACGAGAGGCTCTTATATGTCTGCCAACATAAGAAACAGCCGTTGTCAACCGCCCTGCTTCTATTGTCCAAGAGGTATCAAGAGAGTCCGGCTCGGAAAGAAAACTGCTGAGTGGAAGTCCGGTCTAGCTCGCTTCTCAAACATGGCTTCCATATCAATGCAGACACCAAGGAAAGGCAAAGAGTTCCCTGAACAGCACGAAAACAACGACGAGCGGTTCGACCTCTCGCCCACGGGGACGACAACGAGCTACGCCTCGTCATCGACTATTGCCGCCACCGGCCCCAGTTCGCCAACGGACCGCGACGAGACCCACAACACTACGACGAAAACAACGACAGCGGCGGCGACAAAGTCCAAATCGATACGGAGCGAAGGCGAGATCACACTACACGGCCCGCTCAGGGTCACTGGTTCCGTGGGGGCTGGTGGAAACATAGCGTTCAATGGCGATTTTGATGTGAGGGACAGAATCGAGGCCTACGGGGCTATTGAGGTTAATGGGAATCTGGTGTGCAAGTGAGTGCCCTCTTTGAGAATATATGACATGTCATTTCGATTCCAAAGGGTGATGAAAGCTTATGGACTGTGCGAATAGCGGGAGGCTGAAGGCATATGGGAACATTCAAGTCGTCGGGTACATGTCCATTGGGTAGGTACTTGTCGAAAGCAAGCTTTGCCGCCCAAGGAGCCGCGCTAATATGATATTTATGGTAGCGATGACCTCAAAGGCTTCGGCAAGTTGAGGATCACCGGGACGTGTGAGGCCAATGATCTGGAGATCTATGGCAATACGACGATCAACGGGTTTTTGTAAGTCAGCTTGATGGGGAATGGTCCAAACCGTACCGCGGCTGACGGGTGATGGCAGGAGGTGCAGAAGAATGACTCTTTACGGGTCACTGACGATCGTGGGGCCAAACTCGGGATACCACGTCGAGGAAGAGCAGAAGGTTTGGGGCGCAATAATTAGCCGCGAGGAAGACGTGGGCTGGTGACCCGCATGAGACCCATTTGCTTGTGAGTCTTTTGCGGGGGGGGTTGGCAGTCGGATCTGTTCCGTTGGCCGGCATCGAATAGGATGCTCAGAGGTATCGACTAAGTCGACCCGTTGAGGGCGCGGCTAATGGATGGAGATGTGTAAGGCGAGACATCGGGCGGCTGTGTATATTTTTGAGATGGCGTTTCCACCTCGAGAAAATAGAACGGAAACGAGACAATTAATAATGAGAAAGATGCAGAGTTCCCAAGACCAGGGATTGGGTGATCCTCGGGTGATCCAGTACAAGAGAGAGGTGTTCAACTTGTTTGTTGCGAGACAGGGCAGTACAGCTCTATGATCAATCGTTGATGGTTTGGACCGGGTTCGTGTGATCACACGGAGCGGGTCCTGCCTGGGAAAGCCCAGCGTCGGAAGTCGAAGGTGGGACGCGGAATCTCAATGTTCCGGCCCCAATTGCGCACGAGCCATACCATCCTGGCCTGTCAGTGGATGTCTGGAGCCCCACCACCTCGCAGCTGCGCTAGGGAGCTTCTGGAGCTAAACTCAACCCCAGGCCAGGTCGCGACTTCCCTCGCAAACGCGACAGGCAACTTCATCTCATAGAATGCGCAAGCTTATTTCGCAGCACACCCAACGGCCAACTCCGATCATCACGGCGAACCAAATGCATCCGTAGCAAACCCGACGCCGGTTTCTTGGCTAACAAACCTCTCCTTTCTTTGAAACAGGATGGCCTCCACCAACGAGCACGCAGACGCCATGGATGTCGAGGTGTCACCCAAAAACAAGACTTCGGTCGAACACGACATCCGCCAGTCGCTCGGCGCCATTAGCAACTCTGTCGAATCGCTCGAGATGCGCGCCGACCCAGACGCCCAGGCGACCGTGACCGACTTTCTCGACTTTACCGAATACCTCCCCTCTGATATGATGCGATCGTTGACCCTGATCGGCAAGCTCGACCAGACGTACGCAGAAGCATCCCTCAAGATCCACAACCTCACCTCAACCTGGGGAAAGCTCCCCAGCATACCCGCCGAAGAACGCCCGTCCCCTGTACAGTTGCGCGCCGACATCTCGGATAGCCTCAACCATGCGGTCAGCTCGCGGGTCTTTGCGCACGAGGAGTCGGTTCGTATGTCCGAGAACGTGAGCCGTCACTATAATCGCGCAAAGACGATCCTCGCAAAGTTGAAGGATATGCTAGAGAACTACCCGGCAGAGGAGCAAAAGAGCCCTGTGGCTACGACCAAGTCGCCTCAGCTTGTCAGGGCCCCGAGGATGCTGCGCAATGGGGACGGCGAAAAAGTACGACGGCCGCGCATACCCAGAATTACTGTTCCTGGCGAGGTGCTGCCGCCGTACGACCAGTTTGTGGCGTATTCAGACGACAGCGACGAAAGCTCCGAGGAGGAAGACGACGAATCCATTGGGCGCACACCAGCTCGGTCAACTCCTGCGCCCCGGATCAAAGTCCTCAAGACTCCCAAAGCCCGTCCGCCGAAGACCCCTAAAAATGCATCAGCACGGCCTCCTAAATCGGCCGCAACTCCCGGTGCAGCCGCCACGCCTGCTGTTGTGCTGCAGCCTCCGCCAGAAAACGCTGTGATAGGAAGTGCGGATGCTCCTTGGCTCCAGCTGACCCCATGGGAATTGGCAAGGTTGAGGAAGCGTATGAAGAAGAACGCAACGTGGAACCCCAGTGACACCATGATCTTGCGAGAACTCAAGACGCTCGGACGTGGAATCGATGCCTACAAAGAGGCAAAAAAAAAGGCCGAGGACGAGGGCAGAGTCTTTGACCAGGTGCCTCCTGCCCTGGCCCCCGATGCCGAGAGCGGCAACAAACAGATCCCAGAGGGCGCTATCAGTGCTGCTGCGCTCGCGTCTGACGACATCCAGTTGAGTAACAGGGGCATGAAGTTGAACGAGGCAAAAAAGCTCAAGCGAGAGTCGTTGGCCAAGCAAGCTGCTGAGGAGGCGGAAGAATCGGCCCGCCAGTTTAGAGAGGCTGCGAGGCTTCTGATGTCTCATGAAGCGCCGCCATCGGCGTCGGCTTCCAACAACGGTGCCGACCAGCCAAAGTCGGCAAACAAGGCAACCCCCAACCCTAAAGCCAAGCCGAAAACGAACGGCAACAAGCGCAAGAGAGACTCTGTTCCGGAGGCCGAGGCTGAGAAGCCTGAGCCAGTCGAGACACCGGCTCCGCGTCCTGCGCCGAAGCGTACCAAGACAGAGACTCCGGTGCCTCTGCCTCATCTCAGAGCCGGTCTCGCCTCGCAGTCTCTGGCTGAAACTCCTATCCCGCCCCCTGTTCTTACCCCAGGCGGCACTGTGGTTACTCCTAAGATGACTACGCCTGTGCCAGTCCCAATGTCCGGACAGGAGCCTGCGGCTGCGGCAACAACGAAGCCAGTAAACACCTCTGCACCGGCATCGTCACCAACTAGTTCAACCGGACAACCTGCCTCCATTACGAGCAACGGGCTGGCGAACATCGTAACAAAACCACTTGCGGAGACGCCCATACCTCCGCCGATATTATCACCCAAGAAGTCAAGCACGCCGATTCTTCCTCCAGTACGCGATGCTGCGGCTCGGAGGGAAACCAGGGGCGACATGGCGAAGAAAGGCCAACAGCTGGCGGAAAACCTCGCGCCGGTGCTGCCGTCACAGGCTCCGCAAACGCAGCGTTCATCTTCTGCGGCCCCTTCCATCAAACAGTCGAGCTCCCGGGCGGCGACGCCGGGCACAACACCCGTCCCGGAAGGGCAGCGACGTCCCGGCTCCAGAGGAAAAGCTTCGAGTCAAGAGCCGCAGCCCTCGCTCGCTCCTGAACGATCCCGTCGCACCAGTACCGCGAGGAACACGCCAGCACCAGAGCAGAAACAGCCGGGCAAAAGGACTAGAAAGCCCGTGCCCGGTATTGTTAGTAAGACCAACGCTGGAGGCAGCAGTGCCGTAGGTAAGCGCAAGGCCGCGCCTAAAAAGAAGCGTGCTCAGAAGAAGGAGAAGGGCCAGCCGATCGAGATTGAGCTGGAGGAGGACGACGAGGGCAACCCGATCGATCCCAACGAGCCGCGGTACTGCGACTGCAACAGGGTCAGCTTTGGCGAGATGATTGCGTGCGACAATGATGTAAGTACTCTTTGTCCAGCTTGAGTGCCTGGTGTTTCCTTTCTTTTGTATGCTGACACGTCTAAAAAAAGAACTGCGATAAAGAGTGGTTCCATCTAGAGTGCCTTGGTATGACGCATATCCCCGCGCGGACGACTAAATGGTATTGCCCTGACTGTCGTGTGCGCTTGAATATCGGGGAGAAGGGCGAGATTAATGCTAGGGGGATCAAGGCCTGAGATTAGGACGCGATACGGGATACGCTATCTACACGGCGTTCAAGAGGCCAAATGCGCGGATTGGGGTGGCGTTGGCTCGTAGCTCTCGAAAGGGTCACATTTCCAGAGCCCGTGCTACCAAGACAGTACTGTACAATATAGGTAGACTTGCATCGACATGACATACCATATGCACAATAGCAGTACCGCCACCGTTGCTCTTATGAAGAAAATATATGTATATCGTTGCTTCCGAGACAAGTATCACTAAGGTTCGAGGAAGCCTCGCGGTCTGTGCGTCCAGATGCACCTGGGTGGTAGGCTATGCATGAGTGCGGCCTTCCCTTGCTTCATCAGACAGGCACTTGTATACTGTCATCTCGTCCCGTTACATCTCGTGTCTTTTGCTAACACGCATTCCAATACATTCCCGGCCGCTTCGTCTGCAATGGCGTCTGCTTGAGTCTACTCCAGTTTACACAAACCTTCCCCGCGCAGCGTCACGCTCTTTCTTTCCATTTCTGCTCTGACGCTTCCCACCCGCTGCCTGTCAAACTCATTAATCATGGGAATCAACCAGTGAGTGCAATCCCGGCGGTATCAAATCGTCTTTTATATCTGTAGTCCCCTATACTAATCTCCGTCCCAGTTTCTGGAACGTCGTCAACGAGGCAGGAAGGAAGAGGTCGCTGGCCCAATGGGCTGCGAATCACCTCAAGGAACACGGGCGACCGCTACGAATAGCCATTGACGAGGCCCATTGGAGATTCAAGAATATCACTGATGCCAAGGAGGCCGAGATCCAGGAGAGTCCGTAACCCACATCTTGTCCTGTCTTGGGTTCCTATTAGTCTCCAGCCCTCTTTGCGGTTCGCGAAATGCATCTTTCCGTCTTCTCGCAATCCTCAAAACCCACCTCCCCGGTCTCATATGACGCAATGTGCTTGAGGAAGGAACGTTCGCTTTCAAAGTCAAACCATCATCTGACACATGCGCAGAAAGTCCTGGTTCCCACCCTCGGGAGAAGGCCATACTCGAGCGTACACTGCCGCTGTTGCGTTTGGGTATCCAGCTGCTTTTCGTTTTTGACGGCGAAAAGCGACCGGAGATGAAGAAGGGCTCAAAGCGATACTGTCAGCGCGAGGCAACCACGGCGCTCCTCAAAGGTATGCTTGATCATTTTCATGTGCCGTGGCATCAGGCCCCAGGAGAGGCCGAGGCCGAGTGTGCACTACTGCAGCAAAAGGGCTTGGTCGACGCCGTCTGGTCCGAGGATGGCGACTCGTTCATGTTCGGCTGCACACTTCTCATCAAAGACTTGCGCAACGGCAAGAACCAGAAGCTCAAAGAAGAGGCCCAATCATTCGACATGAGGGATATCAGGAAAACGGGGCTTTTCAACAAGAAGAGCATTACACTCTTCGGAATGCTAACTGGATGTGACTACGACTCTGCGGGGCTCAAAGGCTGTGGTGAGGCCATGGCTCGCCAGTTGGCCAGGAGAGGGGGGCTCGTCGAGGGATTCTGGCGAATCCAAACAGAGGCCGATGCGGCTGACTGGCGGATGCTTCTCGAGGAGGAGATAGAAAGGATCACTTCTAGATCGAATCTGAGCTTCAACAAGCAGAGATCCAACATCGAAAGCTTTCCCGCCCTCCAGGCCTTGGAAAATTGCCGGAATCCCTCTATCTCTGATGCGGCAACTCTCGACAATCTTCCGTTTACACAGGGCGAATGGTACGGGACGCACACGACTGAGAACTTGAAGGTGACGATTCCATGGATGCAAGCACATTTCTTCAGTAGGAAGGCCACCATTTGGTGGGTGGAGCAATTCGTACCCGTGACGATCAATCAGCGATTCCTGAAGAATGATTTCAAGGTACGCGATCTGGTAGCAAAGGTTGCACACAAGCGAAAGGACTCCCCAACAACTTCCGCCGAATTCGACCCGTGCCAAGTGTTTCCTGGTATTGAAGAGGCGATCCTCGTCTTGGAGGGAGTTCATCTTCTGAATCGATGGGGCGAGCTCGATCGGAAGCTAGAAGGACATCCGATTAAGAATGTCAAATTCGATCTACTAGATGCGATTCTCAGTCAGGGCATGTCCGAAACAGAGTTCCAGCTTTGGCTAAAGGAACCCAGAACACCTCGGCCGAACAAAATTCATCCCGTACACCCGCCTACAACCTCACGATTGCAACGGATGCCTCTACATAGCGGTCTTGACTTGCACAACGTCCAATTCCATACCCCAATGACTGACAGCCGTCGTATAAGGACTGAGAACCGAGCGAAAGGCCAGCTTTTAGGCTTGATAGGTCGTTCTCACGAGTCCAGCATCAAAACAGTGGGAACACCAGTCAGCTCCGACTACTTGCGGAGAAAACGACTGGCGAAACTCGATACAATGCGGGGTAGTGTCGATACTGCTACTGACGACATGCTCGAGAAATCCCGTGGCAGAATAGGCAACACTTGGGGCCTTGACGACGAGGACGACGAGGACGGGGAGATAGAAGAGATTCGAGGCATCTGCAGCAAGAAGAGAAAACTGGCAGAATCTCTTGCCGAAGAGATACGCAACACTATGCCTGGGACACGAGGGAGGCAGCTTCTGCTAGATATGGAGTTGGACTCGTCGCAGGATTCTCTTTTGAGTGTGCCTCTTAGGACGAAAAGAGGTGTAGGAAGCATGCCCTCTATGAACAGTACTCGACCGGGCACCTCGCTGTCGTTCGGCTGTGGCAAGGGCACGGCTGATGATCCAGTGGAGATACTATAGCGGAGGAGACTTGGAACCTGGTTGCAACCCTGGGACACCGAATAAGCCCAGGGGATTGAAAAGTATGCGACTTGATCAACGGGCATGCCTGACATGATTGAATGTGGCAGGGCAGCACTCATAGCCCGTAGCCTTTGTTCTCGGAGTAACAGTCGGTTGAATTAATGTCCTTTATTCCTCGTTACGTTCTCGTATCTATCCACATGGGTCTAATGTTAAATTGCACGTTGGACGGCAATACTACCCGGTCAACTGCCTAACTAGGAAATAGCGAACGAAAATGTCTTCATAGCATGCTACTGAGGGGTTAAAAAACTCATAGTCGAGTTACATAAGAGGACAATAGGATAAGCCCTTGACTATATTATCAAGATGACAGTCGAATCTGGGAAAGCGATCAAAGCCAATAACTCCACTTTGGCAAACGGAAAACAGCAAAGCATCCTTCCCACCTGGAATGACGCCGCAGGTGTCGAAGTCGCGTCGTCAGGGTCGAGCATCGCTGACACACTCCTGCCTTGGCATGGAGGCATGTGATATCAGCCGGCACCAGTTTCCATCGCCCTCCGAACCCCCCTCAGCCTGCGCAACGAAACAAGGGAGTATCCTGAGAAAGGAAAGAGAAAGAGCACAGGAGGAGAACAAGCATGAGTATCTCGGAGCTACCCAGTTACGAATCGCTTAGAGAAGCCAGCACACGGTAAAGACTTGATAAACCACATGCATGACACAAATTACGGCAGTTTATCGTCGAATTACCTGTGCCAGGGTCGTGCAACGGAACCATCCTGCGCGCCGGCTCGGTCGATTTAGATAGGGGGGTGGTGGAGGAGGAGGAGGAGGAGGAGGATATTCCCTGCCGTCCTAGTCAGGAAACGCGAAACACAGCGCCAATGGCCAATAGGCACGCGCATGTTGGTCTTCGTCTTGACGAAGTCGTCGCGGCTGTGAGGGAAATAAAAGGGTGACTGACCATACTACGTATATGGAATACGCATATGGAAGGGAATGGGCCATGTACCCCGGTTCCTTAGCATGGAAACACGAAAACGAGTCATCTAATCATTGGACAAAGCGTTCGTTGTTTATTGCAACCTGCGTGCCCGAGCAGTGCTTTGATTCCAGCAGGGGGCCACCGGCCCCTCATATTGTTGGCATAATTAAGGTTAACAGCGGGCACTCCGTTCATGTCAGAGGGTTGAATCATGCAATATGTGTGCGTATGAATCTTCGTCCCTGTAGCGGAGGGTACGGACGAGTCTCCGAGGCTGAAGCGGCGGGTGCCATCAACGTTAAACTGGGGTTAGGTCATGGAATAAGTCGTTGACTAGGATGCAGGTAGACCGTTGAGCTTGAAGCCGGACCACCTGCCACATTGCGAGTAACTCGGATGGAGTTCTGCTAAAGCGAATGCTACACATTAATTGCCTCTACGATAGGTAGAACGATCATAGTACTTGAGCAGAACCTACAGAAGGTGTATATAAGCGTATGTATCCCACCAGAGCTTTCTGCTTGTAGATGGATTCGAGCACGCCCCATTCCTCTTTCCCTTCAGCTTCCCTCCCAAGAACCTCACAAACCCGTTCCCGATGCATCTCCCCCAACTATGGCGGCCGTTGGTTCTGGCCCTCCACGCCGCCGCCCCGGCCCTCGCGCAGGTCTTTAATACGTACCCCACCTTCAACGCCCTGGCCGGCAACGCCGACTCTACGGACGCGGCCCTGCTGGGCAACTACTACAACCACTGGAAGCTCACCGGCACCAACGCGACCACAAACACGACGACGTGGGACCTCACACGGTCCGCCCGGATGGCCACGACCTCCCCGAAGGAGATCCCCATGTCGGGCAAGCGCGCCTCGGCCATCATCGAGCCGTCCCGCTCCGCCTTCGTCATCATCGACATGCAGAACTTTTTCCTGCACCCCAAGCTCACCCCGAGCGCCACGCTCGGCCGCGCCGCCGTCGGGCCCACTGTGAACCTGATCCACGCCTTCCGCGACAGCGGCGTCAAGATCCTGTGGACCAACTGGGGTTTCGACGACTACGACCTCGTCATCTCGCCGCCCGCCGACCTCGACGGGTTCTCCGACGACCACACCCGGGCCACGAGCTTCTGCTCCGACATGGGCACCATCGAGGGCGACAACGGCGAGACGGTGCAGGTTGGCAAGAAGCTGTGCCGGGGCAGCTGGAACGCGAGGCCGTACGGGGACCTGGATGACGAGATGGTCCGCGGCGTCGAGCAGGGGACGGATTTCTACTTCAACAAGAGTGAGTGAAGCCCACGGGCCCCACCGGGATCCCGACACACACACACACACAGAGAGAGAGGGAAATGACTGACGTACGGACGCTGGTAGATCGGGTATCGGGCCTGTGGGGGGCTCAGACCCCGCTTGGCCTATACCTCCAGGAGAACGGCATCACGACGCTCTTCTTCGGCGGCGTGAACAGCGACCAATGCGTGTGGGGCGCGCTGTTGGACGCCTACTACAAGGGCTTCGACGTGGTGTACGTGCCGGACTGCGCCGCCACCATCAGCCCGTGGTACGCGGAGCAGATGGTGCGGTACAACGCGGACCTGAACGGCTTCATAGCCAACAGCAGCGACATTATCGCCGCGCTCAAGGGCTGATAGCCCGCGGGGCTGTAGGGTTGAGTAATTGGAACTCACGGCGGACATGTGGGGGAAATCCGTACGAAGAACAACACACATTTTTTTTTTTTTTTTTTTGGTTCGGGGAGGGGGCCGGCGTTGATCGGCCAATCAGAGTAGCCGGAGGTGCTCGAGCAGAGAAGCTCATCAGTCCTCCCTAGTGACCGGCGGGACAACTAGGAGAATAAACCAAGAAATAGAGACCTGGCGGCAGTGCATATAATTTCTTCTCCGCGGTTCGGGGCAGGAAGAACTTTCTCTCATTTTACCCTTCGTTAAATTACAAGCTTGGGACGAGGTGGCTCCTGAGAAGCCGGCTGGTGTGCATGGGAACCCCGCCCCGCCCCCCGTGGGGAACCCAGGTGTCCCGGTATGCAGAAGTCATGCAGGTGTCGGCGTACCATGCCGGCCAGTTTCGAGCCGGTGAAAGAGGTGGCCCTACTGGGAGCGAAATTCCAACAAACAAGTTTCCAAGTAGGCATAGTCATATATAGCTCCTTTAACTAACAAGGTAAAGAGAGGGGTCATAGCAGGCGCGGATGATTTGCCTTTGCCGGATGAACCGGTGGCATCGGGGTCCACGCAGAGCGAAGGCTTCTTACGCAGAGCTATTGCACCGCCAGGGAGGGAGGGAGGCTGATGTGCGTGGGCCTCCACGGGACGCTGGCTCATTGATATATAAAGTGGGTTGTGAGCGAACGGCTTCGCGGCGAACAGATATGAGAACAACTTTCCATGATACGGGCTAATCGTGATACTGTACAAGTTCACAGAACTTAAGAACAAGAAACTGAGAAGCCGCCTCAAACAGTGAATTTCGCCCTTTTGAAATTGCACCATCCCCCCCCCCTGCGTCCTCATCACTTAGTAGCTTTACAGTCATTCTGGCCACCTCCCGTGTGGGTAATATTACCCCCCCCCCCGAATTCATTGTACAATTTCGCCTGCTGTTTCTCCTTTCAGTACCCGTTCCTCGCTTCACCTCCGACCCTTCTTCGGCGGCGGCGGGCTTCGCGACCGGGACACCGAGTCGCTGTACCTCCTCCGCTTCGCACCCACAGGGCTCCTCGAGTCTCTGCCCCGGTCATCGGGTGAACTTCTCTTGAGCGACCTCCTCGGCGCAGGGCCTGGCGACCTCGACACCGAATCGTCGCGACGGGCGACTCTTGCCCGGGGCGGCGGCGAGATGCTGGCAATGTCCCGTGGACGGGGCGGAGGCGAACGGCTATCTCTAGGTCCGCGGCGGACAGGAGAGCGAGACCGGGAGTCGTACGACGATGCACGGCTCGGCGACCGACTGGGAGATCGGCTATCGTAGCGGGCGCGCTTCCGCGGTACACTGCTCACCGACGAACTGTTTCGCCGGGCTGTGCGACGAGAGTCTGGCTTAGAGCCACGGCCAAGGGCTGAACCTCGAGCAGAGCCTCGCGCAGGTGGGGGGCTGGCAGAATAGGAGACAGAACGTCCTCTCCGTGGAGAAGGGGACCTGCTGACGGATGGACTGTTTCTCCGGGCTGCCCTTCGCGGCGGCGGCGGCGTCACGCTGAGACTGCGATCTCTGGGGCTATTTCGGGCCGGAGAGGGAGACCTGGAATAGCTGACTGAGCGACCGCGTCCTCTCGGCGGGCTTGCGGAATAAGAGTCGTCACGGCGTCCTCTTCTGGGAGGCGTGACCGAGCGACTGTAAGAGCGAGACCGGATAGAACTCCTGTCCCGGCTGTAAGAACGTCCTCTACCACGAGGGGGAGGAGATCTGGAGTCGGAGTACTTGCGGTCAATGGCACGCCGGGGTGTGCGCGATCTTGACCGCGAGCGGGAGTAGGACGAGCCAGTATAGGAAGAGTAGTCGGACACTGACTCCGAGTCGGAATCTTCAGCTGGCGGTGCGGGCAATGTCGGCTTGGGAAGGTTTTGGAGATATTCTCTGGAAGCCTCCGTGAGAGCGCCCATGCCGATGCTGGTGAAGTAGTTGATAGAGAAACGGATGTTCCGTGCATTGTCGCGGGGGAACAAACCGGCGAAGCTGGGCTGCAGAATCTCGTCATTCATCCGTGCCTGGAGCTTCGCCATACCAAGCTCCTCAGAGATGTCCTGGAAGAGGATCTTGATGAAAATTCTGGAACTGCTAGTTGTCTCGTCCTCGTTCAGATGAATGACCGAGAGAACATGCCAGCCAATGGCATCAGTTGCAAGCAAATGCGCAAAGAAGCGCGCAATGTTGCGAAGCCTGTTTGTCTCGTAGCGATGAATTTTGCCGTAGTAGTCGGCGAATGACTCCTCAAAGAGACCAGTCCACAAGCGGTTCAGCTTGGCGAAGCGCTCACCAATCAGACCGTGAAACTTGGAAAACGTCTTCTCCTGGGAGCAAATCTCGACAATCATCGATGGAAGCTCCGGCTCCTGCCCGGCCGGAAGATTGACTCGTAGGAGCTTGTGTACGGCTTCCTCGGGATCAATGGAGGACATGACGGTCAGATAAATGGTGCGTCGCAAGTTAACCAGATCGGTGTTGGACTGGTCCTTGATCTCCATTGCCTTCTCCTCCTCATTCTCTTCTTCCTCGGAGCTTTCATCTTCATCGTCGTCGTCGTCATCGTCGTAGTCGCTGCCCTCTCCCAAAATCTCGGCCTTTAACTTCTTGTATGCCTCCTCGTGTTCCTCCCATTGCGGGTCGTATTTGAAGATATTGAGGCCATCCTGCACGTCAATCTCTCCGTCAAGGTCGACCATGTGTGTGATTTGGTCCTCCTCTTCGACCAGGTCCAACTCCTCCTTGATAGGTGGGTTGTCCTTGAAGTTGTCTTTTCGGACCTGGAAGAGCACTTCGATCATGTACTGCACGCGCTTGTCGATGTCGGCCTCGTGCAAGACGTTTCTCAACTGATCCCAAACAGCCAATGCGATTGCGGGTTGCATATCCTGCAAGTGCTGCCCCACCTCGCGCATAAAGTTGACGGCGATCTCAACACTGTCGTCGGTCGGCTTGTGGAGTAGGAGGAGAAGCATCTGACCGGCAAGTCGTTCGTGGGCGACCTGGTGGTTTATGAGATGCGCCAAGAAGGTGGTGGATGAGACGCAGACAGCTTTGTCGCTGCGCTTGAAGCCCTTGCGGAAGGACATGATGAGGCGTTTGACCAGGAGCTCGCCGACGGCAGGCAGCTTCGTGTTGACGATGGCCGCCATGGCCGCAAAGACAGGGGTGAAGGGTAAAGAGGCCGCTTGCGCCTTCATGATGGATCGGCAAAAAAGGCCGCGACCCTTGATCAGGTTCTCGCCGAACAACTCGGGGACAATGTGTTTGATGTTGGAGTAGTTGACCTTGTTGATCAGACCGTTGATGCTCTTCTTCAGCGCCTCCCACATCAGCCTCTGGTATTCCTTGGAGCTCTTGTCGGTGATCTGGGCCTGTAGCGCCCTCAGCCGTGCAGGCGGGATATATGTGCCTCCAGATCGCATGGACAGCAGCTTCTCGTACTCGGCCTTCGCGATGGCCTGCTTCTCCTCTTCCGTCCTGACGGGGGGTGTCGGGCGACGCTGTTCCTTGGGAGCCGGTCGATAGCTGTCGGTGCGATCGCGGTCGCGTTCTCTGTCTCGGTTGCGGGGGCGCTCATTACCGCGATGGTGTCGACGGTCGCCGCCGTCGCGGTCGTCCTCAGATTCGCCATCGCGTTCGCGGCGCTCGAGGCGCGGGGAGCCGACGTCTGCCGATGCCATCGCGCCTTGGTGTCCCGTAAGTCCCCAGAGAACCACCTGTCGAAGGTCTGTATTCGCTTCAGGGGGTCTTGCGACGCCAAGAAGTAGGCGGCAGGTCAATCGGAGATGCGTTGGTGTTGATAACAACTCTTTTTTTGTCCTTTGGAAAAAGGTTGCAGCTTTGACGCAACTGGACTTCTTAGGCAGGAGTTACCTAAAAATCCAAAGTGTGGCTGGGGAGTCGAGAGACCCACATTCGCCGGACGAAGCACGGGCCTTGCGGCTGGAGCTGTCCGAGATCAGGGGACCTGTCTGGCTGGAAGTCAGTCATACAGTCAACCGTGGCAGCTCCTTTTAGCGCAGCGCGCCGCCCGTATCCCCTGAAATCGCGACGACATTTTTCCCGATCGGCCACGGCAGCTACTACTGGCCTGTCCTACCACATCTTGATCCTCCCCTCCCTCTTCACCCAAGATTCTCCTCTGAACGTGGCCATCCACTATACGACGGTCACCACTTACGCCCGCCAGCTTGCCAATTCCTTCTCTACGCTCCTTTACCCCTCCTCCCATCCAACAAATCGACAATGGTACGTTGAGAAGCCGCCGAAGGACCCTCCACCCATCCCACATTTTTGGGGGCGCACTTGCCTGCGCAACAAGGGAGGAGAGGAAACGAAACATCGCAACAGCTAGCTAACATATGCTTTTATTTCATACAGAGTGGAACTCTCGTCGGCTTCGCCATGCTCGTGGCCGCCTCTGTCATCTTCACATACTACTCCATCTGGACTCTGCTCATGGTAGACACTTGCCCCCCCTCCTCCTCTTCCCCTTGGCCGTTGTCACGAGTGGCCATCAAGGTTTACTAATAGTTCCCTGCCATAGCCCTTTGTCGATGAAGGCCACCCTCTCCAGAACTTCTTCCCTGCCCGCGTCTGGGCAATCCGCATTCCCGTCATCCTCATCCTGCTTGGCTCCGCCGTCGTAGGCTCCTTCCTGGGGACTGTCATGATCCGGAGTAACAGAAAGAAGGCCGCCAAGGCCAAGGCTGCTGCGAAGAAGAAGGCGTAGACATGACAAGGAAGTGGAGTCTTATTACAACGGCCGCTCGTCTTGAAGCTGGAACCATAATTTGTCACGGAGGCATGTCTGGGATGGCAGAGACGTCGACATTGATTGCCTGGAAGGCATGGTTTACTGCACTGCACATACAAGAGAAAAGTACCGAAATGGGTATCTAAGCTGGTTTTATTGGAGAACGAGCGTGCAGCTCATCTCGTGAGACGGACTACCTACTCTGATAATTTTCAAGGACTTATACCCTAGGCCAGGGAAAACCCCCCTAAAAAACACCAAATAAAGGAGTGAGTGGCGCACAGCCGGCCAAGTCCATGCCATGCCCCATGGTCCCAAGCCTCGGCTCGCGCGTGTGTTGTTGAGTAATTCTAGACAAAATCACAGGCGCAAGTGACTCCTGGTCTAACCTGGCTCCAAACGCCTCCTCTGGCATCCTTCTTCAAACCCGCTGATCGGCAAAGTCGAGGACTTCGCAATCGTCCTCAAAAAAGCCATCCTCGTCCTCCATGTGACGTGCTCCACGCCGACGACGTGTCGTAACGACAATCTCGTCGCCGTTCTCTCCACGATGCATCACTCTCTCCATCGACGACAGCGGGAGCGCACGATGATCATCCGAAATGTTGAATTCATCTTCTGAAATCGAGTGGTGCCCGGTGTCAAGCTTGACAAGGTTAAGAGGCTGACCAAAAGCCCAGGGCTGTGACGAGTCCGTCTCGACAGGTGTGTGCTGAGTACGCAAGCGTTGCTGCCGCTTTTTCTGCTTGGGCGTTGCCTGGTCCTCCAGCGTGGTATCGGCCATGAGGGCCACCAGGGAAGGCGGCAGCGCCGCCGATTGAGCTCCGCATTCGTACAGAGACACACGCCTGTCGGTGTGGAAAGGCTGGTATGGTGCGCTGGACTCTATTTCAGCTTGAGGGATAGAGGCTTCTGCGCTCAGGTCGACTTGGAGCGGCCTAGCTCGCGGGTCCAGGGTCAGTGTCTTGCCTGCGTCCAGCTCTCTGTCGGACAAATCCAGGTATTCGTCGGAGTCAATGAACTGGCGGACCGCAGGAGACAAGCCATCGAGGGGCAGAGCGGGGATTCTGAAATCCTTATAACGAAGCCCACGAGCCGCTCGCTGCTTGCTGGGCGCGGTCGACGAACGGCGAGTCTTGGACGGGAAGGTACGGACGAGGCCGTCGCCGACGACGTACAGAGTATGGTACTTTCTACCAGTGATCCATACAACGCACGACGAGCCTGGGAGCGTTGAGCTTTGTGGGAGAGATACGCGGTTGTCTCCCGTGTGACGCAGCTGGTTTATGGCAACGCCCGTCTTGCCCAGGGAGTGGCTGATGCTGGCAGCAATAGCCCTTCCACCCACGCTCGCAGAGTCGACAAAGTTGCCACCAGTCAAGCCCTGAGCATTCGCGCTGCTCCTACGCGGCCTAGTGATCAAAGGCCTGGCGGCATAATAAGCAGCACCAAAAGCGCTGGAAGCAATCGAGACAGCCGAGCTGGGTGCGTCTGACGCAGGCGCGCCGTTTTCCTCTGTGGCCTTGCGGCGACGAGGTGGCGGCCAGGTGAAGGCACTGGACGGCATGTCGAGAAGATGAACGGTGCCTCTCTCGGTGACCATTGCAATTCGTTCCCCGTTGGGTTTCGACCAAGCAACGTCAACGATCCGAGCGACCGTCATCCGCGAAAACTGCGCAACCTGGCGAACCCTTGGGCCGACCGCGTTGTTGGCGGCTGACACTTGGAGAGGCGACGACTTGGTGTACTGGATGCACATCAGGTCCCATACCGTTTGCACATCACCCTTGCCGCTAGCCGTGAACAGAGACAGTCCCGTCGGCGAGAAAGACAAGAAGCTGCAACCAAGCGGAGACGCAAAGGTAATGAGCGGGTGCAGAGTGACAGAAGTCCTCAAGCTGTCCATGTCCAAAATGGAGACGAGGCCGGGATCCTTAGTCACCGCGTGGCCGGGCGTGCCATGTGTGGGTGGGAACTGGGGCGCGTCGTGACGGGGAGGATACGAACCAGCCCACTGCTGAGCAGTCAACGGAGGCGACCTGGACTGCGACGGAGGCATCTGGTTCGTGTTCTTATTCCAGTACGAGTTCCAGGCCTGCAGTCCTTGCTGGCCAACCCATTTCGCACCGGAGATGAGTTCTTGCGTTGTCTCGCGCATTATTTTGTTGACCATGCTCTCGGCCATGGGAGAGTCGACCGAGCCGGTGACTGCAGGGAGCACGGGCGAGGTTACCGAAGAGATGCCAGGGGCTTTGCCCAAAACGGGCACCGGAACATGAGCGCGGAGAGCAATCTGCGAGGAAGCTGCGGGAGGACAATAGGCAATCCATTTACCATTAAGCGACAGTATCGGGGTCTGTGGGTTCGGTCGTGGGAGCGCTGGTGAGTGGCGCCTCTCTGCTTCCTCCGCAACGTCGCCTCTGGGAGGTTGCTGAAGGCTGGTCCAGAGCTTGCCAACACAGCCAAACCGGCTAGAAACCTCGTCGGAGTCCGGGATCGAGCGGTAAACCCAGCACTCTCCGCTTATGCCCGAAGCCACAACAATATTTCCAGCATCAGCTTTGATGGTGAATGCGCCCGTGGGCGGTGGCGCCTTGAAGATTGGACTGGTGACTGGGGTCGACAGAGGAGCTTTGGGAGCCTGAAGAAGCACGTCGACTAGCTTGCCCGTCTTGAGGGAGTACAGCTCGACTGATGTCTGGTAGAATTCGATGACGGGTGTGAAACGACCAGAGGGGCCACCCTTCTGGCTGTCGTCTGTTCGAGGACTGCCAGGTGTTTCGGCTCCGTCTTCGGCGACGCGATCGTTCGCTGCTTGGATCGCGATCTCCGGAGAGGTCTGCGGCAGCACCGGGCCGTGGATGACAACAGCGACGAGTGGGGAGTAGTCGACCTTGCTGCCAGGATTCGACCAGGGCAAGATTTTGGCATCGTAGACGCCTCCTCGCAGTCCTTTCAGACCGGCAACGCGATCCAAGCCGCGCTTGCTAACCGAATAGACTTCAAGACCGCCCTCGTAGCCAGCCAGCACGACATTGTCCGATCCTGGCACAAACTCGGTGTGGGCGGAGGGAAGCGTGTCAAATCCGAAATAGTAGCCCTTGTCGCCGGCTTTCATGCCAGCCTTGGAAGCCGTATCGAAATCGATGTCAGGAGCACCATAGAAGTGCGGCTGGGCTTGGTGGGGGAGCGGGGGTTGCGGGCCGACTCTGGCGTGGGAAAGCTGAGAGTGCATGGAGCTGCGACGGTATGCTGCAGCGGCAGCGGGTTGATGGTAAGCCTCAAGCGGAAACTGGGAGTCCATTTGGAAGCTGAGGGGTCGCTTCATGTGGTTTGGCATGCTATTGGGAGGGGAAGGGGAGGCCGTTTGGGGAGTCAAGGACTGGCGCTGAACGGTCCATCCGTGGTGGAGGCGACCGGAATCCTCATAGGAGGAAGGCTGGGTGGGTGGTGACTCGCCCATGAGACTGATCAAGTTTCCTGGAGACCCAGAAAGGCCCCCTCGTGCCCAATCTTGGTTTGTGCTCGCAGCCGAGGCAGAGGTTGTTGAAAGAGCATCCAGGGACGGCGAGATGGCAGGGTGCCCATCGTAGGGGGACGGGCCTTTGGCTATGGGTCGAATGTCGGGAGAATTCACAGGAGGCGACGATGCATCCAACGGAGGACTCTTGGAGGGACTGCCATTTCTATTTGGGTTGTCAGAGACTGTTGTCGCGACAAATACAGGAAGGAGGAGGGGTGAAGGGGGTACGGCGGTGACTCAACACCGACGACTGTCGCGGGGTTCCAATGAGGGCAGGGGCTGGAAGGGGGTAACCTACGTGAACTTGCCCGCGGCGAGTTTCGTCACCGCGGCGCTAACTGCACCATCTTTCGCGTTCTTCCTGTCCTTCTTCGAACCTGTGTGGAAAGAGATGATGAGTATGCGGTTTCCGTGAGGATTATAGCGCGTATGGGGTAGAGATTGGTAAGGGACAGCCAAACTTACTCGGCATTCAGGTGGTGTTGCGCCGCAGTTGGAGCAGTCTCCTGCTCCAAGGACCTGCGTTTCCGCAAGGCAGCTTCTACCTGGTTTATGGAAGGGCCGAGGTGTTGCACGAGAAGAAGAAGTCGTGTATGGCGGCGATCGGCGGCTCGGTATCGTCGTTTGGAAGGTATTCGGGAAGGGGGGTTGCAAAGAATAGAGTTGTCGGTCTATTAGGGGATCGATGGTACTGAGTCGACCCAAGGCGGCAGATGACTTGGGATGACAAAAGTGCCGCAGGTACTGTGCAAATGCTTTGTAAATGGACGGCTATGGACGGCAACTCGGAATGACGACGAGATATGGCAGGTGTCGTAGAGCAAGGTAGGTGAGATGGACAGTGGTTGAAAGTGTACGAGCGAACAGAAGAGAGTTGAAAGAGCGGCTTTCTTTCCAGGCACAGCGAAGGCGGAGAGGAAGAGAGACAGATTACTAGGATGGCAAACGAAACATCTATGGAAAGGGACAGAAAGAGAGAAAAGCGTGGCAAGTCGTGACGGACGTGACGTGACTGATGTGTTCACGGGAATAGCTGCTATAGTGGTTCGTGGGTTGTGTTGTTGGTGTTGATGAGTCGAAGGAGAGAGCACGGGGAGGAGTCCAGTGTCAGTGTTAGTGAGGTCAGGTCCGGTATGGATGCATCCCGTCCAGTGCGGGTAGGTGGGTATCTGGTACGTGCTCCCCGCCATCAGCCGCCAGCCAGTAGCAGCAGGCAGTAGGTACCTAGGCAAAGCGGTAGGGCCAGGTACCTCCGAGTCTCTCTCCCTCTCCCTCCCTCCTCTCTCTCTCTTTCTCTACCTGTATCTCCCTCTCTCTCTCTCTAGACCTCCACCTCCATCACCCCTCCATAGCGGCGGCGTCTAAGATAAGATATCGGAGGGAGGGAAGACCTTCCTTACTTAGCCAAGCAGCACCACCTCATCACGATACACCGTCACCGTGGAGCCGGCTGGGTGACACCACCTAGATGCTTCATTCGACATGCAAAAGATCGTTCGTTACCTCTGTCAGCTCTCGCTCACCCACAATAGCCACCAGTTAGCTACCTTTACCTCAGAACCTGACTCTCCCTCACCTACAGCCATTACTGGCCACCCGAGGGCAGCGGGGTTTCCTTTTTTTCGTACTGCAGTATATAGTATTGCCTTCTTCCGTTGCTCTCCCGCCCTGCCCCGATGTCGGCGCGGTAACCCCCAATCCAATGTCCCCTCCAAGCCACCCCTCCACATCCTCCATCTTAACCGGTCATTTGGAGGAACTGGACCCAGGGCAGCGGGGGTGTCAAGTGCAGACAGCTTGCTACACTAGGTTTGCCATGAGAGAGGGGTACCGGTATTCGACGGTGTTGGGAGATCCCTCCACGGTACTGGGGCACTGTTTCCGTCCTGCGACTGCGAGGTGGGAGGTTCCAAGTGCGAGGGAGTTAACCACCGCCGCTCGGTATCTGCTGGCAAGCAGTGCGCATCGTGGGCAACGCGCAGGCCGCAGTGCGGATACAGATAGCTACACTACAGATACCGCATACCATTCTTGGTCGGGATCCAGCCTACATCGGACAGGGGGGGGTTGGCACACTGATCCGGGGGGAACCTGGTGTATGTACCTGGGCAAGTCCCTCGGCGTATCTCTGCTGCGACGCTTGGTTGATGCACAACTTGGACGTGACGGCACCTGCTGACGAAGGGTACTTGGGCCCCCGACTGGACTTCGTACCTTTTCGGCGCGGCACACGGCGGGTGAAGAGTCCAGCGGGGCGCGGGGCTCATGTTCTTGATACTCTCTCTCTGCACACCCTAGTCCGTTCTCTCATGCTGTCCTACTTCTGGGACCAAACCGGAGATGAATCCAGTCCAGCTCAGCCCAGCCCAGTTTCCCATGGCCATTGTCTCTTCAACGCAGGCATTCCTCGGCACATCCTGGTCTTCTACTGTGCCCTGTTCTCTCACTGTATTTCCAGACACGCCTCAACCTTATCTTTGCTCGCTATCAGCGCTGGATGAGAACGTCCAAGTCACATTCGGCATGTCGGCGGAACTCGGATTCCACTACGAATCCAAACTTATCCATGACACCCCCTCTTTTCAACTCAGAATTGCACCACACCGTTTCTTCCATTGCATTCTACCAGTACCAAGTCTCCAGGCTTGTCTCTCTACCACACACACTCACACACACACACGCGCATATACACCTAGGCTCAGCTCTGCATGCGTTTACAGAACAGATCGAGTCTCTTACCGAGGCCGGGGATGCAGGCGGCAACGGCGCGAGGTCCAGCCAAGCCATTCAGTGCCAAACCAGATGTCACCGGCTACCAACACCGGGCTTTCCCCCCACTCCAATCTTATCAATTTCCGTCAGATCCAAAAGCCAACCCCTCCCCCCTGTAGCCGGGACCAGCTGCTGACGCCTGTGGTATGCGTGTCTTGCGTGTGCCTGCGCCCGCGAGCATGAGAACAGCGGACGGCGCACAGAAATGATGATCCGGGGGTGACCGATGTCATCATCCCGCTTTGGCCTGATGACTGGCGGGCGCGGACCCCAACCACTGCGATGATTACTGGGCGAAGCATCCTTTGCTGGCGAAGGAATCATGGGCTGTTTGCTGAACTAACGAAACGGTGTCCTCGTCATTTACCGGCCATCCGCTGGCAGATTGCCTCCAACTTTTGATTTCCTATTCCAGCATACCGTGGATGTCCGTTTCCCCCTCCCCCGTCATCGGTCATCCGTCCACTCTGCCCTATCTCGTAAACTACCGCATTCCCGGCTGCGCTGGGCCAGACCGTCCATATGACAAAGACACCTGACCCTCTCGGTGGAGGACGAAAGGGGGGGGGCATGTCAGGTGAACAGGCCGCTCACAGCGCTCATCAGGCCCACGGGAACAACACACCACTCACCACTCGCTGACGTAGGAATGTACTGGTAGGGTTCTCCCGGGTTCCCTCCACTTTCCTCTCATGCCCGTAAGCCTCTCGGGTTGCTTTGCTTGGGTGAGCTGCTGCAAACCTCAACCCTCGCCGTTTCAAAGAACCAAGATGCAGGCCATGAAGTCACTTTTTGTTGGGGAACAGCCTAAGTTTTCTTTTTTGGCTATCCTCGGCCCAGTTACCTAAGGCACCCCCTCCCCCATTCCTCAATGCGATGAGGTGAAGCGAGGCCAGCCGAGGCGAGACGACGAATCCAATGACGAAACAGTGTGCGACGAAGCAAGGCACGGAGTCGGTCGTGGCCGCAATGCCGACGAAGCGCAATACAGCGTGTGGAGCGGTCTGAGGTCGGATTCATCAATGGATGAATCTGCCATCATCGATGGGATCGAACCCGATCTGCCAGATTGATAGAAATTGGGGGGGGGGTTGTTAAAGAAAGAAAGAAAGTCATCGGTGAAACACTGGCCACAAGACACGCGCGCACACAGACCCAACACAAGTACATCCATTGCGCCAGCTGTCAAGCATGCAGTGCCGTATTCCGGTGGTTGGATGTCGCCGGTCCTACCAATTCCCACCCTTCATTCAGCGCGCATCTCTGCGCTGAGTATCTGCTTGTGCCGGGTCCGCCGTCGCATGTTGCACCTCCTCAGAAGTGCGACACAGCAGGTAGCTCGCCCTCGATCTCAGTCCACGGGTCGAGCCAGACTCGATATGCATCCATCCGCCACTCCCCGTCCTGCCTCACCCACTCTGCGCTACCTGCCCAGCTGAACACGCTCTCGCTCCCGTCCAGCCCCTTGCGCCTTACCCCCCCCTCAACATGACGTGCACCCCCTTCTCGGTAGCTGAGCCGACCGCGCTTGTGAGCCAGTGCTTCCTGGCCGACACGGTGCTCCACATCGCCGTGCGTAGTTGCCGGATGTCTGCTCACCCAGTCAGCCCTCGGCAAAGAAAAAGAGAACTCCCACCAAGATCGTGCCCGACATGCCACCGCAGACGTACTTTCACGCGTCTCGCCCTCCAGAGCCCCGACCTTGGCCCTCGCGCCGGGGGTGTAGAATTCGAGCCAGCGCTCGTCCTGGTCGCGGCGGTCGCTGGTTCGGTAAAAGTCCCGTATCCGGAGCCGGAGGTCCCGGTCGATCGACGTCTCGCTGGCGGAGAACGGCTCCATCTGGGAGTAGCTGTCGTGCGGCTCGACGCCTTCCGTAGCGGCGAGGCGATCCATCTTCGTCGCTGTTTCTTTTTTTCTCTTTTTCTTTTCTTTCTCGTTTGTTTGTGTGATGCTATGAAGAAGAAGAAGGAGAAGAATAGAAATAGCAAGTTCGTCGATGTAATACGTCGGAGAAGTGGAAGGTGTGGGGTCGTGACGTTGAGTCCCACATGCTGTTTTCTCCATTGAGCACAACCAGACGACGAAAGCTTTGTGAGATTTTCCTTGGGATTGATTGAGCAAGTCAACTCTTTTGAAACGGCATCGCTAGCCTTTCGAATGCCGCCACGTCCGGCAGATCAGGTGTCATCGACGCCTGTGCCCTCGCGTTCATGTGCTCTCTGTTCTAGTCGCCAAGCCTGCAGGAGGGGCAAGGACGGTGTCTCTTTGGCTGCGACGACGAAGATGATATCCTCGCTCAATGAAGAAGACCCTGGAGAAGATTGACAACCGACATAGAGCCAGGGCGGGGCCGAGAGCGTTCGACGTAGCAAGCCTGGAACCCGGCAGCCGACCGAACTGCCTGGATCAGCCCCTTCGTCACCGAGGCTTCTTCCACAAGACGGAATGGCCCGTTTTAATAATCAAGATCGTAGGCAGTCAGGTTGCCGAGCGACATACCGACATCTTACCCACTTTCAGAAGTTTTAACGCGTTTCCATGACAGGCTTTTGATGTGATGTTCGTCTCGTGATGATGCTCTTCACCCCTCTCCCCTCCGATGCGAAGTTGTAGTTTGGCCACCGATGGCACATCGGTATGGAGTGATGGTTAAGTGCATCGGCAGAATGATTGGCCCCAGTATTTGGAACGATATTCGTAACCAGTACGGTCCGTCTTGGGGTTGCAACGATGATATAATAACACAGTCGAAGGTGTCATTCCAACTACTCACACCACGATTTCCGAAGAAAAGAAAACAATGACGTCGGCGATACGGTGTATATAGTGAGGGTTGATGATGGAGTCGTGATCTCAACGACGTTTCCCGACGAAGATCCCGGAGCGATCGGATGTCTTCAGTGTCTCCGGGCCGAATAGTAGAAGAATCAACGAATCCATCACCTATCTTAACCGTGTCAACCCAAGTCAAGATCGTAGCCAGTTCGGGTTCGAGTATATAAGTCCCTATGTATATATGTTATTTATAGTACTTCTAGTAAAACTCGTTATGTAGAGACTTATTACGTTTGTTATAGCTAGGAATATGAGTCAGATCTAAGACCTTAGAAGAAATACGAATAATACTGCACTAAATCTAAGTTTCAAACAAAAACTTTAAAAACTTCCCTACATATAAAGAGGTGTATTGTTGCATCTGTACGTATGTCTAGCTCTCAATATTTTAGCTACACCCAAAACTTTTCTAACAGAATACCGCTCTCAAAACGTCAATATTTCTATCTATATACACCCAATCTTTCTCCGACAGCAGCATACCTCTCAATTAAGAACCTCAGCATGAAGCTTTCGATCTACATGGTTTCTGCTGTATTGGCCGCTGTTGCTACAGCCAAAGATTGCTCAACCCCATCTGGATCAGGAACGTGTATTGGAAGAAATGCTCTTTGTGAGGTTACCATAGTTGATCTCAGTGGCGCCTGTCCCGCTGGCCCAACATGCACAACCCCAGCTGGAACAGGAGAGTGTAGTGGAGCAGGTGATGTTTGCCTTATTACTAAAGCTTTGACCAGTAATGACTGCCCATAAACACTGTCTGGTGACAAGGGCGGTCGTTAAAGGAGGAAATATGCTGGTGGCAGGCACAGACCTCGAAATCAATTAGGCCGAAATGGGAAGAGTCTACGGCGAAGTTTTGGTAAATGTTGGTTTCACTAGGGTATTAGCAATATAGCAATATAGTTAACCGTACGTATCAGTGGCAATACACAAATATTAAGGGTAACTGTTCTCTATTATACGTAAAGGAAAAAACAATAACTATTGTAGGTGTTACAAGTGGGTCAGGGCAACTAACTGCACCACAAAGCAAAAGCTTCAGTAATGATGCGCCTACATCATTATCCCGTGTTCTGCACTATATAGAGCATGTGCATATGCATAAATATCAGTCAGGGGAGAGAACTGACAATTCCCAAAAATGGAGAGAATGGCAAAAGCGTATGCAACTGCTTGCGCAGTCGCTTTTAACTATGGACGTACAGGGGATCGAACCCTGGGCCTTTCGCAGAGACGTGTAGATGCAAAGCGAATGTGATACCACTACACCATGCGCCCGGACATTGTTGTTGAAAGCACAACGCCAAGCTGATTCTTATATCTGGTAGATGTGGGGCGGACAGGCAGCAGAAGGTGGGTCCCCTTGAGGAGGGGACGTCAGCCGTTTCCAGAACCTCTGTACCTGACTAGGAATGCCACAGGCTTGAAAGGGTTTCTGTCTCTGTGTAAGCTAGACTATGTTAGGATTTGCAGGCGCCTTGGAGATTGACAATCACTTCTGCCAAGTGGCATCGCTTCTTGGAAAATAGGCGCGATAGTGAGTGTAATAAGGTATATTTCTATCCTCGCTTCGCAGTCTAGGGTATATATCACTGTCCGTCGCCCTCATTGGACCGGATTCCGATGGACACATACAGTACTAGGTCAAAAGTCTGTCTACAGCAATAAGGATAACCCGACAGAGAATCGAAGAGGGGAGCGATTAATAGCTCGAGGTCACTTCACAATGTACCGCCAAAGGCACTGTGTCTCAACCACCAACTATAGCTTTTGATTGGCCATCCTTATTGCTGTAGCCACACTTTTGAACTAGTACTGTACATATCCGTACATAGACTGCATACGCCCCGCGATGCAACTGAGGATGATGGTTTGCGGCTTCCCCCTCGATGTCAACTGTAGGTGAAACCCTTCCCCCACCCACCCCCCGCCGAGGTGTAGTCTCTCTGTAGGTCATCAAATCGTCCCCATCATGTTGCAGTGAAGCCGCATATCAGGAGGAGCATTAAGGGAGAGCTGGGAGGAAGGAGATTCGGCCGATGCAGCTCAAACACGCCCCATCACCCACGGGCTTTCCAATATACAACTCGCTGTGAAGCTATACTAAACACAGAATTGCCCACTCCACGGAACATACATCTCGTACAGAAGATTTAGACACCGATTGCCTCGCCCACAGTACGCGCGGCCCAGTCCAACTCCGAGATTCCTTCCCGTCAAAAAATGCATCCATGGCCTTCCACCCAGCCACCACCAAAACACCCCCCCCAATCTCATCACATTATATCCTTACATCGTAACCCCTGGTATACAATCTCTCCCCTATCCAAGAAGGACGTCGACTCGGTCCCTCGCCACGGAATCCCAAACCCTCTGCACGACGTGCCCCAGGCCCCTCCGGTAGCACACGCCGCCCACCCGCTCCACCCACAGGACGTTGACAAAGTCGACGATCTCGTCCTCGTCCATGTTGTCGCGGAACGCGTCCAGGTCGAACACGTGGCTGCCGCCCCGCTCGCTCGCCATCGAAATAGCGATGAACTCGAGCTTCTCCTCCCCCGTGTGGTTCGCGCCCTGCAGGCCCAGCCAGCTGTCGTGCGCCGTCACGACGCCGCACCACTTGCCCGTCCGCGACCAGACGTTGCCGACCGCGAGCGGCACCCCGTAACCCCGCCCCGGCGCCACCAGCCCCGCCCCCGGGCCCGTGTTGTTCCCCGTGTTGACGGCGTTGGCCGCCTTGGCGTCGATCGGCGCCCCGTTGCGCGCCGTGGCGAAGTCGACCTCGAGGAACGCCATGGATGTGTTGAACGACAGCAGCGTCGCGCTCATCGCGAAGTCCCCGAACGGCGAGGAGCCCCCCACCGCGCCCCCGTCCACGCCGGCCATCTCCGCCACGGGCACCGGGTACCGGAACATGACCTCCGGGTCCCCGGCGTACCGGAACCCGCCGTTGCTCCTCGACCACCCCGCGGGCAGTGCCACCGCCCTCCGGTGCCTGCGGTCGCGGTACGCCATCCCGTCGTTGGGCAGCGGCGTGTACGTCGCCCGGTCCGTCAGCTCGTAGCTCACCAGCGACCGCAGCCGGAAGGCGTAGGGGCTTTTGAACCGCCTCTCGGCGCCCTTCTTCCCTGACGGCGGCGCGTCCTGCACGTAGTCGGCCGCGGCGCGCCAGAGCGTCAGGTCCGCGGGCACGCCGTCGTAGTGCCACCCGAGCCAGCTCCACGACGGCAGCGGGTTCATCCCCGTCATGGGCTGCACCATCATCCGCCGCCTCACCATGGCCCGCGGCTGCCACAGCATCGCGACGTCGAGGAAGCTGACCGGCATGCCGAAGATGAAGCCGCCCGCGAACGACCGCGAGAGCACCGTCGTGATGCCCCGCAGCGCCCGCGTCGTGTCCGACATGAGCGTCACCCGCCGCGCGCTGAACTCCATCGCGATGCGCGCGTACTCGTCCATGTCCGGCCACACGGGATGCAGGTACCCCGTCGCCGCGGGGAAGGTCCGCTGCTGGCAGGGCCCGCCGCGCCCCCCGCCCTTGAGGATCTTGCTGAAGCGTCCCCCTCCCGCCGGCGACCCCTGCCAGACGTCGCAGTGGCACTCCCACGTCACCGTTTCCTCGAAGACGTACACCTTGCGCCGCGAGTACATGCCCTCCTGCACCGTCCACGCCCGCCCCGCCCACAGCGACGAGAGCACCAGGTCGTCGTGCTTCCTCGACGCGGCCCCGCGCGGCGGCGGCGTCCTCCTCAGCAGCCCCGTCAGCCCCTTCTCGGCGTCCCCCATGGCGGCCACGATGGTCAGGTAGGCGTTGGCGTAGACGTACGCCATGTTCTTGACGTGCTCCTCCCTCTCGACGTCGTCGTCCTGCACGATACAGAAACGGTCCACCCAGAGGTACTTGATCCCCAGCTTCCTCGCCAGCCACATGGCGTCCAGTATGGTCTGCGGCACGTCCGCGTCGTCCATGCTCGCCGTCAGCATCTCCAGGTTCCCCCTGAGCGTCTCGACGGGGCCCCTCGAACTCGGCAGCGGCGGCTCGTAGACGTAGCTCA